ATTATTGTTACAGCTTACCTTGAAAAAGTTGTACTAATTATGAAATCTTGTCTCATAGTTCAATAAACGTCAGCGCGGTGGTGCGTCTTTGTAAGGTCTATTTCTGGTATGAATGTTTCATCTGAAACAAACTCCACACCTCGAGTTTGTGACATCTGTTCTACATTTTGTTTCAAAGTGTGGTGATCGCCACTCCTCCCTGTTTGCAGCGTTTATTCAGTGCCTGTTGCACTGAAGCCCCGGTGACTGGAGGCAGATCTGTATGGGGAATAAGTGGCAACGATTGCCAACATGTACACTGAAAAGGTCAGGACATTTTTAATAGAATTTCCCCTTTTAGCACACCAACTTTTGCTGTAATCAACATGAAATCACTTTACCAATACGCTTTCTGAAGTTTGTATGAAGTCAATGATTTATTTTTGTGCCCGCTGGCTACAGAGGTGTAAAACCCCAGAAAATTAAAGAATGCAGTTCTTCACTCCATTAACGTTGGTGAGTGTCAGAATGTCAGCAGCAGCAGGAGGAGGAGAGGGGGGGTTGGGGGGGTGACACATTCACCCTAGAGGGGTCATTTTCTCGCCATAACCATTGAAAATGCATTAAATGCATTAAATGGAAAATTTGGGTTTTGTTTCCATTGTCTGGGTACTGATTTTATTAGAGTCCCAAAACCGTGCAATGCTGCAAATTTGCTAACAGAGCCAGTCAGGCAATCCGAGGTTGAAAAAAACAACTAATTTCGCAACCTGTCTGATGGATGAGAGCTACAAAAATAAAACTTGAATTCAATGTATTGACAGTAGAGATAAACAAGAAACAAAAGGAGAAGACAAGGACAAGGACAAAAAAAACACTTCCATTAGCTGTATTCATTTTACGAATTGTTTGTGCCAAAAATGAATGTATTTTCTTCTGTTACTAACAATACGCGTAGGGCTGCAACAACAAATCGATGAAATCAATAAAATTCGATTATTGGAAACGTTGGCAACAAATTTCATTATCGATTCATTGTGTCGGTTCAAAGAAAGACGCAGAATAATTTTGTCTGTATATATTTCTATTGCATCAACGTAATTTAATTTAATATTCCACTTTTTGTATATATTGTGGATGTAGTAAAATGACCTGTTCACTGTTTATGTGATTTGTGTTATTGACGGGAAATAGGAGCCAATAGAATGTTGTGTTATTTTTCAATGGTCACGTGTTGACGATCTCCTAAATGTTCACATATTATCTCCTCATATGCGTTCATGATCATTTCCTGCTTGTCAGCGGAGAAAAAAGACGCTCTTCCTTTAAGCTTGTTTGCCGTTATACTGTTAAAAATCCTTTTTCCGGTGATCGACTCTTCCGCCTTCTAATGTTAATGTTTGATCTCTAATAGTAATTTGAGCTGGATAATCGGACATTTGATCGACTTAGTTGAACCACGTACGAGAAACATGATCTTGAAAAACCTTGTATTTACCAACTGCAAAGACTTCATTTATGACAAATAAGTAATAGTTTTTCCTCTGCGTTGGTGGATTGTGGTGAAAGTGACTCCAGAAGAGGACAAAAAGAACCGCAGCATCAGAAACCCATTCCATACTTAACTCAATTCTCCCAACTTGACACCTGACATACGCGACCTTAGACACCTTTCCGCAGGTCAACTCCAGTTTCCAGATTTGGTCCAGCTCCTTGTTGTAGAGCTGAAGAAAAAATGAGCCCATATCCCGAATCCTGCTGTTTGCATGAATGAGGTCTGACTGGAGCTTCATTGCCTGCCTATGCAACTGGACGGGGACTCGTGACGACTGCTTCTCCTTCTTCATCTCCTCTCAACCCTCCGGGCAAAGCAAGCCACTGATTCTTATGCTGACCTTTTACTTGGTGTCAATACTTGTGCTTTCTCTTCCTGTAAATCTTTCAAATGTTTTTGGTGACGGATCGTTGGCGCTTTAAACCTAAAATATGTTTATACTAAACAGACAATTACTGGATTTTGGCCGTTAGCTGCTCGAGGTGTCGTATAAGTGAAGTGATTTCCGAGCAGTCACGCGCAAGGATCAGTAGTAATTATACCCTGGCCATATATTTATTAAAAAATGTAAAACGCCATGGGTTAAAAATGTAACGTAAGTCGCTTTGAATAAAAGCATCAGCTAAATGACCTGTAATGTAATGTAATCAGAAAAGCAATGCATTAGCGCTTAAGATGCTCCAGCTGACAGGTCAGTACGACTTGATTAAGTCGTTTCAGTATCTTGGAGTCCGCAGAAAGGCAATGCAGCTCCTCCCGCCTCATTTAAATATGACATCCGCGCAGAGATCAAACATTAACATTTCAAAGACCGCCTCTCCTTGCTCCTGTTCCCAAATGATGGCAGCAGAATGTGACACAAACAACCGCCTCTCTGATTGCTACTTCTGATGGATCTTCAGCTTCACCCCCCCCCCCCCAAAAAAATAGGAGTCATTTGTTGCTACGTGGCATCACACCTCAATAGAGCTAATGAGGAGGAGATTCTGTTCTAATACATTCGTGGCTCCGTGCCTCCCTGACTCCAGCGGATGAAATATTTCTGTGATTAAATTTCTAATTTCAGCAGGGTAATCAGGTCGGAGATGTCTGACTTAATTATCAAGACCAAAGCTCCATATTAAAATCAATCAGATGATTCACAATTCTGAGATTAGTGCAGTGAAAATAATCTCCGGCGTTTAGTCTGCTGAACCGAACAGCTCCCGGGGTTCAACGGGGACACTACTGGGGGTCTGAATGTCTCCGCACACCCTGGTAGAGGGTCTGAACTACAGTGGGCGGAAGCCCCCCCCCCCCCCCCATCACCCCCTCCAAGTTCCCCCGACATCGACGCAAAAGGCTGCGATGAAGCGCCACTGAAGCTGGTGCAGAAAGCATCTAAAGTGCCCTGCTGCAGAGAAGATGGGAAGGAGGGCAAGAGGTGAGAGGGGGAGTCCCGGGAAAGAGCTTTTATTTCTTTGCATCTTGCAGGAAATTCCCGGGGAAAACAAAAAAATTTCCCTTGGGGGGGGGGGGGGGGGGGGGCAGGAACGATGCACAGGTCCTACGAGAAGCTCTCCCTCTAGACCCTCAAGCCCCAGGACAAGAGAGAAGATAAATAAAGGATTGATGTAATGTTCAAAACAGTATCGTTTCAGGAAACACAAACAATAAGTCGGCACACAAGGAACAGAAGGCCTCGACGCTCGGATCACAGAGACACTGAGAACCACGTAATTCAAAATGCAGATGATATTGCGATGACAATGCCCTGCGAGTCATCGGTGTTGATTTGATTTAGCTGTGCAGATCAGCAGCTTCCAGACTTCAAACACCTGAGCCAAGAAAGAGGGAGCCTCGTAATCTTCGCTGCACCACCTGTGCTCCTGCACAGACGTGGATATTTTCATTCGCTGACACTTTTCTTCCTGCACTCGATGGCACCCAGCGAAAAACACATTTATTGAAAATCCTGGTTATCCCAGGTGAGTGTTTGTTTGCATGTGCTCACCGGGAGAAAGATGCAGAAACCCCTGCAAGGACAGAACAATTTCGCCAAAAGGGGTTTGGAATAAAACAATGAATTTGAGACAGTTAAAACTGGGAATTAAGAAGATAAAAAGTGGTATGAAGGTGTCTGCACCTGCTGCATCAGAGCGGAAATGTCTGAGCGGCAGCCACCGCACGACAAAAAAGGTCATTTGAGGCTTTTTGGAGAAGCCGTCAGCTTTGATGTGCAGCCAGAGGGCCGGAGCACCGTGGGAGTACAGCTCATCTGTCTCTGCCTACAGGAGGAGAGTCGCCTCAGGCAGCAGCAGACAGGAGCTCCGAACACACACACACACACACACACACACACACACACACACGTCTGTAATTTCTCATCTAACTTCTCCACACTGCAGGACTAAGGAACTGCTTTCAAAAAAAAGAATTTCGTGAATAATTCATTTCACGGGAAGACGGCACAGAAACATTAATTTTGAACAAAGGTTCACAACACGTTGTTTCTGAAATTCACTTGTTTTTTAGTCAGACAGAAAAATAAATATCCCTCAATATTGAATCATTTCTGAAGCATCCACTCAAGAAGAGAAATAGTCCCTCGCAAAAAAACATACATGATTAAATAAATTAAACTGGGGACATAATTCCCTTACACACACTAAACCGAAGAATTTTAGTAAACCAATGGGCTCTGACGACTAAATCCTTTCTACAAACACTACAGTGCGGGATAAACAGTGCCGATGGCCGACACTCCTAGCAACAGGCAACCATGTGGGCAACAGGCGGAGACAAATAAACTCAATTGTTCCCTGGCAACAAGGTTCTCCTATGCTATTCAAATGCAGGAGCGACGATGACCGTGATCCAAAATCCACTGGGAAATCATCTGCACTCACACAGGTCAGAGGTCAACTGCAAGACGGGCCAATCGGAGCTTGGTGTGGGAGATTAAAAGGGAGATGCCGCGCATCGTATCGTCGGGATCAAAACACATGCGGCACTAATTCCAGGTCTGCACTTGCCAAAAAGGTCAAACGCTGTCTTTAGTGACCTTTGAACGTTGCAGCTCCAGTAACTCTGCGCATGGTGCCTCATAGCTCAAGACCGTGTCGCAGCATTCATTCAATGAATAGGGCCCTTAGGGGCCGGGCCTCCCCCGTCATTTCTTCAAAAAGAAGACACTGTGTTTTATGCGTGTCACCCATCTGTAGCTTCATCTCACAGTATTTAATCCTTTGATCGTTGGTTTGTTGAGGCTGTGTAATCATCTAACCGCCGCCCCCCGTGTGGTCTTTAAAACGAAAAGTCCACACAGATGGGCTTTCATCGGGAAAACACAGAGCTGTTTAGATTTAATTTAGTATTATGGGCTCAACACACATGCTGCTTTGAGTTTATCTTAATGACATCTCTGATGCTGTAAACTATTATTTGAAGGATTACTTTCGGATTCAAATGAATTCAAACAGCAAACTGAGTGTTAATGATGTTTACTCTTCCTTCAATACAAATAAGGGACTAGTTGGCAAAGTATGCACATGGTCTGCTTTGTCAGGTGTTGTGTTGCTGACAATGTCCCCTGTAGATAAATGGCTCAGACTTCAAGCAAGATAAATAAGATAAAAATAAATAAACTAAGTATCATGTTTTTCATTTTAATAAGAACACCAGCAAGTCAAGCTACAAACAAGTCTACAAGGTAAATTAATGAAGTTGAGGCAGTCATTCAAAGGTCTCCAAAGTCCTTGCATGTACAGGCTGATAAAACAAATTTGCTGAGGGTGAGAACGCCTTCAAATGTCTGTTTTCTGTAGGGAGGAGGGGGCGGGGGTCGGGGTTGGGTCGGGGGGGGTCAACGTGGCTGGTGATGTAGATGCACACTGTGACTGCAGAGCAGTCCGGGGAGCTGTGGGCTAAGGGACGGCCCGGTTGGGTCTCTTTGGAGGGGGAGGGGGCATTAGCTCGGAGTCCGGGTCTGGTGGGTGTTTCCGGTTCTGTGCTTGGACTCCTTGGGCACAGCGGTCCACGTACTCCAAGAGGATGTCCTTGGTGACGGGCTCCTGGATGCTCTTACACACAGCTGGGGAGAGAGAGAGAGACGACAGACGTCAGAGAGGGTGATGATGTTGAGGAAGAGCTGGATTTAAAGTACTCGGATCCTGCCGAAAGACTGTTACAACGCCGAGGAACCTCATTCCGCAGAGTCCTTCGCCTACAGGCTTTCTGAGCGTGCGTTCATCCACACTAAGGCGAGGAATCACTCCTGAATGTTCACACGTAGTAGATCCACAAGGCCTCACTTTGTGTAGCTTGTTCCGGGTACTTTCATCTCTTAACTTAGACCAAGGCTCAGATGCGTGTATTTTTGTTACTGAGCGATAAAACGTAAGTGAGGTAATTCTGGTTTCCTTGCCAACGTGTGGTGACAATATACGATATGCAAACCCTTCCTTCCATCCTGCTGCTGCTGTCAGGCTGCTTCCAGCGGACCACAAAACAGCACAATCCCGTGCAATATAAACGCACTGTGCAATAACCGTTATGTAGTCACTGTCTGTGTGTATACAGCGCTTCATTTGAGTTATTGTGGATTCATGATTTATGTTTCTTAATGCTTATATAAAATACTTTTGATTAATTTTTGATCTTGTTTGCACTGTGAATTTCCTCTCTGCAGGACTTATCTTATCTCATCTTGTGCCACGATTCCAACAAATGATGAGAGACGTAGAGGCCTGTTTACTTGTTCCGGTGTTCTTATCAGCTTGAGGAGAAATTCAATACTATCGGTCTGGATTTTAGATAAAAGGTGCCTTTTGCCAGCCGGGGTTCCAAACAGCCGGCCACAGGATCTAAAGCTCAATCTTTTCCATCAATTCAATTTGTTCTTTAAATGGTTTTTCTCTCGCTTGTTTCTGTTATTGGATTTCTATGTGCCACCTTGTGCGCTACACAAAAGGTCCATTACTGTGATGAACTATTATTTTTGCATACTTCCTCAGTCTCGCTCTCTCTCGTTGCCTTTGCTCCGTCTGATTTTTCTAGAAGCTTCTGTAGCCGTTTCATTTTCACACCAACGACCATTTGGGAGAAAAGGTTCGAATTCAAAATTCAAGTTTACCCGTGAAACTGATTGAAAAGAAGGAAGTCGTTTTCCCGGTATGTGCGTGTTGTCTCCGTGCCTGGTTTACATAACCGGGCCAGCTGTGTGCTTCCCCTCCAGCTCGCTCATGACCTGCCGCCGCTCTGCACTTTGTTCATCTGACGGTTACTGTTAGCACACCCAAGATGATGATGTTACTGCAGCTCTGCCTTTTCATGACCCCTTTTATTTCATCTTCAATTGCTTTTTGCCTCAAAAAGGTTTCATGCTGGTCCAATATTCCCTTTAATCTCCAGCAGGTCCTGTGAGAAACATCCGGCTCTTCAGCTGCTGAATGCTCAACTACCTTTACCAACGGGTTATTAATTGCAACTAAAACATCATTCTAATAAAAAATAATTAACAGAGCACGTCGCTATACCGTGCCGACCAGTTGCTGTGGAGACGGCGCCTTTTCGACTGGCTCGCACAAAAAGGACCAGGTCTTACCCATGGCCGTTTCGTAGGAGTTTGGGAAGCTCTTGTCCACCCGTTGCCTCATGAACACCCAGGTGTTGTTGGCGAAGGTGCACTCGATTATCTTGTTGTCGTACTGTTTCAGCTCCTTCGTGGCCTGTGAAGACAAAGATGGTTTGCACTTTATAAAACCTCCGGTGTCGTTTGTCTTTTCTTTCTTGCCGCCAGTGAAAATAGCAAAAAACCCTCTAACGTATTGGACACTTTTAGAGACATGCTGCTGAATTGATGAATGCCAACAGCTCACAATGGCTGGCACAAGTCACTGCTGTTTTTTTCCAACACGATATCAAAATGCCTCACATGATTCGCTTCACTTTTGCGGTTACTACTTTCAGTAGCAATTAAGAGGGAAAGTGACGCTTTAGGCAGCTTTGGACAACAGCGTATAGATGCACAACACAACACACAAGACTGTGGCATTAAAAAAAAGAATATTCAGCTCATGATGTTGATGAATTACGTTGATTCGGGCAGCAGTTTGCGTTCGGTAGTTTCACCTCTCCTAATAGCGAGGGGGCAATAATGGGCAATGGGCAGGAGGCTACAAATGGAAGTGAACCCCGTTACCGCATTACATCTCTCTGATTCTTCGGAGGGGGAGTAAACTGGGTAATATTAGGACAACAGTGAATTCCTTTCATAAACAATTCATCTCTATTAGTAAATACAATGTTAGAAAATAGGGACATTTTCAAGCATTGCCTGTTTTGTTTGACCAACATCTCAAAACCCAAAGATTCACAGTAAAAAACAACAATTCTGTGGATTGTTACTTTTTCTACACTAAGCACGGTGCTATTTTTTATTCCCCCATAAATATGTCACTCATGTTCCTGTATCTCTCTGATGCAGACCTCCCGAGCTGCCGACTGATTACAACTCTTCGCACTAAGCCCGGCGTACCACAGTAAGTAAATTAAAACGGCAAAAAACGAAAAGCAAACTTGAGTCAAAGACATTTGAGCATCGGTTTGTTTTTCCGAGTGGCCGAGTCTCACTGAAGGGCTTCTCAAGGCAGCTGCCGCAATCAAAAAGAAACACCGTCCTCCGGGTGTCAGTGTGACCTTCAGGGGCGGCCGTCCGGCATCACTGCCAGGACGGCCGCCCCTGAAGGTTCCTCCGGCCGGCCGAGTGTTTGGCAAGACTGTAAAATGCAAAGTTAGCGCTTGTGAGATCCTGGAGTGGGGGGCATCTGGGCCCACAGTGGGGGGGCTGAATCACACAGGAAACAAAGGAAATGTGTGGGGGAGAAAGACCGAGATGCTAGTTATGGGATTTCAGAAAACGACCTTGAACCATAACTCACAAAAACGCCTAATTAGTCGTGGTCACGATTCGCGAAATTCAAATTGATCTCCACAATATTTTTCCCTGATCTCAGTTTGAAGACAAACGGCACTCTGAATCAAACGTGTGTATTTGGAGAACAACAGGCGATCCAAAAGGAGCGACAGACTCTGAAATCCTTCCTAACGCTCGAGGCAGCAGGCCGCCAGAGAGCTGTGAAGGACGGCACACGCCGGCAGGACGCTCTGCTACCGGCTGCGATCCCTTCCTGCCGGTGAGCGGTGACACGTTGGCTGCCATTTCCCCATCGCCACTTGGCGTTTAATCCGCCCAAATCCGTCTCATTATGGCGGCACACGTGTGCTACCAGATAGCAGGGACCTTGGCAGCCGGACGAACTAGCTGCCAGTGTTGCACTACTGAGGAGCAGAAGGGATCCATCCTTCTGATTTACAAACGACACACAAAACTAAATACCGCGGAAAGCAGTGGCGCCAACCGCGTGAAGAAATGCCTGTTTAACGTCTACTCGTTATGAAACATTTGGTGTCCTTCACTTGCAGTAACGGCTCGTTTTGATCATTATGCCGTAGAAATATAACATTTATAATCCTTTTAAAGAAAGAAGTCTGCATGTAATTGCTTTTTTCTGAGAGTTGAGAGGATGCCACTCGTGATTGTGCGCTGGGTACGGAGCTGGATGCGGGAGGTGATTAGTTTAGCTTAGCATAAGTAAGGAAAATAAATGTATTAACATGATGTTAATTAGTTTTAAATTTTACAAAAATGTATAAAAAAAACACCATTTGTGGTATTCAGGCGCGACACGCACACAACAAATATTACTTCCAGCAGGCCTGAATGATTATTTAAATACTTTTATTATTATCACTATTACTTTACCTTGGGTGCGGAGCTAAGCTACGCTGCTGGGTCCAGGAGGGAAAGCGAATAAGTGTACATCCTGAAGCGCCGAGCTATCTCCTCATGGCACATGCTCATGTCCAGGAGTCAACATATTAATGAGAAGAGGAGGTTCCGCCACATTTGCTGTTCGTCACTGGGAAACATTACACCGATACGGCACTCATTTTGGATCACGAAGTAACGCAAAAACCTTTACTGGTCCGTGCACAACGCACACAGTCCGGTACGTTGTGCCACAGTTTATTACATTCTTCTAGACCGACATTGAAGATTTCAATTTGTAATTGCATTGCATAGCTGCTTTGTTTCCCGGCTGACCGTGCTGTTGTTTTATTCTGGACTTAATCAGAACCGTGCCTGCAGGTCTGCATTACGGCTGCACTGTGGTCCATTCTAATAACAAAAGAGATCTAGATCTATATATTTATATATATATATATGTGTGTATTGCGATAGGATATAAGATGCAAAAGTAGGCACATGAACAAACGGCGTAGCTGATATACAGTATTGAACTAATGTTCAGCCCTTAATATACTTGCAGACCGAATACATTATAAATCTTCCGTCCTTCGATATCTGCTCCTGCTAAACAAACAACTCAAGTGACTCAGCAAACGGTGCGAAGTTCAAAGCTGGAGAATTGTTCAATCTGCAAGCATGTAATGGGTCTCCTGGAGAATATATCTAATAATGATTTGTTTTTGTCCTCGGATCTGATGTGAGAGTCAAACTAATTAACATTAACTGAGGCAAACAAGGAGAACAGGAGCAGGGGCATATTGTCAGGTTTGGGAGTCAAAGAAGACATATTCAACAAATAGTGTTTTTAACTCCCAGACTTTAAATGAATTAGTTTGATCTGTTGATGAGTTTTCCATGCGAAATGTTTTGAATTACTTTGATGGTGTTCATGGTTCTGAATCCTACATTGTGCCCCGCCAGCCCACTCGGGGCTACAAAAACCTAAAAACACACACACGTACTGGAAGCACACTTCGATCGGATGGGTTACTGTTAATTAAACACAACAAATACTTGTTCTCCCTCTCGCCTGATGCATATATAAAGTCTTACAAATTAAGAGAAAGCATTGATGGAAAAAAAAACACTGCAGTACTCAGCAGGTGAAGTGCACACCGCCCAACGCTCACGGCTGCATCAGCGCGTCTGGTCTTCGACAAAGGGCGGCTCTTTCTCCGAGAGATCGTCTCCGGTGACCAGATCTGTTCGGCACCATTCAAGTTAGTCATGATTAATGAGCTGCACTTTCAGCCTGCCACATACGGCTCTACGCAGGGAGCAGACCGCATGAAGTGGTGGAATTTAACCTAAATGGGCAATCAATTGCCATCGCTTCTACCAGGCTTTAGCAAAGTCCACCTCTTATATTGATACGATAATATTATTTAATTCACTGAAATCTTGAGTTGGTTAGTTATTCCCTGGAGATACAGACAGGAGGCGGAGTGGGAACATGTATCGAATAAAACAAGTTATTATAAAGATTACCACATTTTTACAAACTGCAGAAAAAGTAAGTTGGAGTTGTTTTGAACGAGCTGTAAAATAGAAAAAACACAATACCCTCTAATTGACACATTGGTATTACTGACATGCCCATGAGCAAGGCACGGAACGTGAAAACTACTTCAACTTGGCGCACCGCACGTCACAAACAAACCACAAATCACTGTGTGGCAAGTAATTACCCTTTTTTTTACCATATTCACAGGGGGAAAAAATTGCATTTCCCAACAAAACTGCTGACATCAAAGTCAGCGGAAGGTGACCACGGGGCTGCAGCTCCGTCTGCCGAAAAGCTAAGAAGAAAATGGACCTTTGCCTTGTTTACCTTGAAGAGCCCGGCGCTGATACACAGGAGTCTGGTGCACAAGGTACCAGAGGGAGACGCACGACTGTGTCTAACAAAAGCCCCGCATAAGACTCATTTAGTCAAAGTGGCAGATTTCCATAAGACACATTTCCATAAAAATAGAAATGATGAAACAAATGTAATAAGTCATTTCTTTTCTCTGTACAGCCTGTTCTCCAGCCCCAGATTAGTGACTTACCATAATAAGCTACTGGAGATCAGAAGCTTGTTATTGTGGAGAGCACTTGACGGAGTACTGGTCCCCAGAGGTCAAAGTTTGCCTCAAATATAATATAGTGTATTCATAAAGGCAGTACATAAAGAACAGAGACATATATTCATATGAATGTCACAATATGAAGCAAAGCTGACTAATATCTATCTGCACGGAGCAGATTCCAGACCAGCATTGTTTCCACTATCAATAATATGCTCTGATTATTTCAATGTTTTGTAAATAAATCAGATAAGCACATCGATAAAATGTTGGTATTATGTGTAATTAGTCGTGTGCGGAAAGAGCTCAAGAATGATGACATTTAGGTATTAGACTGATACGATTCCTCATGTCACATAGCAACACAAAGAAATAAGCCACATGCATTCCCTTTATTCTTGGCGGTGTGAACAATATACTATCAATAAAGAAAAGAAAATTTAAAAGATGGTGTTCCATTCTACAGGAAGAGCACAGGGGGGCTTTGGCTTGTTGGCACAATAACTCATTTGTTTTCTCACCTTCATCTTTGCAAAGGGCCTGTCATAGCTTCCGACGTAGAGCAAGCCGACGGTCTCTGGCAGCAGCCTGAAGAGACAAAAAGATCACGGTTAACACCCTCAACACAAGAGGATCTGAGAAGTCGACAATGGTGCAAAAAAAACAAAAACACTACACCGCTTCCATTTTTCAGCTAGTAACAGAACGGCAGAGATGTGAGATTACACGTCTGTGAGCCCTTCTGTCTCTCGGCACGGCACCACCTTCCTAAAGCTACAGAGAAAACGCCGAAAATAAACCTGTGGAGTATTTTTATAGATTGAAGTCATCTGACTGCATCTCCCGGCACAGTGAATTTGGACTATACTGTGTACATCCACGGGGGTCTTTTGTGTGCACCTCTCAGAACCCCCGAACGCGTGTCAAGCCCGACAGATGTCCAACAGATGTCTTCAGTCACCGGCTGCTGCTTTAACCTCCTTCCCTCGCTGTCATTTGCAGACACTACGTCTTCCGTAAAGAACTACGTCTACGAGTGCTGGTTTTATATCAGTTAACAACAGGGGCAATAGAGCTTAAACCGACAGCGCAGTCAGATGAACCTTATTCAGAGAATTCGATTGGAGCTGAAATCCGAGAGCATCTCCTCATCCGCGCCGCCCCCCCCCCATGTAATGATAGCTAGCATCAGCAGGAAGGAAGGAGCAGCAAACATCGCAGTGATCACATGCCCAGACCCCGCGAGGCCGAGCGCATTACCCTGCTTTGCTCTATTAGTCCCTCTGACAAACAGGTTGCTTTCCTAAAAACGCAGTATTGATCGTGGTGCCGTTTTCTGAAATAACACAAAGATGATGATCCATCTTGTGATTTCAACGTGGTTCACTCAGCGGCAGGATGAGGAACAGGAGGGTATATTGACTAGTGCCTCAGAGGAACGGACTCTCTGGGCGTCCTTTAGCAGCTGTTTCACCGGTGCCAAGCTGAATGTCTGAGGTCCCGAGAGTCCTGCTGTCTTTAATTACAATGGAAGATCGTTTTCAGACGGACCTCAAAGACACAGAGCACGAGGCGCTGTTAGATGTCACGCTAGTCTTTCAACAGCATGCATTCAGACTTGTGCAGCCGAACAGCTGAAGCATTAAATTAAATGATTTGTAAAGCATGAAATAAGCAATATCTAAAAAAACTGAACATTAATATGAGCTGGTGTGTGAAGGAAATGGCAAAGGTGCTGTTGGCCAAGTGAAAAAGTATCAACAAATACTGCACTTTATTTTGTCCTCTTAGTCTAAAGAGGAGGCTGGTGTTCTTTCTATATTATTGTCGTCCAATTGCAAAGTAAGGCTCCATGTTTCCTCCACAGAAAACTACATGTTTGTGCCGAGGACTGAGAAGCTCTCTGGACACGTCGCATCTGAATGACACTATAAGTGGAAAATTTTCAATAATGCATCTAAACAACCGACGTTCTGACACGGTGCAGAGCCTCCATGATGGTTTGAATCTTTTCCCGCAAAACCACAAATGACCCCACCATGGTGGTCCTGCAGGTGAAATGCGGCAAATGAGAGAATGCTGATTGCAGTCAAGAATAACCGCACTCGTATGTCGTTAGCTACACTTTGGCGCTTTAATATAATCAGTCAGAGGTGAAAGAACTTGAACGGGCTCCTTTGTACGAAGCATAGATCGGGATGCTGTAATGACACTTGAGTCCAGAGTAGACGGGCCAGTAACATTAAACCTGCACTCGGGCCTCTGGAGGGCCAATCCCAGCCAATCAAAAAGGTACCATTCTCCTTCTCTGGGTCCTTCAAAAACCATAAAGGCTGATGATGTAACCCGTATCCCCTTTCAAATGGTCTTTAAGTCAAGCAATCCGCACAATGCTAAAGATTGTTCCTGGGATTGCTTCATCTTTCCATTTTCGTAATATTCTCTCCACATAATCTCTCCACTCTTCCTGCAGCACAGTAATCGCTGTCTCCCCCCTGTCCCCCGCCTCACAGAAGGTAACAACCTACAGGGCTGAGCACGCCTTTGTGGCGCACAAAGACGTGCTCAAGGACCGACTCCGTCGGCGGATGAAAACCCCGTTGTGACTTTGCACATCTCCGTCCCTCCCTCCCTCTTTCTCCCCCTCTCAAGTCAGTAACTATGGAGAGATTTGAAAACCTACGCTGACACTGACTTCTGATTGCTCCTCTGCCAGTGAAATGTCTCTTTCGGGGGGATATCGGAACGTTCCCAAGCGGCAACAACGGCGGCCTGTGCGCTCCCACGCAGGGGGGAGGAGTCGAGAGACTGACTCGCCGGCTGGCTCTGGAGGAGAATGAGTGACCGTGATCCTCTCAGTCTGTTGTCGGCGAATGGTGGCCGGCTCGCGGGCTACAAAGCTGGGACAGTCGCTAAGGTCACTTGGCTCCAAGAGGGGAAAAGGCAGCGTGACCAGAAAGCTCCGTGCCGAGAGTCTGTTGCACTCAAGATGATACTCATCGAAGGAAAAAAAAAAAAGCACACAGAGCAGAGGAAATATGCATTGTGCTGACGGAAAAAAAAGCAAGATTTACGAGTCTGCAAGCCGTGCTTTGAGGGATGCACTTAGGTACAATGTGCTTCTTTGAGATTAAAGAAATATTACTATGCAGTACAATGAAATAAAAATATGAATTTGAGTTTATGTTTTGTAATTATTAAAGCTACTACAGTCAATCGTAAGTCAAAGGATCGGCCAAGTTATTAGAATTCCTCCTCAGTGAACCATAAATGTCTGTGCACAACTTTGTGAAAATCCCTTAAAACAGTTGTTAAGGCAAAACTTTACTTTAACGTGCAGCGGGTGCTGGAGGAAAAGCCACAGGGTGCCCAAAGGTATTATGATGGATCATCTGGGCACCATGAACATCTGTACCGAACGTCATGGCAAGCCACCCAACTGATTTTTGAGACACTTACCAGAATATGGAGAAAGGCCAAGAGATCCATCCGATAAATTGTTCTGGGCCAAAGCAACCAGCTCAAAGTCTCACGTTGCCTCTCCGAGATCCACATTACCAGAATGGCTAAAATAATATCGGACTGTAGACAACTACTAATCTTACAGCAAGCGTCTATTTCATATGAATGTATATCAAAGGCTGTAAATATCTCCAGTAATCGATGAGCACCGGTGGATCTGAATAATTGATAAAGGATGATACACTTAAAATGAGAATGCAAAGGAAAGGCAGTGCCGTTTTTCTTTGTGCATATAGCAAATGAGAAAATAATAGAACTGAAGACATCAGTGCTTGCAGGCGATGAAGGCGAAAGGAATGAACATTTGCACTCTGTAGCATTATAACTGTAACAGGAATTAAACCCCAAGGCAAAAAGGCACTGGCAGAAAAAAAGATGAAAGCATTGCCTTTGACACCGACACACAAAGCAACTGTACGTGTGTGTGTGAAGTACTCCAGTGTGTCACAAAATAATAGGTGCTATCAGAGTCATCAGGCGAAGCGTTTCCCCGGCAACAGTGACTCACCCTTCTCCTCCCACTTTGGCGATGTTGAGGCGAAAGTCCACAGAGTTGAGATTGGGCGGCTTCCACTTGAGGATTTCATCACACCTCCCGGCCTTGTATCTCTGCAAGTGAAAGCCAACCCCCCCCCAACAAAAATAAGTAACAAAGATAACAAAGATTTGTACGAATATATATTAAATCTGCTTTCATGGGACTAGTGTGTGGTTGCATGAGTAGAAAGCTAATCCGCAATCAAACACACCACGCATAACCCGACACGCTGGGATCACCGATGCGTGGCTGACCTTAAAGGAGGAACATGAAAGAGGTGTCGAGGAACACGAGGGCTGTAAAGGCACGGCGGCTGGAGGCGGGAACAGATGACGGGACTCTGTCACTGTCAGGTTGCCCCGGCAACAATAGTCTATTCCAGGACAATGTGTGGAAAAACCGACAGGACTCCTCGGGAGAACCGGCGTCGTCACAGCACACGACCATATAAGGGCTTCCAGGCCTCACCCAGAAACGATTAGCGATGGAATGCAGCGAAGCGTAATCAATTAAATCCAACGTACTTGTAGTTAATTGTTTTGTTAACAAGACTTTGTTGTTGTGTAAATATGTAACAGGTAAAAATGTTGTACGTCTCCGTCTGAATGTTTGTGATAAACTGTATGATGTCTTCTCGAATGATCTTCTTAAACCTGAGTCAGTCACAAAACAAATGGTCCCAAAGCGCATTTATTTTTTTCTGAGATTTTAAGAGATACACGGCTCTCACTGGACATTTCTACGCTGGTGTTCAAGTTTGCCAAATTGTTTGCCGATAAGCAACATGATCCTGTAGTTTTCCTGAACGGATTTTCAATGTCGTCACGGTCAAGCTAAGAAACCCTAGAATATATAATCTCGTGTTGTACGTTTCTGCAGCCTCCCATGTCCTCCTAATAGGTTGTTGTACAAGTGTTCTGCTCCATATGATCCTCCTCAAATGGAGCAAAAAGCCATTAGAGACTTCCTCCAGGCGGCATCAATGTGTTTTGAACGCCTTCGCGGTCCCAAAACGGTGAGGCATGAAAAGGGGGGATAATTGTGCTGAGGTTTGGGCAGTCTCACTCCGTCGAACAAACAGGAAATGACGGAAATACAATAGTTGTGTGAACGCCAATGAAAAATTCGGACTCCGCCTTCCTTTCAACCCACCCGGCCAATCGGCTGCGTTTAGTGGATGATACCAACAGTTTGCTGGTTTTTGGCAAAAAACGAATATGGGGTTTTAGATGCTGACAGATGATCTAGAACTTTGTTTGGGGGATAATGAAGATCTGTGACTATATTGCGGGTCATTCGATGGGTACGTTGCATGTTTGACTTTCGGAACAGAGACCAGAGTTCATAGTTCAGACCCTTTTTCCTCCTCTTAAAAAAAATAAAATAAAAGCAAAACATTGGTTAAAAAAAAAGTAATGTAATGATATTTTTGACTACAAAAACGTAGGACTGAATGAGACTAATTTATTTAACATACATCCTGTATTTTGGGGAAATTATAGTTTAAATCAGGGGCAGACTGACTGTCAGGTTCGGTCTCCGGGGGGGGCACTAGTGTCCTTCAGCTTTGTCCATGTGCGCGGCAGCCTTCATGAGCCTTTGAAAGCAGCACGCTCCAAAAAGGCTCTTTGCCGCAGTTAAGCTGGAGAGCAGGACGAGTGCCCGTCTCGTTTGAAGAACCTGAACAGAGTACATCTTTTCTGCTGTGGAAAGGAACATTCTTCAATGCAGTTAGCTATGCTTCGCCGCACAGACATCAAAATAACCTCCAGAGAAATGATTTATTCCTCTTATGTCGCTCCTCTTATGTGATTAAGCCCTCAGCGGCTGTCAATCAAATGACATCATTAAAGAGATATATATATATATATATGCTTCTGAAGAGCCAAAAACAGTGAACAAAAGCTGTGGTTAAACAATAACAGGACATGTTGAGCTGCAATGTAACAACGGTAATGTAAAGCCAGCAAAAGGAATCCACAGCCCTGATGATGCTTGTTGAACTGCTTGTGGTACATTTTCAACCTAAGTTAAGATTGCTTTATCCAAACCAGCAGAACCGGAGAAACACACAGTCAGAATGCAGTTTGAACAAACAGCCCACCGTGCCCTGCTGCTTTCATGACTATTGTTAGGCCTCGTCAATAAGTGACTGCACGTACAGAGAAATAGCTTTATTATTGAAGTGCAAAACAGACCTTCAAACCCCCGTCTGTATTCAAGAACGCACCTCGCCATCTATCAAAACCATTTGCATGAAGTGATGTTCCATTGCTTTTGATTTGCCTGTTGATTCAAGTTGCAATTTCATAGGCAGTGATTGTCAAACCGAGGGAAGTAAAAAGCTGCACAGTGTGAAAGTAAAAGTGTGGCTGCTTCATAAGAAAGAAAACGACTGCACAAAAACCAATTTAATGTAATTACTGAACAACAAATGAATTCCTTGAACTCCCCTTTACACTCAGTGTTTGCCATCACATGCAAACTGCGGTTGTCTAACCGATGTGTTGATTGCATTTGCAAAGCTGAAATGTTTTACATTCCACATTGATGATCAGCTGACTGCTTACTAGCCAGCGGCCTTTTTCACCACCTTTCTTGCTTTTGTTGCCAGTGAAATCATCAACCAAGGGATGCTTGATGTGTTCAGTTGTTACTGTATTAATAACAAACTATTAGAGGGTCACTAAATCTATTGTATTTTATTTCTTCACGTTTAAACTAACAAGTGTTTGATAATTCTATTACAGCCCTTTAATATGTGGTTAAATGGAACTTTACGAGTATACAATTGTATTTACAGGACGTGTGTTCTATTTAATTTTTTCCATTACTTATTAACAGGGTCTACAGGACACACTGTCAACCCTTTTTATGAGAATAATTACGTCAAGAAATGTTGAATATGTGGGGGAAAAAAGTATTTTTGCAAAAAAGATTGACGGATCCTTTAATAATGAGGACGTAATCTAGAAAATGTTGAAGGATTTACTGACAGTCGGTTACTGTTTTCTATTCTGTGCTCCATTTACTATTTTTAACCTGCGCCTCTAATAACATCTTTTGCTTGATGCTCCTTATTTCTGTTTCCCGGAATCCCTCTTCTCGTCTCTTATTCAAGCATTGGACTACAGCATATTTGTATGAATTGTGCCAGCTTTGAAAAGTACCAGCATGACGTGACTGCAGGCAGCAGCAGCAGCATCATCATCAGCGCTTTGCAAGAACTGCTCATCTGACTCCGCACTTCTACTTCAACTGAACCTTTTTCTGGTGACAAAGATAAAAGCTCAGAGTAGTTCACAAAACTGCCACCGCGGACTTTACAACTACCACAGGCAACTGCAAAGTAGTGCAAATTGACAAGAAAATAGACCAGCCGTGCTCATCCAGGCCCGAAGTGAACATTAAAGCTGAAACCCGGTGCTCATGAGTACAAAGGAAGGTATTGATGCATCCAATAAAACAGCGTTTTACACTTTAGCACATGGAGGCGCTTGGAAGTGTTATCACACTGCAGCTTTAGAGATGAGACTTTAAAGACATCAGTTAGATGCTGTAAATTAGAAATTGCTCAAACCGAAAACGTAGCTGTTCTCTGATGTCGGTACAGGGAAAACGGGACTACAGCGACATTCCCAGCATTCCAGCAGTGGGACGAGCTACTAAACGGCTGTAGATCGGAGATTTGATCACTTTAAAGCATCCTGGTCGTATGTCATTTAGTACAATCCATATTTCCACAGAAAGAAACGTGACTCATTCAAATTTGCCCCATGGAGAGAAAAGCTGAAGCAGAATCACTTCTCTTTTGCAGCGTATTTACTCCAAGTAGAAAAATAAATGTTCAAACGGTTATTTTCATTGAAGAGTGGGATTTGCATTTCTCAGAAAATAGATATTAATTACAAAATATTAACTTTGAACAACTTCAATCACATAGCTGTGGAGATATTACGGTTGAGACTAAAGTGGTGGAGCGACTGAACTTGGTTATGGTTAAATGATTGAAGTGAGAATGTGATTTATCTGGCTTCCATATAATGTCTAATTGTTAACTCTTAATTTTCTACAGGCAAATTAGACCCTTTATTAGACCCCTTTAGGGGTTTATGTGGATGGAAGTACCTCATTTTCATTCCTTTATTGACTTCTTTGAGAAATTGGTAAAAAAATAAATGAACCATAACTATGGCACACAGACCATTTAAAAGCTTTGAATGAATTCCTTGATAAAGATGATGATTTTGAGATAAACCTCAAACCCATGCAATATCTGCAAACACGTATAAATAAATGTTAAATGTTATAAATTATTAAAATCAAGTATCATAGTGCAGCGTAGTGATAATAGTAATCTTCCACAATAAACAAAAGCTGAATACATGTTTGAATTGCAATTTGATGAGATAAAAAGCAGCTACGAGAAAGTTCTTTGATTGGTCGAGTATCACTGTAATAAAAATGATTACTGCTCTAAAGCACACTTATTATTTAATTGTGCTCCAGATTACAGACAAAAGCCTGGACGGGTCCACCAAATATGTTCCCCAGAGAACCGATCCCTCCATTACAGCTCAGACACACTGCCATGTTTTTCGAGAGCAACTCAAACGCTTCACGTTCTGGGGTGTTTTGGTGCGACCGTCAAAAAATTTGTCTTTTCTGGCTCCAAAATCGATTTTAACTACTCTCTTTGATATTTTTTGTGTGATGCTAAATTTAATTTATCTTCCTTCTTTGTGCAGAAACCACCATCTGGAGTGCCCCCTCCCCCCCATAAGCACTCCTACCATCTGTGCGAATGGATTTGTTAAATCTTTCCAATGTCCGATGAAAAAACATTTGCCATATTCCAAGTGTGCACGTGTTGAGTGAGATAACACGCCGCAGTAGCAACCTTTGTGCTAATATTAATGGACGTTCGCAGCAGCAAGATTTAACTCTGAGACGAGCGCAATCTCATTCACAGGAGAAGAGATTAAGAGCGACGTAATCAATGACTCTGGAGGAGAAGGGTTGCAATTTGATGCATCGTTAATGGCCCCATGCGAGCGTTAACGGGCGGTAGAATTTAAGATCCCCCCCCCCCCTTGCTGCTGTCAACGTATGCAATGTACAAGTGACATGATGTAAACTTAAATCCTATCAATAATTTAGTTAGAGGCTGTAATTGACCAAAGAGCAAGCTGCATAAAGAAGGCACATTTTCACGTCTTACTCTTTGAATTTAGGATTTGATTGAACGGAAACCGGAGTTGCTGATTGTTGTGAGCAGTGGAAAGACGAACAAAGTGTTGTGAGTTTTGCGATGAGTCACAAAGGCAATTTGTGTCTGGTGTAGGTCTACTTTGGTTTAAGAGAGAAACTTGAATTTAGAAGGAATAAAATGTGTTTTCTTTCTGTCAAGGGGACAACCCGAAATGGCTCCCCCATCAGAGATATCAGCTTTCTTGGTCAATACAGAACCCACCGGGACATTATTTCCCCTGTACACCACATTTAAAATGATATTATATATAATAACATAACTTTAATTTCATGCAATGTTTCAAAACAACATCTTGACAAAAATGGTGTTGAAGAGACTTCCATAAACAGCCTCCACGGTCGGCTAGACTACTTATGAACCAGATGCTGCAGAGCATCCTCTTACAAACCTTTTTGTGAAGACAGGTTGGCTTATCAAGGGAATCTCAAACAACAGTCACTATGTCAATCAATAACCGTGGGCTATTGATTGACATAGCATTAGTTCACTAAACCACACGATGGCAAACGTTTCTTCAGATGCAAAGCGTGCTGAGAACAACACCAGCGGTGGACAGCCGGATAGCAGCGATGTATCTTACTGCCTTGTCGGCATCTAAGCGCCTGGATTCTTCCTCGTAAATATTTAAAAGCCTGGGAAAACTCTGGCTGGGCACTATCTTAGTGCCTTACAAGGAAGTTGTAAGGAGTTGTATTTTGTTCAGTCATCACTTCATCTCCTTCAATATTTAGTTGGACTGTGTGGATGCTGCTCCCTGTGTTCACTGCTTCCACCGCGACAGCATCAGGACCGAATCTGAACCATCTTTTTTTTCATACTAAATCTGGATACGCAGAAAATGTCGGCTGCGGGATGAAATTGCCCAATTATGCGGTGATGATGACGTCAGAAGGGAGTCTTACAAACAAGCAAGAGCAGTCTGTCACCTCGTCATCAGCAGGGGTTGAGGTTGTTAAGGGTGAACGGCATTTAAATGAAGGTCTGTTCTGCTGCATTTTAAAAACATGCAGACGCCGTCCTAACTGCAGCCCTTTGTCACATTGTTTTATTACGGATATTCCGTTTGTGTCGTCTAAAGCGATTAGGACTTACTGAATCAGAACCAGCGTAATACATTTTCAGAAACGTCACATCAGATGGCAAACTGCTGCATTATCATTTAGTCGCATTAGACTTCAGCCAGCTTTCCCGACCGATTACATTTGTTTGAGCGACTGTGCAAACGGGAACCAGCTGCTGACCTTCAAGAGTCGGATTCAGGAAACTGCCGAGAAGCATCCTAATGAACAGTGATTTGATCCCGAGACTACAAATCAAACTGAGCACTGACAGCTGTAATGGAACACATCTGGGTCTATGGCGGTAATTTCTAGAACAAGGCCGCGTGTGCATACACAGCCCTGCAGCGCTACGAAAGGACTACGAAATTTAAAGGTGAGAATTACATTATGAGGGGTAACAGACTGTTATCCACCACGACCCACGTCCATGCAATCCGATATTCAGAACACATTGTCACATCGTCCCGGACGGTTATATTCCTGCTTGCTCAACAAGCAACTGCCAAAACAAGTCACAAACACTTATTAAAAATTGTATTTCTAATCCACGACGGAGTGGGATGGTGCTGTTGCAGTTCCTTCAGCCACTTTGATAAATGTCAAATACATCCTTATGCTCAAAAGGCCACAGTGCTTTACTTTCCCCGGTCCTGTTGTTCACAATCCATCAAATTCACTAAAGCTACTTTAGAAGAAAATGAATCAATGGCCGGCTGCATTGACCCGTGTGCTCTATATCCAAAACCCCTTCTATGGTTAGGAGTGTTTCAACTGGAAATTCAATTCCAACCTCTAAAATAATGTTGGAAGCAAACTCAAATTCTAAATCTATTAACATTATTGACTCTCTTCCAGCAAACGTACAGTACAACATTTCCTCTACAGTTTTAGGAATTAGATATGAACTGTGGAAACAAGAGACATAAAAGGAAAATGCAAGCACCTGCAAGAATAAGACATTATTTGTTGGGACATTGATGCATCGTTAAGCAGCCTCGGGGGGACGTCTGCGGAGATGCACATCACCTCTGCTCAGGTTGTGGAGGAGAGGAAATGCAGCTGTGTAAACTTGTCTCCTACCAATTTAATTTAACACGTCTTCTTAGAACGGTTGCTACCCGGACGCCCACGGTTTTACACTAATTACTTCCCAAATCACAGATGAAAGAAAAAACTGAACGTGTTCAATTCAATATCTATATTTAAAAAAAGATATACATTTCTCAAGGCCAGTGATGTTACTTCTTCTTGCATTTGTAATAGAACATAATTAACATTATTATCATTATTCATTATATCTGTCCCAGAGCCGCTATCTCTTGGTTGGGACCTGCATAATCAATATTTAAACCAATATACACTGTATGTCAATGTATTGATCCAAGGCATGGTAGGTTTTTACTGCTATAATTGTGATATAAATCTACATAATCAATGTGAATTCATTGAGATTTATACAGCTCTGCTGAGAGAAAAAGCCACTGTATTGTATTCCTTAAAGGGAAATCTTCAATACTACAAATGCACCTGCAGATCCCCTCCAATGGATATTAGTTACATAAAAAAAAGATTTTAAGCAACGCGGGGAACCATCGTTGCTACGGAGAGAAAAAAATAGGCAAGGAAGAAGAAATATAAAGTAATCTGCCACAGTTCCATTTGACAACACATCTCTACATTGCTAGCTGTGGATACAAATTAATTATGGGCTTAAAATCACACGTTCAAAGCCAAATACTAGGAAAACATATCTGAATGGGTCGTGGCCAAAGAAGAAATAGGCTTTTAGCGCATCATATTAGTGTTTCACTTTCAACTGATGGATGTTAATCTCGTCTGGGGTCAAAAAACAAACGAGAAGCAGGTGAGCAGACACAAAATGTTAACACCATTATCCCTGTGTGTGTGTGTGTGTGTGCGTGCGCTGCCTGGTTCTGATGGATCCACGGACATTATGCACAAACACCCAGAAGAAGGAGAAGAGGAATTTTACGACAGACACGGCTGAGTGATTTCCTGCTCTTCTGACATACGAGTAGATTCTTACCAAGGCCGCTCCCGTCGTAACACACAGTGACATGTGTCTGTTTTACAGTGCAGTCTCTTAACACAGCGCCCTGTGTTTATGTGAATTAATGTGGGCGTGCGGCTATTTATTTACAATGCTCATATAGGTTGTGGCAAACGGCGCGTGGCAGTGACAAGCCGTCCAATTTTTTATGTAGTAGCTCGGCGGAGGAACATGCTTCGCCTGACGGGCGACGGCTGTGAAAGGTGGCAGATTGTGACACATGGCGGGGAGGCTTACCCCGCACGGCTGGAAGATAAGGCCGTCCACTTCGTGACTGACCTGGGACGTGAAGCTGCCTTCCAAAAGCTGAAAAAGCAGAAAACAGAAGAAAAAGGAGGACAAACTTTTTAGCCAAGCGAAAGAAAGAAAGGTACATTCATTTATCAATTCAACTACTTCAACTTAGTTGGAAGGATTTTACTCCAGAAATCCATCAGAGTTAGAAGTCTGACACCTTGTTTTCATTCATCCAGCACTGGAACTGAGCACTGATCTCTTTGGCTGATGATGCATGACAGAGAGATCAATATCCGTAACCTAAGAGCCGATGGTTGAGGACCAGAACGGCAACGAATCATTAAGCTCCTGATCACTTGGAAAGAGCGACTCTCCTCTCTTCCATTAACACCAACCACCGGACCACACAGCCGTGCAGAGGAGAGAAACCCTCGGCTCTGCAGTGGACACGTAGAAGATCTACTCTACGACAAATGCACGATTCCCATAAAGTACATCAACGGGCATTGAGGCAGTAGAATGAGGCTCTGCGTACAGACTCAGAAGTAGTTTCCTTGTTTCACTCTTCTTTCATAAAACCTCCCGAGCAACAACACTGAAGACAAAATAAAAAATAAAATGAAAGTGAAATCTACACCATGGATGCCGAAAAGCAAAGAACACAGAAGAAAATCGATGCCCACACAATGTTTATTGATGTCCCCTTTCAACCTATTGAAGTTTGTGCTGCATTTCATGGATGAAAGGAGCTTTAGAAACAGTTTTTGTTGTTATTATATTACATGGAAAATTCCTGTTTTTGAGCAAGCCCATTAAAAAAAACAACCAAAAAACACCTGTTTGATCCGGTCACCTCAGAACCAGATGCATCATTAAACACATCAGGCTTCAGACAATTAACTAACTAAAATACTACAAAAAGGAAAAGTTTTTATATCAAGACTCAAAAAAGCTGACAAACGTGTTATCCACCTCCATCGTGGCAGTCCAACACGGTGGTCTCTCTTTTTGGGCTCACCATGTATTTTTGCCTCACTATGTTCACTATGTGTGAGGCATTAATTGCAAACCCTGCGTCAACACAGAGGAGCGAAATAGCTCCATGTCACAAATGATGTGCAGTCAAGTATGAATGTAAAGACGTGCATGCTTCTGTTGAAGGTTAGGCTTCATCTTCGGTGATATTTAAACACATAAAACTGAAAAAGACGAAAGGATATGATAAAAACTGAAACATGTATATCCAACCGCGTCACTTTCACAAAAGCAACACCGTGCACAGAGTTCTTTATGATGTTGTGCTATTCCTGATGGATGAGCAATCTTAGAGTTTATTACCATACTGCACTGGCATGAAGGGAGACCCGCTGGTGCTTGAAAGTTAGGATATCAATCTAAAAATCTCAGAATATATTAGGCTACAGTGTAATGCCAAATCTAATAAACGACTGCAGACAGAACAGAACCTGTGAGCCTCTTCTAAAGGGACGATATTAACCGAGACGGCAGAATCACTGCTGGCCTTCGAGGTAAGTGTGTATATTGATCACGAAAACCTGTGCAGAGCAATCTTTGCTTTTCTGTACAGGCATGTGGAAGGCAAATATATTTAGGTACACCGGAAATGGCCTTGGTCAATAAAATAGAGAGCTGATCCATTAGCGCAGTGCAGCGGATATCAGGTATCGTATCGAGGCCATTGAGACGAGGGAGGCTCGGATATATTGGCTTGGACGAAAGAAACAATGTGCGCTCAGTTCCTTTTTTTATAACACATTATAGGTGGTTTCCTGTCTGAATGACAGGACACGATAAAACGAGATTGAATCTGAATTTAATATTTCAATCAGCAGGCACAGGCAATGTATGTGGAGATGGCAAAGTAGAGAGCGAGACCGTCAAAATTCATCGCCATCACGGTCCTGCTGCAAACCAAAGCACAACCTCAATCACAAATGCAATAAAGTGTCTAAAATATTGCAATTTCATTGGTACTTCATTCAACTCGGTTTCTTGTGAAACAGACTTTTGTCAGACAAAAGTGATCCATCTCAGCTGCTCAGTGGAGAAACCTTCCAAGATATTATGACACATTTAGTCATCTTTAAGAATCTTTTTAAGGTCTTTCAAATATATCAGATATTTTTTGTTGGAAAGGAGGACATATATCCAATTCTTTGAGATTAATGAAGAACCTACTGGTTAAACCGGAGGGAGCTAAAGGCCCGACATCCCTTTCGGGTTAGCTTCTGTTTAAACGTATTCTAGACTCAATGCAAGGTCTCATTGAACATTTTCCTCCGGTCCTCAGATATGCTCTCACGGCGTACTTTCCACCGTTAAAGCTACTTGGTAAAATTATGATATATATATATATATATATATATATATATATGTATAAAAACATGTAAGAAGCAGATAAAAAAAGAAAAGGTTTTGCATTGTACATTGGTCTATAACTGCATGTTCCTCTTCTTCACGGCCTTTGTTAGAACACCGCTCCAGGTCTTCGCAGCTCACCCTCATTAACTTATTAAAATAAGTGTATGAGAACACTCGGTGAAATGTGAATTATTATCTTACATCTCAAACAGCTGCGGATGTTCTGGTCTCACTTTAATGTCGCTGTAGCAGAAAAATAAAACTGCTCAGAATTGGTTTGGTAAAACCCCCCCAAAAAACAGCTCTGCTGCTGCAGAGTTCTTCTTTTGATGGAGAGACGTTGCACGGTTGTATTTATAACGCGGATTTCACCTTTTCCCGCAAAATACTTTGATGCAAAACAAAACGACTTCTTAAAAAGGCACGTTGCCGGGAAGCGAACAGAGTCATCAGCCCTCGGTGGAGCGAGCGCACGTTTATCTACAGCGCAGCCGCGGAAAGATGCTCGCTTCCAGGGCTCCACCTGCAGAGCAACATCAGTGCTCTCCAGGATGAGTGAGTGAGTCACGGCACATCACACAAAGCCCGACAATCACGCTGACACGGAGAAGGCAGAGCGCGCCAAAATAAGAAGAACTGCTGCCTTTATGATAGAGCGGCCACGTGGGCGGCGAGATCTGGGACTTCCATTTCAGTTCTCTCGCCGTCTCAGAAGCTCCCGCCCACAAACATTCATCAAGCGCAGCGAGCCGCGGCTGGAGGGACGAGCGGAGAGAGAAGACTTCCACGCAGGCGTTCCTGGGAGCAGCGACCCCGGCTTTAGTGGTGAGGCCCCTCTGGGGAGGGAGCACAGCGCTGAGGCCGTGTGGGCAGAGAACAGCCGAGACAGTGGACGGGGAGGCGAATCAACCGCGAACACGCCCCCCCCCCTCCTTGAGAGACTGCATGTCATAGTGATGGAAGTGTGTTTTTTTTTCTTTCTTCTCTGCAATATTAGAGCTCATTGCACAAAAGAGAAGAAGGATGATTGGTGTCTGGCTGGGTGACATAAAATATGCGCAGGTTTATTTCAGGTAGCTCTTCAGCATCACTTGCCATCGCTGCTGGTTGATCCTTCATTTGGATAATAGATCAGGAAATAGTAACAGACATGTTAAATGTCAGAAAGATAAAATGTCACGGAGAAACCTCAAAACAATTGAAAAATGGCTTCTATGAGCGAAAGGTGTCGCGTTCTCTTATGATCAAAAACTGAAAACTGAAAATCGGCTAATATTGACATCTGGGTAGGAAATTCATTTCCTGTAACCAATCGACTGATTTCAGCTCACGTCAAATCCCAGAAAACGAACAAGGCAACAGCCCAGCAGATGTGATGACTTGTTCCATGAGCGGAACAATTCCCGACAGTGAATGCGGCGCATGAGTGAATCAATTAGATACATTCAGCGTCTGTGCTGATCTTGGTCATCGTGTGAAGCATGTAATGAGGTTATTCTTAAAATATAACATGCAAGTCTAAGTGTCAATATACCAGTAGAGGCTAATTAATTAAGCAGGACTATTTTAGGGCAAACCCTTGACAAATGTATGAACCAGACATTTATTTTGCCCTTTGAAGGACTGTTTTTTTTTGCCAGTGTGTCTTGTTTTTACCTTTTAAAATGATTTAACTAGAACTGACTGTGTTTTCTCATGTTTAGTCGCAGATTGTATCTCAGGAGGGCAGAGAACCGCTTTGACCTTGCCTTTGAAAGCCAATATCCTGGTGTGAATAACAGATCGAGTGGGCTGGAGTACAATTGTCCCACTGGGAAATCAAATGAGCAGAAGAGATAATGCATAAGAGTTTTTTTTAAAAACCAATTTCTGCTCAAAGCGTCATCCAGAGGGGCTAAAAGGACGCAGTAAAAATCGAACCTTTTTAAAAAAAAATCCATTATTGTAAACCACTTTTGACTGACATTTACACAGTTGTGCACCGTATAGTTCAATTATATGTGTACGCAAGAAGAACAATAACGAACACTCTCATTTACAAGACAACGTCGTGACTCATTATCCTCTGCGATGTGTCCAGCGTCTCCTTAGCACACCTCAACTGATTCGCACTCTCCTTTTCCCTCCCAACCTCGCAGCTCCGAGGAGGTTTAGGTGCGGGGGATGAATCAAAGGCGGAAAGGATGGATTGATATTCCAGTCAGACCTGAGGGATGTTGCCGGAGCCTCATTTCAAACATTTACGTGAACGGCGCTCTGGAAGTCAGGATGCAGCTCCCTATTAGATGAAAAGCACACCGCCGAGTGGACGGGCGGATCTGATGAAGCTCTCGCTGGTTACAGTCTGGAGGAGTTTCATGTCTTCCAATATCTTATCTTTTGATTGGATGCGGGTCACAAAAAAAAAGACAGCAAATGACACGTTCGTTTTTGAAAATGTTCTTCAAATGTAGTTCTGAGGATTAAACCAATAAGGGGATGGCAGTTTTTGGATGATGAGAAATAGCATGAAATTGAATAGTGATATGAAAAAGAAACCTGCAGCGAACTAGACAAGTGTCCTGATGAGAGAGCAGCACCCGACTGCCGCTACCGTGAAATTAGAAAAAGTTAGCAGCGAGTTATTGGAAGACAACAAAGACCAGAGGAGCCCGTTGCCCTGAACTTTGAGTTTCCAGCTTCCTTTTTAATCACCGTAACGAGGGATCAAAATGAATGGGATTTGGTTACGAGCGCCAACAGGCAGATCCCCTACCACTATATTCTCTACACTACAATATTTCATTATTAGAAAGTATCTTTCCGGTATAGAATTCTGCCTGAAATAAGAATAGTAGTTATTAAGTTCATGAGAGCAATATACAGACTACTTCTTTATATTGTTTATAATTTAAATCGATTCAAGGTGACGTTTTATCCAACTAACGGTGCAAAATCCCAAACTCAAGACAAAATATGCAAGTATGCATGTTTAATAAGATAAGAAATAGTTTGCTTTGCTACAGAGAGCAGACGGACAGTAAAATGCAAAACAACGTCCAATGTGTGCTGTAGGAGAGACTGAGCTCGAGCAGACAGCGAAGAACTTATTTGACTTATTTTATTTTAGGGGACCAATCAAGATCAAGTTATTCATTGAGATAAACGGCCATTGAATCAGACTGTATCTTATCACAACATTGCTACATTTCATTTATGAATGATTGAATATTGCTACTTTCTTGCGTTAATTGGTTGTTTTTCTCCCTTTAAAGCTGCAGCACTAAAAGTATTTGTGAGAATAAACTCAAACATTGGAGAAGTAAGAATGGGGATTGGACTTTTCCATTGCTCGATCGGTTTCTGGCTAATGTCCCGCTGCAGGAAGGTCACGATAACCCAGCAACAAGATGTCGGTGACTGTGCCCTCATCTTACAGGGGACTGGCTACATCATTTCTACTTGTGCATGAAGGGACAACAGCTGCATTTTTTGTGCATTCCGGGGGTTTCCGAACAACTGCAATTTGCCCATTAAGCAGATATGAACAAATACAAAAATCGGAACTAGTTTCTACAGCTCATATGCACTTTCAAACCAATGCACAAAAACCAAAATGATTGACTCATGACACATATAGCCTAATTACAGGCAAATATATAATATGTATATATATATATATATATCCACAATAAGTGGAGGCAAATTAAATCTTCAAAATGTAAGGTGAAGAATGTAGGATGCTGCCTTTTATTCATTCCTCCAATCTTCACTTTTACCGTCTAGACTGTTCAGACATATTGTATTGTGTGTAAAGGCAATACAATAATACTGCTACATAAAAGTACAACTACTAAAAGTACAATTTCCTTTATGTTGTACTTACCTAGTCTTTGCATATGTACTAGCGATACTGAAAATACACACATATTAGTATCAATGTATTTTATGTTCTTAGACAATAAAGTTTGAGTAGCTGTTTAACTTAAAATAAAAACAACATAGAAATAGTTTAAACATTTTTTCTCCAGATTTCTTGAAAAAGCATGTATTTGAATTGTTACAGCAGCGGTGTTACTTCCAAACAAGTATGCAAGGATGTTGTGTCATCACCAAATTGGTACAAACACAAAACGCATGCAGCAGCCCAGAGACGAGGTAAGTGGACAAATGCGGAGTGAACTCAAAAGTCCAAAGCACATCTGAAGGAAAACACCTGTTGACCAGAAACACCGGATGTTGGTTTTCCTTCCCTGCGACTACATTGGCCTCGGAAGGCACAACGAGAGCATGCGAGCAGAACAAATTAAATGAGAAGCTCCACTCGATGCCTGCAACATATTCACTCGCGTTCCCTTCCGGGGAATCAGACCTCTACTGTATGGATGCGCTGTGCATCATCAGATGTTGCGTAATCTTCCGGAGGCTGTGAAGAAAACCAAAAGATATCAAAGCGAACCGAGGTACACAAACATTAGTCATAGAGTCCGTGCTGGCTTTTCTTCCGAGCATCCGGAGCCCTTACACAACAGTCAACATGTTCCCCTCGGTGGGCGGGTGCAGCAGAAACAGAGAGAGGTGATGGAGTGCAGCTTGTTCCTGAACCGCACAGGGGAGGACTGATGCATCACCGCGGCAAAGTCCCAGAAAGGTCAATACGGCAGATTCGGTCATTCTCTAGCCAAAGGCTTATCGTGATATTTTGAAGTGACGTCATGCTCACTTGTACTGGGAGTTGATCATAAGATCATAATAATCATAAGAAGGCGTAGATTCACCACAAACTCGATCGGGTATTCAGCCGGTTTTTCGCACCGTACCACAGCTTGATTTTGTGAAAGCCTACACATGAAGTAGACTTTGGGAGGCCCGAGGTCATGCTTTGTAACTGCAGACTCGACAGCTGACAGATTCGTGAGGTCGGTTAGAAACAGGGGAACTTGCAGACTGACAGCACTCCGCTAATGAGAGGTGCAGTTTTTAAACCTGCCTGGACACTAGAAACCTGTAGAAAGGAAAGCGTAGAGATCCGAGTGTAGCGGCAAGAAATGGACCATGAGAGGACATTTACATATACTCCAGGTTTGATAATGACAAATAAGCCATGTCTGACCTGCTGCCACCTTGCAAACCATCACTGTTTATTCCATTCTAAGCTTGTTTATTGTTTCAATGTCCTTTTCTATAAATGCGTTTAATCCATTTTTTTAAATTCCCGTTTTCTTTGCCTCCTGTTCTGGATGGTTTTAACGGCGTTATGTACAGCACTTTGAATTGGCTTGTTAAAATGTGCTACACGACTCGTCCTGCCTAGGGAGGAAGGCGGCAGTTACTTGATACACAAAGTCTGGTATCAGTACTTGTGCCTTCTAACCAACCAGACTGACAACAGACGGAGCTGCAGTGCAGGCTGAGATTTGCACTCATAATGTAATATCAAGTAGAATTTGAATTCCACTGCATGGAATGCATCTAATGAGGCCAACACTTTATCTAGAAACTTAAAGATGGGAGGAGCATGAGTAGCTGCCGGGAGGTTGGTTATATTCAAATGTGCACTGGTTCTTCATTCACTTCATGTATCTGCTGCACATTTGCGATCAGTTGTTTTCACATGTTGTTTACATAAAAATGTCAAAAACATTTTTAGAATTGTATTGAAAGTGAATTGCTCATGAAAGACATCATATCATCATTAAATCAGTGGCATAAAATTGTCGGATAATGATTATAGAGTAATTTTATCCTAATTATTTCCGGGACAATCTATGGTCCAACTATAGTAGAAATGGGGACAGACCTAAAATCACACGGAGACCTACCGGCTCAAACGCTCTACTCTAATGCAACATGACGGCCACATATGAAACAGAACACATAAATACATAAATACTATATTACCGACACGCCTGAGACTTTGATGTAGAGAACGACCTTTGGTCTGCATGACCAAAAGCCTTCAGGAAACACACAATTGCAAATTGAGATCACAAAAGAGAGTAGTCTAAAAATGATTAGCAGAACCTAAGTTAGGTCGCAATCTCATTATATTAGATAAGCTATTCAACCCAAGAACTACGACACAACAACATATATCAGACATCCTGCCAAAACACCAAAACTCACAGATACTCTATAAGGACAGTAGTGTCGCTCAGCCACTGCATCAGTCATTATTACAGGATTAATTGACTGATTTGATTATGGCCCTGGGTCAACTAGAGATACACGTTTCTTTATGCAGCTTACAGAAATATGATAGATGGGCAACGGATAGGATATTCTCCAAAGGGCATTGATAAATAAATATCATCCAAGTTCCTTTCGTAATTTGAAAGTTATCAAAAGTGACTTGATTAAATGTGATAAAAATTGAATTAGTGTATTCTTTCTGAAAAGGTTAGGCTTATTCAAACAGAACACGTCGTCAAAGTTTCACCTTCAGTTATTTTGTTTCCTTATCCCTTAAACTGCTGGTAGTCAGTGCTGAATGTTAAGTGTTATTTGATATAAATGTAGCAGTTTTTCTCAAAATGAAGAACAATTCATTGAATTATTAAAGACAAGAAACTGAAAACGCAGCGGTGTGTTATCTACGAATCAGCTAGTGGAACGATCCCTTAAAGGACAAATGGTCAATTATTGAAAGAAGGGTAAAAAAAACTTAAAATGCAAAAGCAATTAGTGAGTTCTGAAGTCCCATGAAATGCAGAATTGTTTTTACCCACAAGATTAACGGTCTTCGTTGGCAAAATACAATCTGAATAAAGTGGAACTTCCAAAATGTGTTGTCTGGCCGTCCCAATGTAGAATTACTGTTTTACAAAAAGGGGTCTTTGTTAGATAATTGGACAAGTCGAGGAGCCATAGAGGATACCAATCGTTCCAATTGGTGGGGGGAAAAGTGTCTGGGCTGAAAACCAGCAGACAAAAGCCATCATGCAACTCCAGTCTGTGACTGAAACGCTCCTCAAAAAGGTCTTTCTGGTTGATACGCCATGAAGTGGAGTGTTGTGTCGTTATGCATTAATAACCAGATTCCAGTTCCCCCTTCTAATGTGCCATACAACAGAGATGTGACTGTACGGGGAGCAGATGGCGGCCGTACCACACAATAGAGCAGTCACAAGCCAGACATGTTTCCGCTGACTCAATTCCTCGAGCATCTTCGTCAACATCCCCCTCCGAGGGTGGGGGTAAATCCTTTGTACGGGTTCTGAGGGGAGCGGACCAAAGGTAATCCCAAAGGTGTTGGCGGTGGAACACAACGCAATAAAATGTCCGAGACCTCCTCTTTGTGTACGGCGCCAAGATTTTTCCGACTGATCTTGGCCCGACCGAAAACATCTAATTAATTGGGCTCTGAACTCCCACGGGCCTGGTATGAGGGCACAAGAGCAGGCCTTTGAGGAAGGCTCAACAGCTATCCGGAGGATAAAAGCTCCGCTGTTCCAAGCCGGCGAGCGACACAGTAGGACAAGTTGAGCCACGGCCGTTTTATGCTTTTGTATGACACCTAGATGGAAAAGGGCCACAAAATAGCATCCAGGGCAAAAAAATGGGCGAGAGAAAGAATCCAAGTTAATGTCAAAAATGTACTTTACATCAAGTGTGCACATGTAAAAAAAAAAAATCCATTCAGTGCTCCCATGATCACCAGCTCGCGGTAATATTTAATCTGCAATATATTATGCTTTATTCTACCGCCACCTTTTCACGTTAACGTTTTCATATTTCATGGTGCATTCACACAGCCATCAAAAGGAGGAAAATCACAAACAATTGCCTCAAGAAATGAGTTTGATTTATCAAAGATTACAGCCGACGGCACCGTGACACGCTTTGGGCTATGAGCCGAGTAAATAGGTTAGTTTAGAAACTGGGTCCTCCAGCTAGTTCCTATAGGAAGAATCTGCGAAAAGAACTAATATTGGTGAGGCGCAAAATACCGGTTATGCAAAACTAAACAGCCTCTGCACCATGTTTTAGAGTAAAGAAGCTAATATCTGAATCCAGGCAGCCAGCCTGCATATCCTGGTTGAGATTGTGCTTCATACAATCTCTTAAAATTGCTCTCCCTCTCTGGTCACTCAACTGGGACTTTATTGAATCTCAAATTTAACTTTTAGATGAGGTAGCAGTAAGAGCTTTTAATTAACTGTATTTGAATATCATTGTGTGTCATTGTGAAATAGCGGGAGGAGAAAAACGTGTTGGAAAGAGAGACGGATGCCTTTGTTGACGTTACCTTCCGTGATGCATGAATGTCAAAGAAGGGTTTATTTCGGACACTGAAGGGCTCCTTGGTTTTGTCAATCTGTCCAGTCTTCATCTTCTCCATCCGGGGTGAAATGATCTCTTTTTCTATGCATAACAGCCGGATGTTGAAATCGCACTGGCCGACAGGCTGTCCCTGAAACATAGAAAGACAAAGTCAGTCTTCACTCAATGTAACCTGGAAATAACTCAATAAGACACAAAGCGATGTGTTTGCTATACGGGTACATGTTTTAAATAAAATATACTGATAAAATAATATAGTGTGAATGTAGACTGCACTGTGCACTGCCTCCACTATCACATTAATAGGAAACATCTGGCGTGCATACTTAATCCCTTTAAAAAAATGTATTTACAGATTAATGAGCTGTAATTTCATTGCCGAGGCAACACTGTTTATCTCACAAAAACGCTTGTGAGTCAGAACAAGACAGATATTTTTAAAAGTGGACAAATTATTACCTAGTTATATTTAATGCAGCTTTGTGTTGGAATCCTTTTCATTCTTTACTTTTGGGAGCATTTTGGTTTCCTTTTGTCTTCTTTTAGGTTCTGATCAGATACATTTTGGATTAAATGGTTAATTTTAGATCGTAACATTTTGTGTGTTTAATATTTTGTGGCATGGAACAAAAAGTAGATCAATCATTGCAGCCCTTGAAAGCAATATAAATGCACAATATCATCCTCATGGAATCAATACAATTCTATAAGTCTCTTCATACAACTCGTATTTCCCAGCGGCACCTTGGCTGAGCAGCATGCAGGAGCCTAAAGTACGCCAACGAGACCGTGACATCAGCTGAGCTCATGGGAACGTCCACACCAAAAGGTACACAGAAGAGGAAAAAGTCTGCCTTCTCCTTGTCACTATGACAACAGCTTCTCCACATTGTCCAGCCACTCAAACATATCTTTGTTGTGCGATTGACACACTGATTAAAACTGCACAAAAAAGAAACAGTAGAAACATTGCCAGATGGACAGGGACTAAATGTATGACAACAATCTGACATTTAATATTTCTAACAAGTTACCGGAAGAGGAAAAAGGGGGAGCTCAAACTCAGCAAACCAAGCTGCCATTTGTTTTGCTGCCAAGAGACTGACGAATGGATGAGAAACAAACATGGTCTACGTCACCGGGACGGGATGTCCAGAGAAGCTTTCCGTGCGTCTGCAAATACCCAAAGCCAATGTGTCTTTGATTACTTTAAAAAGGTACCTCTTCGCTCCTTTGAATGAAGACTGTGCTTAACATTTTTTTTTAAAAAAGGTACACAGTTAAGTATATATTATTATTACTAAAGGAAGCATTTCGTGGGCCAAGAATTTATACTCGTACGGAAGAATGTTTCCTCTAGCTACAGGGTACTTTTATTTGGAGCACCTCAGGGATCAATTTAAGGCCCTTAGTTATTAATCCTTATTTACATGTTATACTTAATGTATGCACACTTTTACACGTTTGCATTTATCTCCTAATTATTCTCTTAATTAAACGGACAAAGCATCACATTTGAGAAACAGCTAATTATCAGGATTTGGTTGGAGGGATAGCAGACAAACAATTTGCTTTTTTTGAAAGTTGTACGATTCTTCTGTCAACATTTAGGCAATGTGTACATTTTTGGACATTGTGTGTTGTTTTTGCCCTTTTAAAACGTTCCAACAACATAATAACAATAGAGAGTGAAACCTTTATACCTTCTATGTGACCACACAAATGGTGGAAGGATCGATATTTCCTGATATAAAAAGGCACCGAGCGTGACGGTGCGATCTGGAGAATTTGTATTCTGATCGGTTGCGGTTTGGAAAAGGCCACTTCTTTTCTCAAGAGCCTTCTATGCAATTATTGGACCACAGGGGAGCAAAATTATTCCTTTTCAAAGGGGACGAGGCGGGGAATGACTAGTCAAGATTAGATACAATTACCAGACTACCTTCTCATGAGTCTCACAGATACAGTATCACACAAAGCAGTAAAAAAAGATCACAGCCTTATTTCAGTGTGTACAATGTCAAGCAAAAGACAAAACATCTTCATCCAACAATGTTTCATATATATATATATATATATATCTATATGTATATATATATATATATATATATATATATATATATATATATATATATATCTTGCCATTTTCAGGACTCTGTAGGCAACTATACATTTTTGAAAAATGTCAATTAAGCATCACTTTGAAGACCTATTTTTCTTTTTCAGTGTGACTGCAAAGTACATGTCACCCTGTGCTCCTGGAGCAACAGCTGGTATCGTGTCCCACACATTCTGCGACGTCTGTCAGCCGCGTCATCAGGACAGAACGAGATGTAAGTGTGGATGAGTCATGTGCGGTACACGCCTGTTCGGCGGCGAAAATACAGACGAGAATCTTGTAATTCCAACATTGATTGTTTTGCCGTGGTACCAGAAGGTAATATTTATTGGTGGCTACTATTTATTTACCTTTGCTGCTGCACTTTGACTCAGTGTCCCTTGGTGGTGTTTCAACGCAGCACGCGGCACCATGAAGCTCACATTTTGATGTCAGTCTATTTATACAAAACTCTGCAGAAAACAATTCCGTCGCAAACTTTTCTCCTGAGAAAATGTGCTGCTCGTCTGTCTTTGTAGGAAAAAAGCAGTGTTGAGAAGGAACTTACTCATAAAAAAATTGTTGAAGACATCTAAAGAAACGAATGTTGAAATTAGTGGATTAAAGATCCTAAATAATATATTTAACATGATTCAACACGAGCAATCATCATAAATGGAAAGAGTTACTTTTTTATCTAAATCCAAAGAATGTGGTGGGTGAATTGAATGTGTGCATGAATAATCTGTAAATGGATTGTCCTTCAATGTGAAAAACCAGAGAGCAGCCGAATCTTCATAGTGAGGCTCTAGAGGTGAAAAAACAGCAAAATAACAACATGGCTAAAAAAAACAGACAACTCGGGGCGTGCTGGGAATAGTGTTAAAAGCCGCGTGAGTGTCTGGGATGATTTAGAATACATTATATAAAACGACGCGGACAAAATTACCGTTGGGACCACTTAACAGAAGCTTAAAGTGCAGCTTCCTTGGGGCATTTCTTTATACAAAAAGGCTTTCAGGCTGCTTTGGCTTGAAACCATTTATAACAACATATCATAGCTATTTGCATCATAGTGCTCAAGCCAATGCACATTAAGTACATTAAGGCACATAGAAATGTCGAATAAATACATATATATATATATATATTCCAAGAATACGCTTTTTTGTTATGAGTGGCTTACTTAAATACGAAGACGGGCTTACCACTCAGATAGAGTTCAAATTCAGGGATGAGCTGTCAGATTTCTGTGATAATTGCAAGACAATTTGCAGAAAAAGAGAAGAACTCTTTTCAGACCTATTTTTTAATGCAGCACACTGAATATTTTGAAATAAAAAACAATAAAACAACAAAGAACCGTTTTTGTGCAACCAAAGTACATCAGTTTGGAATTATCAGGGAAGTAAGGTTATCGAATAGAGCGCACTCCTCCTACAATTGAGAATACTTATCCGCATAACAGCCACATTCTTTAAATAAACAACCCATGCTACAGCCCAAGCTCAACATGAAAGACAGCTTTAGACAATGACAGGTGAAATGCACATGACCAGCTACTAGTGGTGTTCACTGGCTAGAGCACAATGCCTGCTTGGCGTCATTACTAGTGTCGACCTATCAACACAAATCTTTTCTTATCTGCAGTGCGTCATAAGAGCCACGCAGCTGTAGGTTTAGAAGGAATGATGCAGCTACGGGACTATTATTAGGCCCTGGCGGGCTGCAGTCTGTACCCGCGGACAAACCTATCAGCTGGAAGTAAATGGGGCTGGAACCAGTAAAGCCCTCCATAACTCCCAAGAAGGTACAGTTCTTCTTGGGATCTTAATAAGCAAGTCCTTTCTGCTCGGGCAGTTCATGTGATGGAGACAATAATCCAACTCTGCACTTGAATGTGAGATGTAATATTGGCTACATGAAGCCAAACAGCCCCAATTAAAGTTCCATGACGTGACGGTAGATAACAGCTTTCTACATCAACGTCTAAATGAAGGGCATATTCATGTGATTCTTGTCAGTTTGCCCACTGTGGGGCTGACGAGCTGGGAAAAAAGAAGAGCCCTTTTCAGTCAGCGACATGGCCGCATAGGTGCTGTAGACATCAGCTCTCTGGACACAATAACACCGACCATGAATATCCACTGCTGACATGAATAGCACAGTCCACGCAGACACCCGCGTGTCCACAGGACTAAGGAAGCTCGCCAGCAGCTAAATCACCAACCTTGGCGGGAGGACACATACCTCTCATCAAAAGAATCCCAGGACTGTGCGGTTTGGGACTTTGTAAACAAGCGAGGCGTCACGTAGGGTCAAGGGCCCAGCAGGTGGCTTATCTCCCCCCCCTCCATCCCGTCCACAGGTGCCTTTCCCGGATTCGTTTTTCTGCCTCATCGATGGCAGCCATTACTTTTTCTCTCGGTTTGGATTTCTTTTTTGTCTCGTCGTAATTTGAGTGTTTACGCGGCCGCTCGTCGTAACCAGTGTAACCAGTCAGGCTCAACCGAGTAAACGCGAACAAGGCCCCAATAAACTAAGAAATCCCCAAAATATAGAAATGTAGGCTGACTACTTGATTAGTATAGCAATAATTCTGTCCCTAGTTTCATCACCGTAATCTTCATCATGAAAAAAACAAACACAAAAGCCCTTTTTACCTGTATGGATCCAGCGGGATAATAACCGCTGCTCATCTATAATGCAAGTAGGGGACTAATGACCAGGTTCAATTCACTACAGTGACCCTGACAGGGTTTAAAAGTTTGGATTACCATTTACCACTATTTTACTCATGAAATGTCAATGGAGCTCAGCGAAACCAATTTCACAGGTAAGAGAACAAAGACCTCACTTATGAATATATATTCGGTGTGCTTAAGGTGCGGCTTTAGTGAAGCTCAGCCTCAAAGCGTGACGGGATGCGGGGGGGAAGGTGGGTGGGGGTCAAGCAGAGTCGTGTGTCTCCCTAACACATGCAGACTCACGCAAATCCCATCCCAGCTTTCTCCTGGAAACAACCCGCACCGTGGTAACTGGTTATGTGTTTTGCCAGCTGCTGATGGACCAGGACCAGGAATAGAAAGAAGAACACATTCTTGAACCGCCGAGGAGGGGTGGTGCTACTCACATTGAATTTGATGATGTCGTATATCAAATAGCGGGGGACGGGCTGACCATTCACCTTGTCGACGATCATCTCCTGCAGAGATAAAAGACGAGAGACGCACATTGAGGTTACTGAGAGGAGTATGCACGATTGGGTGGAGAAAATGTGTAGAACGATGCAGAAAAGAAGTTAGTTCTGGAGGAGCAAAGCGGCACCGCAAGCGCTCTCCAGAGGATGCATGTTCAGAGAGGGAGATGCCTGCAGCGGTGAGGCGGATTGCATGGAATTGGGGAGGTGGGGGCACGTGTGCATTGGGCGCTGGTAAAGAAGGACATGAAGCAGAAATAGCATCGCACATGTATTATGCAAGACTCTCAGGTTGAAAGTCGGGTCCAGCGGAGGGACGGGCACAACGGACACATGGGACATTTTCAAAGAACTGTTACACAACCAGGTGATGTTGTGACAGCAGAGGTGCAGACGTCACCGCCGTGAAAGTGAAAGCAGGGTCTCTGGTGAAGACAACAGGCTCATGGTTTGATACAACTACAAGAAATTGGGATTGAAAAGAATATACAAAAATAAAGATACATTTAGACACGTTTGGTAAAAGATGGAAATGTTCTCACGTTATAAATATAACACTCGATCGAGCTGTTTTCATTGAAGTTGGCTACATAAATGAGCACCAGAGACTGCTGTGGTCGAGCAAGACGAGTACACTGATAATGTGGCATGTACACCTCATTTACTGCACAATGTGGCCCTTGCTCTGCATTTCCCTCTATTGGGGCTTGTGTGGACAACACAGGTAAGCTACTGCTGTTTGATCTTCCTTAGACATGTTGATTGCACCCATTTCTTGTCTAAATTAATTAGTGTTTTAATTGTGGATGAAAAATGTTCTTGTAAAATATCAATATAGCAACAGTATTGTCACCAATTTGGCTTCAGACATCATGAAGCCGAAGCATATGTGGAACTACGGGGGGATGAAAGTGGAGCCAGTATGTAGAGTACGCACATTTTAGGCTTTCATGCAGACGTCTGCACACTTGGCAGATGAGAAAGTTTACCACCAGAAAACTCGTGTGCACCATCTCAGTCCTACGGGCGCTGAAGCACCAAATAACATAACCATTAACAATCATCAATTACCCAAAACTACAGATGTGCATTCTTACTGGCTATCGGACGAGGAAACAGACCGAGCATTCACTGTAAATTCCCCCGAAAACCAGAGCGGAGGAGTGGCGGCGGAGAGGAGTGAAAGGCAGGCATGTGGATGACTGTCAGAGGGGTTGGACAGGAACAATGATGTCATTCCAAGAGGCTGCCATCATCAGGGCATCGGGTGCACTGGACCGATGCACAGACACAGCGCAGCAGATGAATACATTAATGTGACCAAATGACGCCGCCCAGGAAGCCAATCTACACCGCGCGCTGAGCCAATGTTGGAACTCATGTTGATGTAAGGCTCAATTAAGCTGCACAACTAAGCTGCACGTCGGGACAAAGACCGGTACTTTTGGGCCCGGAGATGAAACATGTGAGACAACGCGGCTGCTCTTCTCCACACAGCGTCGTTCAACCAGAAGCCAGAAGCATCAACAGATGAATAGACGGAGTCAAAACAAACCTTGTAGCGATCCAAAACCAGTGTGTGCGCGCCGCTCTTTCAGAGGAACACTAATTTGCTGCAATTAGACGTGCTGCCCAATGGGGCGACTAAAAGCACTGCATCAATCAGCAGCTGTTAAGCCAAGAGGGGGGCACATACCCATCTTACATAAAATTGCTCTACACTGAACAGAAACCAAGCCCGAGGCCAAGGCGACGTATCCGTCATCTCCCCGAACTGGAATCTCAAATGTCAGCTGAGATTTTTCTTGTCCTGTGCCTCCAGTTGGGGAGTGTGATAATAACTCGGGCCCGTGTGTAAACCGCTGCTGCCGGGGAGCCGTATGCGACCTCATTGAAAGCCTGAGCCCAGCATCATAGGTGTGGAGCAGTCAGCGACCCCCGTTCTCACCCGGTGGGGAGAGTCACACAGCGTGGAGGAGCGCGGCAACAACCGGCGGAAAAACCTTAGAAGAACGCAAGATTTCAGGCTCTGAATGCAATTCTCTTTCACCTGTGGTTTGGCAGTTGATGTCAATTATGTGGGAGGCTGAGCGGCGGGCCGGGGGTTGGGGGGGGGGGGCGTGACAGCGGTGGAGCTGGAGGGGACATGCCTTCTCAGTCGAGGGAGTCAGCTACGGGATTTTATGGAGGCAAGGAGAGAAGCAAACAGAAAGCAACAGGAGTGTTAGGAAGGAAAAAACAACTCACCCCGTCCAGTAGAGTATTAGCTAAGTGGACCCGCGGTTCCTTCCGGAAAGGGAACTCGAGGTTCGCTATGTGGAAGATGGTGTTGTCTCGGTCGACCATGAACACTTCATTTTTCCCGTTGATCAACATCATGTACCTGCGGGAGAAGATGAAACCAGGATGACACGAGGTTGCACGCTGCGTATTCACTGCGAGCTGATCGCGTCTTCAGAGGCGCCGCTATTTACACACACACGCATGATCATTTGTTCCCTTATTGGTTTTATTTACCTGAAAGGACACAAATATGTTTTTCATTCGAGTCAGCCTATTGGATTAGTTTACATCATCTACTATTACGACCCTTGGGTTTTTCTGCTTAAAGTGCATTCCTGCAGAGCTGACAATAATTATCTTTAATAAGTTCATCTGGAGGTCCTAATATGGTGATCACAATTAAAAGCTGAATTGCTGTGAGCAAAGAGAAGAAAAAAAACACTCAGCAAATACACAAACAACAGCAGCATATAGCTGCAATGTGCAAATTAGTTGTGCCACATTTAAATAATAACAAAAGCCAAAGCTGTTAGGGCTTTTACCACGTCTGAGAAGATGACAGAGATAACCAAACAGACATCTTATTACCGGAGCAAACACTTCTCCTTCCATCCAGCCGCGCTCTGTGGGAACCCTCGTTGCAAACACTGAGCATTGCGTTCTTGTTTCTACAATGTGACTGCGTGGTAAAAGAAATACACATAAATGTCAACTTGAACCTCTCATAATGGCATCAGTAGCATTTGAGGAAAAGTGAGAAGTGAAAGTGAGAAAAAAAAAAAACTCCTACAATTTCCACAGAATTATACTCCAAAACGCTTCACAGTTATCGATACTCAAATCAGTATTCAAATGCTGTGCTTTGCTTTGATTATACAGAATGCATATCCCCCCAAAAGAGCCCATCGACATGAATTATGAATAGTTATAGTATAATAAGTAATAATAGGTGCAGCGGTAAAGCATAAAATATTAACAAATAACGTTGACAAAAGTAAGAAATAGACTACATTGCACCGCGACGGTCTCACTGCTATTTTTGGACAGCTTATCCTGGATTTTCCAATGCTTTGGGTTCATTAAAATCCACTAAAACCAAGGACGGCTGGAAAATGACTTTTTCACCCACGAGTAGACTCAATTTGAAGAATCCAAAACCCGGGAGCAGCAACTGTTGATTTGTCTCCACTTTTCCTCTTCATCAAGTATGAAGCGGACGAACACTTTAACTTTGAGACTTTCCTCTTCCCCCTAAATAACGCAAAGGCACGCTGTTACTAGATATTATCTCTGGAAGTCTGCCAGCAGCACTAATTCCATCTGTATGAATATATTATGACGACCACATCTGGACCAAATGCTCGTAAAGATCCAATTAGAGTAAAGAACTCAATTGCAATTTCAAGGAATCGCCTTTCTCTGCATGCAGAATTTGTGTTAGCGAACACAAATGCGACAGTCCAGGAAGGCATGAAAGAAGGCAAAGTGTGTACACCAAGTGGACGTTGTGCGATCAATAGAGTGGGATGATCGCTGCGCTGGCAGACATGATGGGCAGTTTTAAATGTGAGCCAGAAGACTGACAAAAATCCATAATCCTCCCGACTGTTTGTTCCTTAAGAAAAGGAGCTCATAAGACGGGCCACACCTCCTAAACACGAGCGCCACCGTTGGCTTTGTCTCTGCAGAACACAGACAGCTGAAGGCCAATAAACACTGCAGGTTCATTTCACAATTTTAAACCACATCGTGTATTTAAATATTAAAAAGGTGCGACAGCCTATTTCAATTCAAGACTCAGAAGCCGGTGGGCGTTCAGGGAAGGTTCAGCGTTATGCAAACCTCTTCTTCACAAGCCGAAGCAACCAGCCTGGAGACAAGAGATGAAAAGCCAACCGCTTAAGATCGACCATGTAAGAGCGCTGGTGTGCACAGTCTGCCCTGCCGTGTGAGGCGATGTTCAATGAGGTAAGCAGTGCACAAACACTTCGCCTGAAGGCAGGAAAGGATTGGCCTTTCTCTTGAGAAACGACATGAACATATTTGTGGATTCGCTTAATTGCAGCCAATGCTTTTTGTTAAATGACCATTTGATTGGTCGACAGATGTTTTTCAGCATCAAGTCTACTGCATCATTTGGCTCTCTGGGGTTGGGGTGGGCTTATCGGGCGAGGCGTGCTACTGTGGGCGCAGGAATATTCTAAATGACGTTATAGAAGAAAAAAAAATGTATTAGCAATCTGTTGCTTCATCACACACACCTCTTATGAACCCAATTACACTTACAGGCTGCCTGTTGCTCTTTAACACAAAATACCAAGTGGTAATAAGCAGGAGGAACTAATGTCCTAATGAGCAACTGTAGTCCCACATCGTGTTTCCAAAGGTTAAATAGAACAATACCTGCGAACTGAAAATGGAGGGTAATTATCTTGTAACTGACATTTAAAAAGGGAATTTATGGCATAGAAATTAGCAGAAAGCTTTGATGGAGCAGGAACTCTGATATTAACACAAGCTGGAGGGAGGCACACCTTTGGGGGGAACAAAGTCTGATGACAGACTTGGGATTAATGACTTCCCCCACTGACAGAGCTGTGCATTCTCATACCTGCTGTGACTCTCAATCATAATCACAAAGGGATTAGATGGAAATAAATACGCAATCATACCAGCTGGCTCAAAGTGGGAAAAGCTGCCAATAACTGTTCTGTGTGTAGAATAATATACAAGCCGACAAGAGTACATTATAAAAAGGTTTGCTAGGGTAAATTACATTTTTAAATTTTAATATTAGTCTGCAATTTGGGTTCTTGCATGAAGACATGTTTCAAAAGACACAGAATTACAGCGTGTTTTTTGTACAGTAGACAATGGACAGCATTTCGAAGCCAAACAACAGACGGTACATTCTCTCTCGGGCATTTCTTTATCACTACGTCCATTATACCACCGTATTTCGCAAGAACACCAAGCGAACTCAACGGCACAATTGTTCCAAACAGCAGTGAATGTTGTCCTCGTGCAGGTGAGGTGGGGAGGGGATGAGAGGAGAAGAAAACCATCTGCTTTAGAAATAGCTCGCCTTTGATTAAATGCTCTGCTCTGTGCACCTTTGAGAACAAACGCGTAGGTAGATACCGTTCCCTTTAAAGTATCATTTCAATAAGGGGTTTTGTTGGGGAGAGGTGGGGGTGAGAGGGTGGGGGGGGGGGGGGGATAGTGGGATGAAAGGCTAGACATATAACCTAATTATTTTCATTACACTCCAATGATCCTGGAGCAGAGCCGCCAATGAAAGTGTTATCAAAACCCTCAACACATTGTTCAGATAAAAGCAATCAGGGAGGTGACTTTGAGACCCCCCCCCCCACCCCACACCCCACACACACACACACACACACACACACACTTCGCCCCAGCCATGACAGGAAGGAGCAGCAGAACACAAGCCTTGAGATAAAAATGAGGGTTGTCCAAAGGTCGAGTGCAAACTCCGAAGGGAAACTGAAAAAATGTGGGCGGAGAAGTGAAGACGGGTGAGCGGGCTCGATACAAGCTGCACTTACTTCTCCGCGGTGGGAGTGGACACAATGAAAGTATTAAAACACATAAAAGCAGTAAAGCAAGAGAACAGGAAACGTCTGCACGGCGCAGCTTATGGACATTACCACAGCCAAGACGGTCCTGCTGGGTTGAGGGGATGATGTATTTTATGCGGAGGAGATCAAAGAGTGTGTCGCAGCAGAGAGCATCTGTCGTCCAGGGAGGAGGCAACAGGTCTGAGCTCAAGTGGTTTCCCCCCCCCCCCCCCCCCTTTCTTCTCCCCCTCTTACCCCACCTGCTGTCTAATTGGCAAGTTAGCCGCGGCTGACAGCGTGGAGTGTGTTCAGAGGGGAGCACAGGGTGTCCATTAGTGATGCGTCAAACCCAGTGGTCTTCCTCCTCCTCTTCGTCGCGTCTCTCAGAAACACACTGAGTTTCCTTTTTCAGTGAGACAACGAGGAAAATATTCAATGTGACGTGCTCCTTCATTCCCCTCCAGGGGCTGCTCTCTTCATCCCACCTCTGATGAGTGCTCTGAGCCTCAGATTTCAACCTCATGCCGCCCCCCCCCCGTCCCTCCCGAGCACTCTATCCCTAATGAGGCCATTGTGTCGGCTCCGTCGGTCTCCTCCCGCGGCACGACCGACGGCAGCTGAGCTCCGGGGGAGACCGGAGATCAGGTCCGCCGGTGTTGCACATCGTTAGTGGCGCGTGGATTGGGGAGGGCCGCTGCGTTGCACCCGGAGACGCCAGGTCTGTTTCCTCATTGGGAGAACAAAAAGATCCACCGTCCGTGTTGTGCAAGGCGTGGATGCGTGGATACAGATGCCGTATTTTTTACGTTAGCTACATGCAGTTGTTGTTGTCGTCCAGTTTTGTGAATTGCAGCAGCAGAGAAAGAAATGGTCGCGTACCCGCCATCAGGGGTCTCACCCAAATGCATGACTGTTGTCAGGCGTGTCTGGGGGGCCGTCTCCTCCACTGTGGAGGAAACGGCCCGATGTCGCCCATAGAAAAGCTTTGCGAAACAGCTGTGCGCAGAATCAGAGAAAGTAAGTTGAACCTGACATGAACGGGCCAAAACAACCATTTAGTCTCCATCATTGGAGTGTTTCCGCTCTTAACGGTTTCAAAGGTTGAAAAGCGTGAAATTAAAACTTCTTTTTTTAATCCCACGTTTGCACTGATGTTTCGGCAATTGCATTTATGGTTTACTGCCCTATTGCCAACGAGCAACAGCTGCTAACGGCGCTCCGTCAAATAGCATTTCTGAGAGACATATTCAAGGGTAATCAAGCTTTAAAATGGGACAATGAGGATGACGACGTGTGAGACATCCCATAAATGTGCTGTCACCTTTAACTTGTACTGTACTGTACTTTACTTTGCTAGATTGTCTAATGAGGGATGATTATTGAAATAAAATGGCAAAAAGAAGTAATTACATCAATTAAATAAAATAGTAGCCTGTGCCAACAAATGAAATGAAAGACCTGGTGTTTTTTTTGTCTTTTGTATTTCAGGGCCCAGGACACATTGCTGCACCAACAGGCAAACAACAGCTTGTGAATAACTAATGGATAATGAATTGAGTGTGGGATTACTATCCCTTATTGTATGGGCTATTTAGGATTCCTTGTGATGCATACATTATAAATAATAAAAAAGGGATTAAATCTGGTCAAATTGCAAATGCCAAGATATGTATTAATCAATGAAAAATACAATCGTGTATTTGTCATTTGCGTTTGGTGCTTTTGCGAAAAAACTAAATGACAAAGTAAAATGTTGTGTCTTTGATGGTTTTCACGGAGTTCAGTGGTTGAAATGATGTTTGGAGCCTTGTAGACCAGCTGCTGTGAACCAACAATAAAAAGGGAGCCGTGTCGACAAGCTGAAATTGCTTTCAGCAGCAAAAGGAAACCTGATGAGGAATCTCTCACATCTCTATTTGCTCCCCTTTTCTTGCTCCCGTTTAGTGATGAAGTTTAACAAACGTCCTTGTGTACAATTCTATTTAAAATAGAGTTCTGTTCCCATCACTCATTGTCATTTGGAGTAGCAGTAAGCGGTCTAGTAAGTTGTATTTAGAATATTAAACAGAGAGAAGCAGAGTTTTGGTGCAGTGTGTTGCGCAAGTTGTCCAGTTGGAAGAGTTATGGACTTAATAAACTAAGTAACCAACATAGTTACAGTCGTAATGTGCTGAAAATAAGCAGCCCAATAATCATAAAAGAGCATGAACGCCAAATCAAAAGATCTAATCTAGCACATCAAAGTAAGCATTGGATTATTGATTCCTTGCTTTGAAAAGAGCGACTGATGCAGTGTTTATACGAGGAGGAAGCGGTTGATTAAGGAATCGTGAAAGTCTCTCTCAAGTCAGGCGTCACGCTAATAAAGTCCAAGTTGAGCAGCCGTGTTTGTTTTAAAGTCCCCAGCGCGTAATTGGTCCCTCGGTCCTTTCCTCTCGGGGACTCAAACCAATCGAGCCCTGAAAGAAGGCTCCACAACCCATCCAACTCAGCCTGTTTTTCTCCTCCTGGCAAATCCACTGCTGTGGCCGCCCTTTCCACGGCCCACTAGACGCCACCGTCCTTGGGAGTCTCCAGAGGAGCTGCATAATCTTCGGCTCATGCAAGTGGGTGTGTGAGGGGGGGAGGGTTGTTCTGTATTCTTGTCACCGTATTGCGTGCGACCTCGTGGTCATCAGGGGACGCAGTCGTGCATGTAATCATCCACCGCGGACGGAGCGGAAGTGTCGCAGCTTAACACTTTCAACGTCAGCACATTTCCTCACTTAAGCCTTTTACTGTGCAAAAAAGATACATTTAAAAAATGGTTCTTTATGCAAACTATGCTTTTCTCTATCCTCACCCAAATCACAGCGGGTGAAATGTGTAACACGAGCGAGAGCCTTCTGCGATATGCAAAGCCAAAAATCTTTTCGGGACACCAAGAGAGGAATTTCCCATAAAAAAAAAGTACATTTCAGTTCTTTAAAACAAGCCCCTGGCAACAAACTGGGACTTCTAATAAGAAATGATCTGCATGGAGAATAACAAATGACACTGCAGCACTACGACCAGTGAATCCCACTGAAAACGTACACACATACGTACATCCCCTCAGACCCCATTAATAGTGTGATGTGACGTCACAAATGTGTCAGAATTCATCATTGTTCCATCATTAGAGGGTTAATGATTAATACAGCAAAAATAAATGGTCATTAAAAGTGTAATCAATTATCTTTTAGAGTGATTGATTGTGTTCACTGAGCACAGATCCCACATCCTTCCTTCCCACTAGTGTTTGTCTTCCATCAGTCGGAGTTACTGAGCAGATCTTATGAAGACCAACAAAGAAGCTGCGATACATTTTCTCACCTCAGTAGAGTAAAGTAATATGAGACTAACTGTGCGTCCTTCACAGCTTTCAGCGGGCGAGTTCCCATAGGCTTCGTCAGACATGCTGTGCAGCCTGCTAACTAAAAAGCAACAGGAGACCGACACCGTAGTGACACAGACGGAGACAAAGGCGATTGAAGCTCCCCGTCTACCAAATCAAACATTATGTCACAAAAAAACAATGACATTTCAAGTGTCTTTTCATGAACTATCTATACATGAGATAGAAAATGTGTTTGTTTAATAGAAAAAGGCTGCCGGGAAATTGATGTGACCCCACTTTCTATGTCGTTATCCTTAATGATGTGATCTCTTGTACATGGTGCACGCATTATTGACTGGCAGGAAGGGCTGCATGTAGGAGGGCAGCACCAACATTATGTACGATAACGACTCCAGCCTTTCAAGGATACAAGAGCACAAGCTGAGGGAGAAATAAAACACACTCACGTCTCCAGTGCAACACAAACTCACACACACGGCGTGCACCGATTGAATTATGCGTTAGATTTCTAGTATCATTAGTAAATATGGTCTCACTGAACTAAAACATTTATGCATTAACTTTTTACTGTTTGCCACAGAGCTTAGTTTAAAAAAAACTAAAGTAAAACAAGAAAAAAAAAAAAAAGGGAAAACGAGGGAACCACTTTGATAACTTTAAGATTGTAATACATCAACGCTGCAGCAAAACAGCAAAAGAAACTAGATCAGGTGAGGAATACAAATATATTCCTCGGTAAACAACTGCATATCCGGCAGTTATGAGCCCCAAATCATACATTTATCTCTGAGCGATTACCAACAGAACACCCTCAATAATTAGTAGCAGGACACATCCACTGGTAATTCAGGTCTACAGTCAGAACTTTATATTTTACTGCTTGAATGTTCAAAGTTATTCTCAACATAGTTCATTCACCCTGCAGCTGAGGAATGACTCATGCCCCAGCATTATGCATACGGTTTCTCTCCGTTACTCATGACCAAAAGGAATAAGGCGTCACTACTCAGCCAGACTCTTCAAGTAGCTTCAGGCAAACCGCAGAAGGGGGGGGGGGGTGAAGGACAGGAGTGCCATGCAGAAGGGAGAGGGGGCTTAGCATCACACACAGTCCTACAGCGTCTTGGTCGGGGGGGCCGAGTCGGTACCCTGCTGGTCTCAATCTCGATCTTACAGGAAATGAAAGCACCGATATGTAAAATTCTGAAATTGAGTGGAGTCATTAAATATTCACCAGCACGCTGCACGTTTGAGCCAGCGAGGCAGAGAGAATAGTGAAATCCCTTCATGCTCGACGCTGGCTTTGGGCAACAGAGAGAGATTCAACAGACAAAAACAACAAATTCAGAGTTTGCTGCTTTTTGGGGGAATGGGCTCCCTGTCCGCTGATAGGACCTGGTGTGTGTGTGTGTGTGTGTGTGTGTGTGTCTTGGCGCACGCATTGACTCCACCTGACGCGATACAGAGAGCAGAGAGTAAACGGGCGACCGCGTAGAGACAGAAATGACATCCCGCGGTGTGAATGAGATAAAGCTTATTTATTTGGTTTAAATAATAAGGTATAGGCCTGTTTTCGTTTAATGACTTGTGTTGCAATCTGGCGCTTTATAGAAAATACAATTAAACAAAATGGACTTGACCTGACATTGGACACGGCCACCTTGTGCCTCATCAGCGTTTTGTTGAAATCGACAGCCCACCCTCTTTACAACTTAACGAGCACTCTGACAGGGAGGAGAAGCCAATCAGCCCGGTCGGAGGCACAAAGAGCTTTACCCGTGTTGACACGTGGCGCGGAGGAGACCTTTATTGCACGAAAAAGCCAGAAACAAAAGACCCACCGTGTGCCGTCGGCTTTCCAGCTGACTTTGTATGGATTCTGCTCCAGGAAGCGAAGATTTTGTCTGTCCATGGAGACGGGCTGAGCACCAGGAAAACCAGACCTGCAACCACAACACTTGTTACTATAGGACTTCAGTTGTGGTCTCAGCTCCAGGTTAGGATTGACCAGCACGGGCAGCAGCTACACACTCCCCATAGTTTGGAAATGCATGATGATGAAGTGGAAAAAAACAGACACACGGCCTGTCCCAATGTCTGTACTCCTGTCAACCACTTTGAGAATTCACTGAATACAACTACCTGCAGGTTAGTGCGATGCCTCCTACACATTAACCTGCAACAGTTGTTTTTTTTAATATCACAAAAGACTCTTAAAATATCTTACATAAACTTTCATGTTTCAATACACCCCAGGTAGAGCAACTGTTGCCAAGGCAACAACCAAATGGGTACCATGTTATGAAGCAGCTAGGGCAGGGCACCGGGGGGAGGGGGGCTTGTATTAAATGGAGACCAGGCAGCTTTCGCAGGTATGAGACGCTGAATCTTGATCAGCTGATAATCAAACCGCAGGGGGGTGAAGAATCAAGAGGCTGTGCTATATTTAAATGGCATCTTTCCCCAGTGCTGGCAGAGACTTCACAGTACCTGCTCTGCTCGGGGTTTTGCCACACAACGTGACGTTGGGTGACATGTGGTGCTCAGCGTTGCACTTGTGCTGCCTGTCTGAATGGGTTGAAGACTGAAAAAAATCATATATTTTTTTAAATGATAGAGTTGATTGGGTAAGTCTTAGGATATGGGCCGGTTTGCATCATTGAACCCCGGCCCATCTATGAGCTTTAAGTATAAAATTGGTGTTGTTTAAGGATCCTGGACAACACTGTTAGGAGACTGTGCAACTACACACAACTGACACGGAGAGTAGTTGGACAGGAGGACAGACATGGTCTCATCATGTCTAACATGCTTTCTTTTCGTGGTTCCTAATGGCATTTGTCCATATTGTCGTCCTCCACGGACAGAAGGGAAACGAGACAACGCCGCAAAAAGCTCTTTTCATGCATTTTCCCCAACTGGTTTAATTGAATCATTTATGAATACTGAACATATTTAGCACTCTGAAAGAGCCACGTTGTAAAGCAAGTGCTTTGATGAATAAATGCATACTTCTATTTTCAAACAGGCTCATGATGTTGGTAATTATCCTCTCTGAGGATTTCGCTGAGTTGCTGCTCCAATGTGCCCTCAAATTCTGATCGCGTAACAGTAGTTTGTGGATGCAATCAAGCACATTAAGGAAATTTCAAATATGCATCAACGTTTTTTATCAAGAGGCCGAGTTCTGTATCAAAATTGGGCTATATATCCTGATTTGTGAGGGAGAATCAAGCAATTCCATGTATCCAATGAGACATTCAGCGCCTTGATAGAGCCTCAATGGATTGTTCCTCAGCGGACTATTAGTGGCCACACAACAGTGCACCCACGTAATGCAGTAGGGGTAAACAGTGCCACAGAAGAGGGTTAAGAGAGGTTCTTACCTCTCCCACTCTGCCATCCTCTGACACATTTTTTGGATTTCTCCTAGTTTGGGTTGTGTGGTGACCTGTGAGACGCCTTTCACCGTGATGCCCTCCAGGAATACTGCATCCTGACGGGTAAAAAGAAGAAAAACAGAAGGTTAGACTTGGATTCAATGTGACGAGACACTCGTATCTTCCCACACAGAGAAGAAAGACATTCCTCACAATCCCCTTCTTTGCTTTATGAATCCCGGTGTGCAGAGACAGCAGGTCAAATACTACACATCCTGGACCTCTAAGCTTTTTAGAACCTTCTCATTTTATGAATCTGTCTCATAAACGCTGCTTCACCTCCTGGAAACTAGACTGCCTTCACTCTCTTCACTCTCCTCACCCCCTCGTTACCTTTGGCCCTACACTCTCCTGTTTATGCATACATCATCTCCGATCTACACCCACGACATCTGTAGAACTCCTCTACTAAAAATCATTCTTGCTCCTTTACCTCACTTCCTAATCTCACCCAAGTCCCCTTTGACACGACCTTTCACCCCTAAAGCTGACTTGATGAGACTTGCTAAGTGGTAGAATATGATAATATTGGCCAATTAGAACACAAACAGATGTGCCAATACTGCTGCATATATTTTTAATATGATGGCCCCATTGTGGTCATATAAATCTTATCCTCCACCTTCTTTTTTAGAAGTAGGTTTAAGTTTTGTCAGTTTTGTGAAAACGCTTTAAGATATTACACAAAACTAACTCTAAAAAGCGCCACGGAAAGTCAACTTCAGAGAGCCTTAGTAACGATGGGGCTGAAATCCTCATAACGATTTTAAAATCTCCATGGAAGTCTTACCAGTTTTAGCTTCTCTTTCTTTCGTTTGCCGGCCACTGACCCGGAGGAGCTGGGGCCCGACTCCTGGCCAACGGAGTTGCCGTCGTCGTCCACTTCCCCGCCATCGTCGTCGTCATCGAAGCACCACTCGGGGAGCTCGGGAGCGGGGGGCGGGTCCTCCCCCTCGCCGTAGCGACGGAAAAGCTCTTTGAGGTACTCGCCCTTGTAGATCCCCGGGGCCCGGGCCTGGGTGAAGGCAGCCACAGCTGCTTCGATGCTGATAAGAGGTAGAAAACGCAAACAGGATATTGATTTAAAAGCTGTACACTTTAATGTATCTGTAGTTTGTAAGAGATTTTATATATATATATATATATATATATATATATATATATATATATATATATATAATATGTATATATAAAATGTTCAGTTTTTTACCAAATTTCTCATTTGAACGAATCTTGACATAAGCAGAAAGAGCAAATACAGCAACTTTTCTGATTAAAAATTCCTCATTTAAGTCACTTTTCTCAAATTCCAAGCATAAGACAATTTCAAGGTCTGAAATGGGAGAATTTGTCTTGGGGCTTATTTTGAGAAAAATACTGGCAAAGCTGAAAATAGGGTCCAACAAGCCATTTCTGCTTGAGCAATTAATTACATAATCATTTAATTGCTTGATCAATGTAGTTTCTGCTTATCTAAAGCAACTAAATGTTTTCTTTAGGGTTTTGGGTCTGTGAGATGAAAGAGGTCCTATGAGGCTTTCCCTTGGGCCAGAGGTAATAATGACGTCATTCTTCATTCTTTTCTATGTCAAAAATAATCTCTAGCAGCACGACTTAATGTTCAGGGCAGTTTTTTCCCCATGACTAGCCATATCCTAAAACACGCCATGCACCAGGGTGGATCTTTTCATAGTGAAATGATGTTGCAACAGATACACCGGACGAGGACCGTAAACGCTCCCTGAATATTCATTACACAGCAGGCGGGGAGCCGGGGAGGGTTTTATTCAGCCCATATGTCGACAGGATTCAGCCTCCTCAGACTGCTGCTCCACCCCTGACTAAAGACACTTCCCCACCCTCCCCTCATCAGCTGCTGTCAATTATTTAACCTCGCGGCCACCGCCAGCCAGACACTTTCTTTGTGAAGCATGTGTTGATTTGAACTGACAGTGCAGCTTCTCATGCCGTCACACATGAAGAAACTACAGGGAGGAAGACGGAATTATGAGCTAAAACCAGGGCCTGATAGTGAAAATGCAAGCTAGAAGCTAGCGTGTGTGGGGGGGGGGGGGTGGGGGGTGATTAAGAAACGGGTCATCTCTTACCTCCAGTCCATCTTCTCCACCAGGTAAGCACACATCAGAAAGCCCGTCCGGTTGAAGCCGTGCGTGCAATGAACTCCTTCAAGGACAAAAAAAAGGAAACACTTCTTATTTGGAACAAAATTGTTCCCAAAGCTGAGAGCAACAAACTACATTTGGGTGAAGAAATTCTGCCTCCAGGTGAAAAGAGATTTTTGTTCAGCTCGAAAATAAAAGAATCAGTTGCATAGTTACCCCCTCACAAACAAGCATGTGTGCACGGCCGGGTACTAACAACACAAAATAAAACCCTGCGTCTCATGTTTGCTGGAGGACGGGGATCACATTTTCCAGCCCAAATGTCTAGTTTCCGTGCATGCTTATGCACCCTTTGACTCTGGTTAAACGCATATGTGTGAAGACAGTTAAGTTACGTGCATCACATAAATTGATTTCCTGATACCTATAAAACACTTATGAGTTATGTATATGCATCCCTCACTGCAGTGCTTCCATGGAGTTAAAAAACCTGCCCATGTAGAGACATCTACGTAACTCTTCCTTTTGAACGGATTGTACTTAGTCAACGCTTAGACTCAGTGCCTACTGATGTTCTTTCACCTTAAAATCACCTACACAGTGTTCGCAGGGCGAAGGGGTGAAACTCCCACACTGAATAGATGGAGCGACTCGGTGACCATCAGCACAGAGTCGCACAGTGTGATTGTAGGAAAATACGGCACTTGTCAAATTGCAACACGAAGTAAGGCTGCTCCCTGCTGGACACGTGAATCAATGGAACTAACAGCAGTTCAGTATTATATTACAATCGCAGGAATAATGCCTAAAAATAGGCCTTTCTTCTGTTTTAGTTGACCTCAATTAATTTAACAAATAACCTTTCAAAGCTTTAAAAAGAAAAAACTTCTAAAATGTTATTTCCAAGGCCAAGTTTGAAACAATATCTCTGAACATTAGAATAACATATTGTCCAGCGTCCACTCAGATTCATCTATAATATCTTTGCAAATGTATTTAGACTGTAGGAATTTAAAAATTGAATTTCTGAAATTTCAAAATGGGTGCAATTACACTTTACGCGTAATAAACAGTAGAAAATAAGCCATTAAAAAGGTGGATCAAGGACAATATTGATAAAAGTGTTATTAACTACCTGTTCGGTAATCAGTCATTCAGTAATACACCTGGTTTGGACAGAAGACTCTTTTAAAGAGAAATATAGTTGTCAGAAAGTGTAGGCGAGTACAGAGCTGTCAAAGTAAAACTATTATTAATATAAAATCTAATTAAATTAATTATTAAATATCTTCTCTGTAAACCAGGTGCAGAATATGTAATTACACTTTAGTCTGTTTGTGGAAATGTTTTGGACACACAATTGAAAAAAAACTAAAAACATTCAGAAGTGTTCAGTTGAAAATTCCCAAATTTCAGTCCCATTGAAATAATCTTTATGAATTAAAAACACTGAGACAATACTGATGTTCACTATTTGACCCTGTTAGGAAATCAAAAAATTATCGAGCACTGAACTGTGTATTACTTCATATTTATCATAGTCTACGTCTATAATAAATAGGACGGTTTCCAAAAGGTAAAATTAAGTTGTGCTTTCATTCCTGACATCACGCTAACGTCCTTTATACAAGAAAGAAATTCAACAACCTGATGAGAAGAGTAAATTATCACAGCATGAGGAACTGAACGTTTCCTCTTTTGACGTTTCCTCACCTATCAATTCTTCAGGATTCTTCTCGATGAAGTGTTCACAGAGCCTGATGAACTTTGCAGTCACATCTTTTGAAGGGCATTCCCCGTGGCTAAAATTAACAGAATGACACCAGTTTTATTACATTACCACTAAACTACAACTCACACTGAATTTATGTCATGGCTGGGTTTGGAAAAAATATAATTCTGACAGTGAATTTACTCGTACCCTTTACACGGTAGCTTCACGTATTTTATGCCGTCTTTTTCAATATCATTCCGGTCATAGAAACGTGTGGTATTCGTCAAATCCACCAGCAAACCCATTTTCACCTGAAGAAAAGACAACAACAACAACAACAAAGGCATGAGGAGATGAGGGGGGTTGTAAATTAAAAATGTCATCCGTCTTCACGGAGTCACTTACTTTTAGACTTTTTAAATAGTTAAACAGCATGCTCGGGTGAAACCTGTTCTCCTCTTGAACTTGATCATCATATCTGGGACCCAGCATTGTTTTCATTGGCAGGAATTTACCTATGGAGGAAAGACAACACAGGCAATGAGCCGGTAGTCCTCAGCATTGACCTACAACAGCTGTAATGCAACATGTGATAACCAATGCTTTGATTGGGTGTTTCACCCGAAGCTTAACTTCCCAAACCATTGCATCGATAAGATCAGTAGGAGTACACATTTTGTTACACATGTTGTTACACATGGCCCGTGTTTGTTTTGACACGTGATGCTTCGACAGCTAAGCTAGCCGACTTAGCGGATCTTTTCTGATAAACTATTTCTCCTGGAAAAATACACAATGGACGAAGCACAACCTAGAGATTCATGTTTTTGTTCAGAATAGAGTCAGAGTTATCATTGTAAGACCAAACCAGTCATATTTGGAAAGGGGATGGGCATTCGTGGATCGTCAGCCACTCGTTTCATGTTAGCGAAACAAAGCGCGCCGGAAAATCGGCTCAAACCAAACTCCATTTAAAGAATGCGGCTAACTAAGTTTGTCCCGCAACAACAGGACAACTTAGCAATAATGTAAATAAGGTCTCGGCTACTGTGGTGCATTAGTGTGATCCAGTGGGCTCGGCATCTTCAAGTTCATACCAACCATCTCTCAATTTAAATAGAAAAGCCATTTACTTGGAGCACATTGCTAGCCGACGCCACTATGTTGTGATGCTAGCCTTGCCATTCAGCAGGACTGAAACTAGACATAAATAACTGGTGTGCTGCAGCTTGTTATATTAGGACGTTTGGAAACTCAAAAAGCTGCTTATGGGGTCAGAAAAGGCACAGCGTGTTTTATGCGACGAAATTGCACTTGCTTGCGTAGCGTGTAGCGGTAGCACTACGTACGTGATACTGCTTAATCTACACTTGTGTCATCTCTCCTCACCTGCTACAGGTTGTCCTCTTCTGGGACAGTTCCGCCATCGAGGAGGGGGTCCGGTGTGGGACATGTTCAGAAGAGGCTTTTGGTGCACCAAGTCGCTGGTTATCAGTAAAACTTGGAAGCTCTCTCGCACTCAAAAGGCGGTGATCCCCGGTTGTCGGTCACCCGAGCACCGCGGACTGAGGGCCCTTCAGGCGCTAAGTCAGGAGAATCATCCAACAAGTTCCCGCCTGCAGTCAACTCTATGACGGGCCGCCAGGTAATTACACGAAACATAGGTTATTGCGACTCGCGGCTGACTAGCATGCCCAAAACGATGACATTTTCCGGCGAATTCTGCTGAAATCCAGATAGTTAGCAATTAGCTAGCATAACGTCACTCCAGTCACCCGACGAGCCTTCTACTACTGACTAATGGCTGTAGTTCAAACGGCATCACGTGCCACACTGCCACCTGCTGGCATGCAGGAGACGTTACACAAATCAAAAAGCACCTTTTGGGGATTTACTATTGATCCTGAGTGGTCTTTTCTACAGAAAATAAATAAATACACGAGAAGAAAGATACATGTATGCATTTGTAAACTGTACTCGGAAGATTTATTTATTTGACCACTTTCCAATATTTCAAGTTGTTGTCATAAAGCATAAATCTATTAATACCTTGACACATTTATCCGTCATCCTTTTTAACATGTAGGCTACTGTTATGCCAACTATTATGTTAAATCCTAGCAGTACTCTATTGTTGTGATTTAATTGTTTGCCCATTCATAAATGTATAATATACTCCCAAGACATATCATCCTTTGTCACTCAAATGTTTTACAATACAATATGTATGCAGTTTGGTTTGTAAAAAAACTGCTTATGTTAAAAATAAATAAATATAAAGTCAGTTTTCCAACTTATTACTGAATATGTATTCTGTGTTACAATGTCTGTTGGTAAGTTATACAGTTGCACCTATTAAACAAATGTAACATTCTTTCAATATGTGATAATACATTAGATCATGTCTGTAAAAAGCTTTAATGCAGTTCTGAAGCCATCTGTGCCCCATTTTATACAACAAACACTATACTATATCATTCATGTTTCAAAATTTACTGTGAAAAAACAATAATATCAAATTAAGCAGCTCATGCAAAGTTCATGTCATTGTTAAAATGTGATGCCAAGTTGTAAGATTACAATGAGTAACATATCATTGTGTCAAGCACTTTACAAATGTTTTAACAATTAGGAATTTTACAAAATAATATTCTCCCCGTTCACATAAATCCTCAGCCAGCTATCACTCAAAAAATATGTGCCTTTTATTTTTATAGACGCCTTTCACCGTGATGCCCTCCAGGAATACTTCATCCTGGGAGGTAAAAAAGATGAAAAACAGAAGGTTAGACTTGGATTGAATGTGAAGAGACACTCGTACACTCCCACACAGAGAAGAAAGACATTCCTCACAATCTGCTTCTTTGCTTCATGAAACCCGGTGTGCAGAGACAGCAGGTCAAATACTACACATCCTTGACCTCTAAGATTCATACAATGAGAAGGATCTTAAAAGCTGTCTCATAAACGCTGCTTCACCTCCTGGAAACTAGACTGCCTTCACTCTCTTCACTCTCCTCACCCCCTCGTTACCTTTGGCCCTACACTCTCCTGTTTATGCATACATCATCTCCGATCTACACCCACGACATCTGTAGCACTCCTCTACTAAAAATCATTCTTGCTCCTTTACCTCACTTCCTAATCTCACCCAAGTCCCCTTTGACACGACCTTTCACCCCTAAAGCTGACTTGATGAGACTTGCTTAGTGGTAGAATATGATAATATTGGCCAATTAGAACACAAACAGATGTGTCAATGCTGCTGCATATATTTTTAGTATGATGGCCCCTTATCCTCCACCTTCTTTTTTAGAAGTAGGTTTAAGTTTTTTGCCTTTTTTTTGTTTTTGTGAAAATGCTTTAAGATATTATACAAAACTATCCAAAAAGCGCTACGTCAACTTCAGAAAGCCGTGGTAACGATGGGGCTGAGTTGTGAGCTAAGCTGAGATGTATGTATATGCATCAGTGCCTTTTCTATATACATTACATATCACTAGGTTTTATACATGTATACATATTAAAACCGCTATGAACTTTACTTAAAACCAAACTCGACCGGAGGCGGGAAGCCCTGCAGCGATTACTCAATTAAACAATTCGTAAACTAAATTTAAGTGTTTTCATAATTAGAAGTGGAGCCCTCCCGCAGACCATGCGTCACCCTGCATGAGGCCTGTGCGGAGGGCCGCCGCTACTCCACAGTCTGGTTCCTGGAGCTCCATGGAATTCTTACCTGTTTTAGCTTCTTTTTCTTTTGTTTGCGGGCCACTGACCCGGAGGACCTGGGGCCCGACTCCTGGCCAACGTAGTTGTCATCGTCGAAGCACCACGCGGGGAGCTCGGGAGCGGGGGGCGCGTCGTCCTTGTTGCCATAGCGACGGAAAAGCTCTTTGAGGTACTCGCCCTTGTAGATCCCCGGGGCCCGGGCCTGGGTGAAGGCAGCCACAGCTGCTTCGATGCTGATAAGAGGTAGAAAACGCAAACAGGATATTGATTTAAAAGCTGTACACTTTAATGTATCTGTAGTTTGTAAGCGTATATATAATATATATATAAACACCTAGCAAATACAGCAACTATTCTGATTAAAAATTACTCATTTAAGTGACTTTTCATGAATTCCAAACATAAAACAATTTCAAGGTCTGAAATGGGAGAATTTGTCTTGGGGCTTATTTTGAGAAAAATACTGGCAAAGCTGAAAATAGGGTCCAACAAGCCATTTCTGCTTGAGCAATTAATTACATAATCATTTCAGGATCAGGAATCAGGAATCAGGAATCAGGAAACATTTATTAGCCAAAATATGTCAAACATACAAGGAATTTGTCTTGGCGGTTAGTGCGCGACAGTAGACAGACAAGACAACAGTGCACAGGTAATAAAATAAAGTGGAATGAAATGCTAATGCAATGGGTTAGTAAGAATAAGGCTAAGGCTATGGGTTAGTATAAAACAGGGGAATAAAGTTAAACAAATTTTAAATATTAAAAAGTTGAAAAATATTAAGCATAAAGTGCACTAACAAACAAGTAACAGACAAGAGACAAAGTGACAAGTGACAAAGTGATGAATTGCAGTTAAAGTGACATGTGCAGTATGAGGGGGAGTGACCGGTGGAGTGTTATAGTCAGGCGGTGGGGGACCGGGCTCTGTTGATGAGCCCGACTGCCGACGGGAAGAAACTGTTCGTGTGGCGGGAGGTCTTAGTCCTGATGGACCTCAGCCTCCTGCCAGATGGAAGGGGCACAAACAGTTTTTGTCCGGGGTGGGAGGGGTCGGCTACGATCTTTTTAGCTCGCTTCAGAGACCTGGAAGCGAACAAGTCCTCCAGGGACGGCAGATTGCAGCCGATCACCCTCTCTGCAGAGCGGATGACACTCTGAAGCCTGCCCTTGTCCTTGGCTGTGGCTGCAGCGTACCAGACGGTGATGGAGGAGCAGAGGATGGACTCGATGATGGCCGTGTAGATGACCATTTAATTGCTTGATCAATGTAGTTTTTGCTTATCTAAAGCAACTAAATGTTTTCTTTAGGGTTTTGGGTCTGTGAGATGAAAGAGGTCCTATGAGGCTTTCCCTTGGGCCAGAGGTAATAATGACGTCATTCTTCATTCTTTTCTATGTTAAAAATAATCTCTAGCAGCACGACTTAATGTTCAGGGCAGTTTTTTCCCCATGACTAGCCATATCCTAAAACACGCCATGCACCAGGGTGGATCTTTTCATAGTGAAATGATGTTGCAACAGATACACCGGACGAGGACCGTAAACGCTCCCTGAATATTCATTACACAGCAGGCGGGGAGCCGGGGAGGGTTTTATTCAGCCCATATGTCGACAGGATTCAGCCTCCTCAGACTGCTGCTCCACCCCTGACTAAAGACACTTCCCCACCCTCCCCTCATCAGCTGCTGTCAATTATTTAACCTCGCGGCCACCGCCAGCCAGACACTTTCTTTGTGAAGCATGTGTTGATTTGAACTGACAGTGCAGCTTCTCATGCCGTCACACATGAAGAAACTACAGGGAGGAAGACGGAATTATGAGCTAAAACAAGGGCCTGATAGTGAAAATGCAAGCTAGAAGCTAGCGTGTGTGGGGGGGGGGGTGGGGGGTGATTAAGAAACGGGTCATCTCTTACCTCCAGTCCATCTTCTCCACCAGGTAAGCACACATCAGAAAGCCCGTGCGGTTGAAGCCGTGCGTGCAATGAACTCCTTCAAGGACAAAAAAAAGGAAACACTTCTTATTTGGAACAAAATTGTTCCCAAAGCTGAGAGCAACAAACTACATTTGGGTGAAGAAATTTTGCCTCCAGGTGAAAAGAGATTTTTGTTCAGCTCAAAAATAAAAGAATCAGTTGCATAGTTACCCCCTCACAAACAAGCATGTGTGCACGGCCGGGTACTAACAACACAAAATAAAACCCTGCGTCTCATGTTTGCTGGAGGACGGGGATCACATTTTCCAGCCCAAATGTCTAGTTTCCGTGCATGCTTACTGATGTTCTTTCACCTTAAAATCACCTACACAGTGTTCGCGGAGCGAAGAGGTGAAACTCCCACACTGAATAGATGGAGCGACGCTGTGCCCATCAGCACAAGACTGGTTGTATCGGGGAGCTGTGATTGTAGGAAAATACGACACTTCTCCATTTGCAACACGGAGTAAGGCTGCTCCCTGCTGGACTCGTGAATCAATGCAACGAACAGCAGTTAAGTTCAGCATTATATTACAATCGCAGGAATAATGATTCATCTATAATATCTTTGCAAATGTATTTAGACTGTAGGGATTTTGAAATTGCATTTCTTAAATTTCCAAATGAGTGCAATTACCCTTTACGTGAAGTAAACAGTAGAAAATAAGCCATTAAAAAAAGTGGATTACGGACAACATTGATAAAAGTGTTATTAACTACCAGTTATCAGTCATTCAGTAATACACTTGGTTTGGACAGAAGACTATTTTAAAGAGAAATATAGTTGTCAGAAAGTGTAATAAAATAAATTAATAAATATCTTCTCTGTAAACCAGGTGCAGAATATGTAATTACACTTTAGTCTGTTTGTGGAAATGTTTTGGACACACAATTGAAAAAAAAAAAAAAAAAACATTCAGAAATGTTCAGTTGAAGATTCCCAAATTTCAGTCCCATTGAAATAATCTTTATGAATTAAAAACACAGACAATACAGATGTTCACTATTTGACCCAGTTAGGAAATCAAATAAATGATCGAGCACTGAACTGTGTATTACATATTTATCATAGAGTCTACGTCTATAATAAATAGGACCGTTTCGAAGAGGTAAAATTAAGTTGTACTTTAATTCCTGACATCACGCTAACGTCCTTTATTCAACAACCTGATGAAGAGTAAATTATCACAGCATGAGGAACTGAACGTTTCCTCTTTTGACGTTTCCTCACCTATCAATTCTTCAGGATTCTTCTCGATGAAGTGTTCACAGAGCCTGATGAACTTTGCAGTCACATCTTTTGAAGGGCATTCCCCGTGGCTAAAATTAACAGAATGACACCAGTTTTATTACATTACCACTAAACTACAACTCACACTGAATTTATGTCATGGCTGGGTTTGGAAAAAATATAATTCTGACAGTGAATTTACTCGTACCCTTTACACGGTAGCTTCACGTATTTTATGCCGTCTTTTTCAATATCATTCCGGTCATAGAAACGTGTGGTATTCGTCAAATCCACCAGCAAACCCATTTTCACCTGAAGAAAAGACAACAACAACAAAGGCATGAGGAGATGAGGGGGGTTGTAAATTAAAAATGTCATCCGTCTTCACGGAGTCACTTACTTTTAGACTTTTTAAATAGTCAAACAGCATGCTCGGGTGAAACCTGTTCTCCTCTTGAACTTGATCATCATATCTGGGACCCAGCATTGTTTTCATTGGCAGGAATTTACCTATGGAGGAAAGACAACACAGGCAATGAGCCGGTAGTCCTCAGCATTGACCTGCAACAGCTGTAATGCAACATCAGGATCAGGAATCAGGAAACATTTATTGCCAAAATATGTCGTACATACAAGAAATTTGACATGGCAGCTGGTGTGAGACAGTAGACAGTGTAACAATAGACAACAAGACAGCAGTGCACAATAAAATAAAATAAAATGCTAATGTAATGTAATGGGTTAGTAGAATAAGGCTATGGGTTAGTATAAAATAAGAATAAAGTTAAAGTTAAAAATTAAAAATATTTAAAAAGTTAAGAAATATTAAAAAATAAAGTGCACTAGCGACAAAGTGACGAGTGACGACAAAGTGACGAGTGAAAAATGACAGTAAAGTGACATGTGCAGCATGAAAGAGAGTGACCGGTGGAATGTCAGAGTCAGTCAGTGGGGGACCGGGCTCTGTTGATGAGCCCGACTGCCGACGGGAAGAAACTGTTCGTGTGGCGGGAGGTCTTAGTCCTGATGGACCTCAGCCTCCTGCCAGATGGAAGGGGCACAAACAGGTTTTGTCCGGGGTGAGAGGGGTCGGCTACGATCTTTTTAGCTCGCTTCAGAGACCTGGAAGCGAACAAGTCCTCCAGGGACGGCAGATTGCAGCCGATCACCCTCTCTGCAGAGCGGATGACACTCTGAAGCCTGCCCTTGTCCTTGGCTGTGGCTGCAGCGTACCAGACGGTGATGGAGGAGCAGAGGATGGACTCCATGATGGCCGTGTAGAAGTGGACCATCATCGTCTTTGGCAGGTTGAATTTCTTCAGCTGCCTCAGGAAGAACAACCTCTGCTGAGCCTTCTTTGTGATGGAGCTGATGTTCAGCTCCCACTTGAGGTCCTGGGTGATGATGGAGCCCAGGAAACGGAAGGAATCCACAATAGTGACGGGGGAGTCACACAGGGTGATGGGGGAGGGTGGGGCTCTGTTCCTCCGGAAATCCACAACCATCTCCACTGTCTTTAGAGCGTTGAGCTCCAGGTTGTTCTGACTGCACCACGACACCAGATGGTCAGACTCCCACCGGTAGGCGGACTCATCCCCACCAGAGATCAGTCCAATGAGGGTGGTGTCATCCGCAAACTTTAGGAGCTTGACGGACTGGTGGCTGGAGGTGCAGCTGTTGGTGTACAGGGAGAAGAGCAGAGGGGGAAGAATGGGGGGAACCAGTGCTGATGGTCCGAGAGGCTGAGACATGTTTCCCCAGCTTCACGTGCTGCTTCCTGTCAGACAGGAAGTCTGTGATCCACTTGCAGGTGGATGTGATAACCAACGCTTTGATTGGGTGTTTCACCCGAAGCTTAACTTCCCAAACCATTGCATCAATTTAAAGCCCACGCTGAGCGAAGATCAGTCCGAGTAGACATGTTGTTACACATGTTGTTACACATGGCCCGTGTTTGTTTTGACACGTGATGCTTCGACAGCCAAGCTAGCCGACTTAGCGGCTCTTTTCTGATGCACTATTTCTCCTGGAAAAATACACAATGGACGAAGCACAACCTAGGAATTCATTTTTTTGGTTCAGAATTGAGTCATCTTGCAATAGATTTGTGATGCGTTTTTAAGATTTCAGCAATATGTTTGTGAATGTGTGACGAATCAGGGAACTGAGGCGGACACATCTGCAGCTGTGGAGTAAACACAAACACGCACGCGTAGGGAAACCAGTAGGTGGAAAAACCAGTAGGGGTGTGACACCGGAAAATCGGCTCAAACAAAACTCCTTTTAAAAAACGCGGCTAACTAAGTTTGTCCCGCAACAACAGGACAACTTAGCAATAATGTAAATAAGGTCTCGGCTAGTGTGGTGCATTAGTGTGATCCAGTGGGCTCGGCATCTTCTAGTTCATACCAACCATCTCTCAATTTAAATAAAAAAGCCATTTACTTGGAGCACATTGCTAGCCGACGCCACGTGATACTGCTTAATCTACACTTGTGTCATCTCTCCTCACCTGCTACAGGTTGTCCTCTTCTGGGACAGTTCCGCCATCGAGGAGGGGGTCTTGTGCGGGGCATGTTCAGAGGAGGCTTTTGGTGCACCAAGTCGCTGGTTATCAGTAAAACCAGGAAGCTCTCTCGCTCTCAAAAGGCGGCGATCCCCTGTTGTCGGTCACCCGAGCACCGCGGATTGAGGGCCCTTCAGGCGCTAAGTCAGGAGAATCATCCAACAAGTTCCCGCCTGCAGTCAACTCTATGACGGGCCGCCAGGTAATTACACGAAACATAGGTAATTGCGACTCGCAGCTGACTAGCATGCCCAAAACGATGACATTTTCCCGTGAATTCTGATGAAATCCAGATAGTTAGCAATTAGCTAGCATAACGTCACTCCAGTCACCCGACGAGCCTTCTACTACTGACTAATGGCTGTAGTTCAAACGGCATCACGTGCCACACTGCCACCTGCTGGCATGCAGGAGACGTTACACAAGTCAAAAAGCACCTTTTGGAGATTTATCATTGATCCTGCGTGGTCTTTTCTACAAAAAATAAATAAATACACGAGAAGAAAGATACATGTATGCATGTGTAAACTGTACTCGCAATATTTATTTATTTGTTGTCATAAAGAATACATCTATCCCCTTCATCCTTTTTAACATGTAAGCTACTGTTATGCCAATTATTATGTTAAATCCCAGTGGCACACTCTTGTTATGATTTAATTGTTTGCCCATTCATAAATGTATAATATACTCCCAAGACATATCATCCTTTGTCACTCAAATGTTTTACAATACAATATGTATGCAGTTTGGTTAATAAAAAAACTGCTTATATTGAAAATTCAATAAAAATAAAGTCAGTTTTCCAACTTATTTACTGAATATGTATTCCGTGTTACAATGTCTGTTGGTAATTTATACAGTTGCACCTATTAAACAAATGTAACACATTCTTTCAATATGTGATAATACATTAGATCATGTCTGTAAAAAGCTTTAATGCAGTTCTGAAGCCATCTGTGCCCCATTTTATACAACAAACACTATACTATATCATTCATGTTTCAAAATTTACTGTGAAAAAACAATAATATCAAATTAAGCAGCTCATGCAAAGTTCATGTCATTGTTAAAATGTGATGCCAAGTTGTAAGATTACAATGAGTAACACGTCATCATTTTGTCAAGCACTTTACAAATGTTTTAACAATTTGGATTTTAAAAAATTAATATTCTCACCGTTCACAGAAATCCTCGGCCAGCTATCACTGGAAAAACCTGTGCTTTTTATTTTTACATTATACAGTCTGTACATGTAGGCTACATATTTGTGATCATTTCCACCACACAATGTGTGCTCCAAAGGCTTTATGAAATAAAGGTTATCAACATTAAAAGTTCTAAATGGTTAAAAAAAATGGTGTGAATTATGTCACTTTTGAAAAACAAAGACTTGATTTAGATACATACATTATTCAGCCATAAATATTACATAAATGATAGACAGTAGCACAATATACTTGTATTTACACAAAGAATAGCATTTTTTCACCCGGGTTATCAAGTGTGACATAAGAGTACAATCAATTTTCTTTACTTTCATTCCACAGTGGACACATTGCCTTAGTCAAGTCTTTGCACTAAAGTTGCAACACGTCTGCTTTATTTGGAGCTTAATATGTTTTTATTTTAGGATTTGTTGAGATTTGATTTTCATGCCCCTCAACAATCCTGGCCCTGTTCAAACATGTCCAAAGTGACGTAAACTGTCACCGGCGCTATTTTTCTCGTCTCCTTCACTGAAACACGCTTACATTGTTTACTGGACCTCGGGGCAGAGCTTTCCACAGGAGTCTGTCTTCGATACGGGCTGTTCTCTGGAAGAAGCGGGCCCGTTGAGTCCTCCCGAGGAGAGGGATGCTGTGTCTCTATAGATTTCACTGGGTCGCCCGGCGCTGTTGGCGTGGGGGGGTCGACGTGTTCCTCCGTCCGGTCACCTGCTGGGTTACTATCGCAGCGAGCAGCGAGCGAAGACGTGGACGGGGACTGGGCTTCGCTCGTGTAAACCGCGTCACAGATGCTTTCTGAAGGATTGCTGAATGGCTGGAAGGGACACGTTCCCTGTGGACACATGATGACAGTATTTCATCTAAGCAGCTGTCCCCTTTACTCACAGACAAATGAGCTGTTCCTTTGGTGGGAATTACATCGTATATAACATTTTAATGAAAGAAAACATTTCATATACAACACAAATATATATTATTGTCCCCTTTCTGTGACTTGTGTTTTTACCAAGCAACCCCAAGACTGACAATATGTGATTATTTGTACTCACAAAGCTGGATTCCATTATTTTTGGACTCAATATATTGGATTATACACCTATTTGTTTTCATGACTACCACATGTTCCTATTTCCCCCCTCCGGACCACAAATGAGCAAGAACTGAGCCGTCTCACTGACTCCGATATGGTTGTAGTTCTCTCCTCACTGAGCTCACCTCATGATGACTTGCTGCTGGCCAAAACACCACAGAACTGAGGGCGGGATTTGGCACCGGCTTCTTCTTGAATTTCTTCCATCTAAAAAGATTTAAAGGCAGCAGAAGGAAACCATTTGGGCGGTCATAGTAGGATGCTTATTTTCTGTATTTCTTTCGTGAAGTTAGTTGTTTTGTTACTTGGTTGAGCTTTTTCTTTTGAAATCAATATGTGTGATTGTCAGTGACTATAGAAGGTTGAAACTCACTGAACAGCAATGCATGAACTGAGCAATAACGCGAGAAGAGCGATGCTTCCGGAGACGCTGACGACTGTGATGAGCTCCGGATCTACGGAAAAGAATAAATAAATGAAGAGAACCTGTGTGTGGCTGCAGATGGCATCTGAACAACACGTTTCTCAGTGTCAATGTGTTGTTCAAAAGGACACGACATTCAGCAGCAAAATCCCGGTGCATTGAATTGTGCTAGGTGGTTTTCCATTTACTGATAAATATCACTCTTTTGTTTGCAAGCCAGAGGCTGTGTCATTGAATCAGGTTGGCGTAGTATCTCTTCAAAGGAAGGCAGCTGCTGTGGGAATATACAGCACACCGTACCTGACATGCCAAAGCATGCATGCAAAACGAGCAATTCATCTTTTGCAAGGCAATGCAAGTGTATTTGCATGGCACATTTCAACAACAAGGCAATTCAAAGCGTTTCACATGAAACCATTAAAACCCAAATAAGCTAAACACCAATAGCCTCCAAGCTCTTCCAAACTTGCACAAACAATCCACCCTTGAAGGTTAACACATTTGAACACTTCCCCTGGCCGGGAAATTGCCCCACGTTACACAGCAGTGATGCCATCGTGCCAAACATTGTGACACTTCCACAGAGGCGTGTTGGTGCCAGTGTTGGCCTGTGCTACTAAAACCACAACCCAACAGAGGGTGCCCACTGTGTTTAATAGGGATTGCTGCACATTGTGCCCCTTGTTCTAGCAGTGCTGGCCTCTCAACCCTCTAGCTGGTCCCTCCATGCAACGTCCTGCCTACAGATTCCACTGATGAAGGTCCACAAACTGAAGCCCCCTGAAGGGAAATGAATAACATCCAGCAGCTGCGGTCATAGAAATAGAAATGTGTGTTTTTAGCATTACAGAGTACTCACCAAACCTTTTGGTGTAAAAGAGCGTCTCACGGCTTCTGGTGGTTCCAGTAAGCGCCGCGGCCTCCACGTGGACGCTGTACTGCGTTTCCCGATGCAGGTCTTTCAAAAGGATGAACTGCTCCGTCTCATCTACCGTTATATCTGGAAGAATGAAGAAAAAAAAGAACGCAAAAATGTCACAGCGGAAACCAGTGAGAGGAAATCCATCACCTTCACACCAGTCTGAGTTGTGCTTACTGAGCTGAGGTCCCTCCTGTGTACTGTAGAAGACGGTGTAGTTGACAACGGCGCCGCTGCACGCCGCCCGGGAGCTCACCGTCCACCTCACAAGGGCACTTTTGTCCTTGGCTTCAACCTGGATCGCTACATTTCCCGGATCTGTGGGGTTCCCGCTACATGAAATACACGAACCGTCGTCACAATCATAACAAAAAAAATCGTGAGTCACGCACCTCCCGCTCTGGAGCAGATCTGAAGGGCTCGCGCGCCATGACCCGTCTTGTCAACAAAGAGGGGCGTCACTGTGATGTTGTATGGCTGCTTGTCCAGGAGGTCTGCAAGGAAGGAGAAAAGTGGCCTCATGTGCTCTGTTGGCCCTGGTCAGCTGGTCTACCAGACATCCTCAAAGACACGAAAGGAAACATATCGCAACCACAAAGTGTCCGTTCTCCAGCCTACCGCACAGTGTTGTGTTCGTGTGTCTGCTCTCCTTCCAATAGTATCGATCTCCACCGTGGGTCCAGTCGACCATGTAAGCAGCGACGGGCTCGATTGGCGCGTTCCAGCTGACCAGAATAACACCTCCCAGCGTTGCGGCCTGGATGTTGGTGACTCGAGGGAGGCCTGCACGCCCGAGTGAGATCGAGTACACAAAATCACCAAGATGCATCGCGGCAAAGCGTCGTTCCATCAGGAAGAAGCCATTTGATGCATAAGTTGTGGTCAGCTATTTGAAAAAACAAAATGAAAAGCTTTATAACTCACTCTCTCCAATGGCGGGAACATAAACGGAATCCTCCACGAGCAGGGTTTCATCTCGGAGGACTGCGAGTATTATTCTGTGCGCATCTTGGTTCACGTAAACGTCACAGGTTGAGCTGCCGCATGAAGCCTCCTTACGATCTGCTCCCACCGCGCGTTCCTGGATGGGAGCCGCTTTGATCGAGGTGAAGGTGTCCGGGCACGTTGAAGCAATCTCCTGCATAAACAGTTTGAAGCACTTAAGATCCATAAGTAATGTAAGGAAATATAAGTTGTAAAGCTGCTTATTATTTTTAAAGGCTTACTTACTGTCCACATGGCACGAACTTTTCTAACTCCATCCTCATTTGGTTCAGACAACTTTCTCCACAGGAGCGGTTTGACATCTCTCTCTGTGAAGCGTTTCATTACGTGGAATTAATTAATTGAGATATTTGATGAGATATGAGATATTTTAACGTTATTTGTCGGTAAAGAAGTTTTTTGAACTTTTTAGTTTGGTCAAAACGGTCTTCTTGTCGCTCCAGTCGCTCCAGGGGGCCTCGTGTAAAGCACAGCGGACTGAAAAGGTGTAGTTACTGCAGGAATCCCACTTTTCAATCTGCATCTTCCCGTGACTTCTCTCTGGAGTCGTATTGGGCCTCAACTGGGGGAGAAAAAAAGAATGATTCTTGTTAAAAACAGTCATTCAAATCTTTGAGAAGTCCCCGAAGGTCAGATGATGAGTACATTATTATACAACACAAGAAGGATCTTAAACCTAAACGTTTCTCTAACCTCTGTAAGACGTCCTCCATCAGCCTGGAAAATAAAATGGCATCAATTAGTTCATGGGGATCCCCGAAAAAGCTGCTGTTCTGCTGTTACGGCCGATACATGGGTCAGTTTTACATTTGGTCACTGTACTAAAACTGACACAGCTCACAAGCAGTAGCAGATTAACTGACATGAGAACCGATTCTGATTATTGTGTAATACATTGCTTATTCCTTGATCGAGGGGCAAAATGTACAGATGAAAGTTAGTCGATTTGTTATTACATTACAGGTCATTTAGCAGACGCTTTTATCCAAAGCGACTTACATTACATTTTTAACCCATGGCTTTTACATCTTTGCCCGGCGAGCAATTAGGGCTTAGGTGTCTTGCTCAGGGACACTTCGACATGGAACATGATTTGATTTGTGCTCTGATTTGTGATCACTGTAATTGAATGTACTCAGTTGGATCGTGAGGAACACTTAGTGCATGGAGGGAATTAAAAGGGGTCAGACCTTGCCGTAGCTGACTTCACAGCGACACTCTTTAGAGAAACTTGCTCGGAGCCACTCAACCAACACGTGATCGGGGAAGGGCGTGACGGTTAATTTCGGACGAATCATTTTCCCTGAAGGAAGATGGATACGACGGCTCAATGCAGAAAACTATAATAATTATTATATTATTCAAAAATGCAATGACAAGTTACTTACTTATGTGATCCGGGAAAAATGCACGTGGGTCAGAGCAAGCTTCCCAAGCAGCAGCTTTAGCTCTCACGGTAACAGTCACACTATCAAGTAGACTCATTCCGTTGGATATCGTCCATATGCAGTATTTAGACTTAGATTCGCAGACCTCACTCGGGGACGGGTTGGAGGAAGTGGCACTGAAAAACACACGTTTGATCAGTGAGACGAAGAGCTGGCTCTGCAGTAGTTCTTGGACAAAAGGATGAAGACGAACACCCACATGAGTACAGAGTAGTGTATTTGTGCTGATGGTTTAATCGGATCCTCCCAGCTGCAGTTGAAGAGGTTTGCCGACAGTTCGTCTGACTGATTTTTCCGATACAAAATGCATGATATTTTGCCGGGTTTTGCTGTGGAAAAAAAAAAGCATATCAGCAACGTTATTGCATTGCATTTAATGTTTTTCGGCAACATCAACAGCCAAATCAAGCATATATACAATCCTTACAGTATGCTGTGATAGTGGTGCCTCCGAGGACTTGGAGGGTATCGGCACTGTGCCACTCCAGTATCGCGCTCTGATGGGTGAAGTTCCTCAGTGACAGGACAGCGTGGGTGGAGTTGACAGATCTCGACTGGCTTTCCCCCACGCGTCTGTTGTTTAGGGTCCAGAAGATTTTGCGAGGGACACATGAGCTCGGGTACACCACGTCGAGATCGGATCCCCATTCGATGTATTGATCTTTAAGGACCACATTGCAGGTGTTCTCATGCAGGCCTACAGGAAATTGGTAATGTAATATTAATATGTCAGAATGCAAATGTATTGTAGTTTGACCCTTTAAGAAATACACTTGGTTGTTGGTCTTGCAGAGAGAGAACTAAGCTGAAGGTGACCCATGCTGGTGGAAAAGGTGGTTTGTCTTCCTGTTTCCAGGTGTATTGAACTGTACTGTCTCTGGCTTCCTCCCCAGTTTCTTTCATTCATTGTTCCCACGATCAATCAGTTCTCTTTCGATTGCATATTTTCTTAAGGGCTTTCCTTGTGGTATTAGAAACGTATATCAATGAAACAATAAAGTGCAGAAAGTTCTCTAAATCCACACGATCGCTTTTTAATCAAACAAGAAGTGGGAATAGATGGTTGGTCACTAACCCTGGTGACTCATTCCTTTCTCCGTCGCGGTGGCAGGTGAAAAGCGTTCCATTTGAAGGAGGAATTGGGCTTTTGTATTACATAAAGCTTGGCATTGTGTGATTCTTATTAATCATATTAAAGAAGTGCCCATGGTAAGTTAAAATCATCTGCTTTATCACGTATCAGGCACCATATTGTTTGACTTCACAGCTGTATGTTTATTTGTTTTGGACCAGGGAATTAGCTTATTTGAACCAATCTGAATCTGCAAAGTACTACCGTCAAATAAATTGTATTGCAGATTGAATATTAAACAATTTTCCTCGGAAAATTACAAATGTACAGTTTTTATTCCAAGACTCCGGGGCCCCTCTGTAACTGTAAATAATAATCACAATAATAATGCTATAGAATGCTGATTGGATGAAACTAATTTGATTACATGACTTAAGACAACTAGTTTCTAGCAAAATTCCCAAACTTGTGCTGATGAACCCATGTCAGGCTTAGTGAACATTACGTTGTGAAACCAAAACCATCCAAACCAAAATCAGTTCCCATTAATCACAGAACCGACAAAAAAACATTGTTGAGGTTTTCTTACCTTTACAAATGGAGGGAGCCAGGACAAATAAAGCTAGAAGTAATGACATCTCTTTCATCCCATTGCCAGGAAAAACAAAAACAGCATTTTAAAATACTATTCAAACCGGGAGATAATAATTTGCCCAAGATTAAGTGATTGAAATCGCCTTCATTGTGTCGGAATGTGACCTTCTACAGCGCCAGCAACCTATTCTTCACTTTGTATTTTAACTACCAAGTAACAGGAACTTAAGCAACCTCTGACAAAAACGGGAGGTATTACCCAACTGGAAACACGGCAAGCCAGGAGGAAGTGAACCAACTGGTCCAAAAACTCTGAGACTTCTCATAGCATATTCCTGTTCTCACCCAAGACACGTGAAAGTTAGACAACAAAAATACTCTGCTATAGCTCAGTTATGAATCACACGCTACTGATAAACTATACAGCATAATGATCTTATTTGGGCAGGGTACAATAAAAAGTAGATGCAATAACTTAAAAAGCATGACAGATTCAATGCGTGCAAAGCCAATAAGAAGACTGGCCCTCTCCACAAAAATCACATGATAAGAGTCACATAGCAAGTCACCTAAGTAACAATATAAGAATCTAATGTATTTGTAGTCCTTAATCAGTAATCAGGACCTCTATCAGCAGGGGGCCTCTGACCCTTCCAGTCCACATGTGCAGGTCTTTAGTGGCTTAGAGGAAAGTGGATTGTATTGCATTGTATGCATTCTGTGAGTGAAAAAAACAGTATATGACCATGTCACCAGAAAGCGGTGCTTACTTTATAATTCAACAAGCAGTAGGCCGTATCTCAGAAGGGGCTTGGTTGAGTAAATCAGCTCATTCGACTACTGTGCTGTCTTGCTTTTGCTCATATAGCGCCCTCTAGTGCTCAATGGACATAACGCAGACTGCAACGTGCTGGATGTACACATTGCTAAACTGAGCCTGGCTTAGAAATATCATTTCGATGTATAATAATTTAAATGTATTGATAATAGCAGACTTTATTTTTAGGTTAGAAAGTGCCACGCACTTTGAGAAAAAATGCCCCGGAATAAAAATCCAGTGTTTATCAAACGCGTACGTTTGTGGAGCACTTCCGGGGTCATCGCGTAGCTTTCGAGCAGACATCCGGGTCACGCGCCCTACAGAGCGGCCCACCGGCCAGTGCCTCCATGTCCGCCGCGGTGCTCGTAGCCGCTGTTGTCGGCGGAGGTGTCCTGCTGCTCATGCGCCGTTTGTTCCCACGACAGAAAGCCGCGCAGCTCCTGCGCTACCCAGCCGACGCCATGCGGGGGAAGACGGTCATCGTGACCGGGGCCAACTGCGGCATAGGGAAGGCCCTGGCCGGGGAGCTGCTGAAGCTCCGCGCCCGGGTCATCATGGCCTGTCGGGACCGGCGGGGCGCCGAAGAGGCGGCCGAGGACCTCAGGAAACAAGCCGGGCCGGAGCAGGGGGAGGTGGTCGTCAAGCACCTGGACCTCGCTTCGCTCAAATCGGTCCGGGCGTTCTGCGAGGAGATCAAAGCGGTATGTTGGGAGGATGGACGGGCTGGACTTCGGTACTGACCCTCAAAACCATCGATCACCCATTCAATCATAATACTCATATACTCGTTGGTCCCCCAGCTTGTCAGCTTGTTTTTAAATGTTGTCCCCCCAACATTTAAAAACAACGAACCATCAAATATTGTATTAAATTATCAAAATAGCTCTTTCAATGGGAGATATTTTACTATTAAAGCATTTTTTTCCATAGCAAACCTCCTATCATCTTAACTCACATACCCCGTCAAATATTCAGAGTGCCTTTCATTGTAGAACTTCCAGTCCTCTTTATAAACTCCGATATATATACACACACACACACACACGCACACAAACTAACTACACATAACTGGAACCTAGAAATAACAAGATATAATTCAGGAGATTAAAACATCCAAAATGTCTTTGACCAGGAGGAGTCCAGGATCGATGTGCTCATCAACAACGCGGGAGTCTACCAGTGTCCCTACACAAAGACAGAGGAGGGTTTCGAAATGCAGCTGGGTGTGAATCACCTGGGCCACTTCCTCCTCACCCACCTCCTGCTGGACCTCCTGAAGGCCTCTGCTCCCAGCCGCATCGTCGTCGTGTCCTCCAAGCTCTACAAGTACGGCAGCATCAACTTCGACGACCTGAACAGCGAAGCCAAATACGACAAGGCCTTCTGCTACAGTCAGAGCAAGTTGGCCAACTTGCTGTTCACGCTGCAACTGGCTCGCGAGCTGCAGGGCACGGCGGTCACGGTCAACGCTCTCACCCCGGGCATCGTGAGGACCAGCCTGGGCAGGCACGTTCAAATCCCGCTCCTGGCGAAGCCGCTGTTCTACCTCGCCTCGCGGGTCTTTTTCAAGAGTCCGTTGGAGGGGGCCCAGACCCCGCTCTATCTGGCCTGCTCCCCCGAGGTGGAGGGAGTGTCCGGGAAGTGCTTCGCTAACTGTGAAGAGGAGGAGCTGATGGCCAAAGCTACGGATGAGGAAGCAGCCAAGAGGCTGTGGGACCTGAGCAGCCGGATGGTTGGACTCGCTGATTGAGCGTGTTGCTGTAATGTGGAGTGCGTGTTTTCTTGGTAGAAAGAAATAAAGTGGCCCCAGACGCTGCTCTGAGATGACTTGTGAGAAACTTCAAGCCACCACCTTTGTAAATTGACCTATTGTGGCAACAAAGTATGTAGGGCTGCAACTAACGATTATTTTGATAATCAATTAATCGGTCGATTATTTCTTCGATTAACCGATGAATCGGATTAAAAAAACAGCATTAAAAAGCTTTAATTTACAACCCTTTATTCTAAAACAGAACTGCAAATTCACATTGCAAAAATACTTCAGAAAGTACAGATTGCTCCTTGAACATAATCATTTATAAAAAAAAAATAAACAAAAAATACAAATCAGAAAATGTAACAGGATTTGTTTTAACGTCAGAACTTGTTCTCTATTCTACACTCAGAGTCTCCCTCACAAACACAAAAACACGCCCATGTTCACTTGAAGCTTATTCATTAAATAATTACCATCATTGTAGTGCAAGTTAAGTAAATGAAGTACAGCTAAAAAACAACCAAGTGCTATAGTGCTAACTTTCAATTATCCTTTTATTCAGTCTTTCTGATTGAATTGAGTACAGATGGAGTTGACCTGCAGAAAGGTGTCTAAGGTTGCATCTGTCAGGTGTCAAGTTGGGAGAATCGATTCGAAGTGGAGAATCAAAGTATTGAATGGGTTTCCGATGTATCGGTTCTTTTTTTTCCTTTTCTGGAGAGAGTCACTTTCACCACAATCCACCAGATGTGTTGGCTGGCTGCTGGTAGGCGGGAGGAGGTGCAGGCGAATAACATGTTGAATTAAAATAGGGAGTCCCAGATCCCTGCGTACTTACGGTCCTGCAATCTGCTTGATGTTTTTCACGCATTGATGAGAATTCCATTCGTGAACATGTGACATTTGAGGAATAACGGAACAATCTCTTGGCTCGTATTTCCTGTCAACAACACAAAACACTTAAACAGTGAACACTTTCAGGGCTCTCACGTGTCACGCACGTGCAGTCTTTTACACAGTAGTTACCAACTCCTTGCCAACGCTTTCAATAATCGAATTTTATCGATTCATTGTTGCAGCCCTAGAAGCATGTACATTTGTGTGGGTTTGAGAAGAAAATATATTTAAAGCTTTGAATAAAAACATGTAAAAATGGTGATGCATTGCTGTGTGAAATCATTTCTCAATTAATTTTCTTGTTCTACAATAACTAACCCTGTATGAAGTCTTCATTGTGAACATGAATACATGTAAAACTCCTTGTTACCTACAAACATGGGCAAGAAATTTGTGTTTTCTTGCAGACCTCGGTCCTTTAAACTGTAAAATAAATAATTAATTTATAATTACATTCAAGAAAATTCTGCAGAATGATGTGCGCCAGCCAGATCAGAAGTAGATCAAACTCATCTCCTCACGGCATCCATCAAAGCCAAGCTGCGCCGTCACCTTCTCAAGTGAGACGTCACATTATTTGTTGTGCGTTGCAAAACCTCCTTTCCTTGTCCACTTTTCGCACAATCATTTTAAATTTGTGCATGCTTTAGCATTCATTATGCGATATAAAAAGAAGTATAGGGTTGAGGGGGGAGCTGTTACGCTAGTTTCCCCCGTGCTGATGTGTTTGAAGTGTCTGCTTTCTGCTGTGCCTCACAAACTCAACGGTAAGGTTTGATGATGTGAATCAGTCGGGTGCTGCTGCACCATGACTCCCTCCTGTGGGAAGATCTCACATGCGCGTCCTCTCTGCACCAAAGACACAAGAAACACTGTGATATTCACATTCATGAGTATGAATACAACGCCATTTCCACCTCAATCATGCTTTTAAATGATAATGAAATGGATGGTTCTTCTTCATTATTTGATCCCATTGTTGTAAATGGTTATAAAAGTAATTATATGACAAATACATGTCCGCGATTGTATTTTTCCATCAAAATATACCAAAAGTATTCATTATGCAGAATAGCTCAATATTATGTCCATCCCTTGGATCCTGCACATTTAATTAAGGAAAGTCGTCGTGATGAAAATGATCTATCACAAGCTTGTAAGTAAAACAGCATTATTATCTATTCATGGTCTATTCATCAAATATTCAAATTTAATTGAAACGGAGAAACTGTGGAAGTCCTTTCTGCCACTAAAAAGCGGTGATAGTAATTAAACATCATCCTGCGGGCCAAAGTATGTGAGTGAGCGCATGCCACATGACACCCCTCCCCCTCCCCCCAATAGATATCTTTTAGTTTCATATTACGTGGTATCCTTGTTATTTTCTCCACTGAAAATGGAGTATATTTAGTGCGAGCGTGATGTTTGCATCATGCAGCAGAAGAGAATTAACTGTTATTCAGTGTGTCTGATATCACAATAACTCACTTTATGACAAACATTTCCTTGCAGCAATGTCTTGATGAACACACAAATAAACCTATTCTTGTTGATCATGGCAACAATCAGCCTCTACAAACCTAATTTAAAATTCTCAACAGTGATCGAGCCGGGCTTCGAGGTGACTCAGCAGGCGCACGCCACACGGCTGCAGCAATGCCAGTTTGAATAATGAAGGGTCTTCCTTTCAGCAGAAATGTTATTTTCTTAATAAAATCACATTTCTGTATATCAGACCATTCATTCAATAAAATAATGTCCAACCCCCCCTCCCCCGCTGCAACGTTCAATATTAAAGGAAGGCGCAAAGAAGGCATGTGTATCACTTGTGCTTTATTAGGCGAACAAAACAACCAAAGTATATAAACATGCATTGTTGTTAAAATAAAAAAACAGGATTACAATGGCTTGATGGGGTGTGGGCATCGAAATCTGAGGTAGAAAGGAAAAAACTCTCCGTGGGATATAAGAGAGCAAAAATAAAGTAATATCAATGGCTAAGACAGATCTGCAAATGTTCCATCAATAACAATATAACACATTCACCGATACCGTCAAATTTAAATAACAGAAGATAAAAGAGTATGTTTCTCATTTAAGTGATTCATTCATTTTGTTGTTTTAATATTTTCAACCTTAACATTCAAAGCCTCACAAGGCCGGCACTGCTTCAGTCCATCAAAAATAAGAATTGAATCTACACGCATCAATTCTCAATAAAATACCTTTTGTAGAGTTTTCGTGTATAGGATAGGCAGTCTTTAATCTATTTACAAGTTCCAGGTTTATCAAGAGCATTTATATTTTGTTTGATTGATTTGGAGGTATATCCTGCTAACAGCTACATACAAAATATATCACTAAATTCTTAGTTATAAGTATATATTTATACAATTGTAACTGAAATACATACACATTCATACAAATGTTACGTGCTGCTTGAGCTTCTAACCATCAACTCTTAACAATACTTACAGTACTTGCTGAGGACAATTGTAGTGCAAACTGTAGCCATCCATTGCCGTACGATCAAAGCTTTTAAATACTCAATAGTTACATGTTCATGATACTGAATTATTCGGCCTCTGGCTTCTATCCAAACCCATTTTCCCTCAAAAGGATCGTGCTTACTGACGTTCCAGCCGGGCGCACCGGGGGTTTCGCCTCTTCAGTTCAGAAGAGTTCCATAAAGCTGGGCCTTGGTCAGACTGTCCTTCCTGGTGAGTCCCAAGGAGCTAAACTGCTGGTTGTACGGCGGAGGCGGGGGTGGAGGCGGCGGCGGCGGCGATTGGCTCGCCTGCGGGGGCAGGCTGTGCATTTCCGCTTGGTAGTGCTGCAGCTCCGCGGCCAACTCCAGGGACCTGCGGTTCAGAGACTCGGTGGAGCTGTTGGGGCTGGGGTCGACGTATTCCGTACCCTGGCCGCCGGCCGCCTCGTTGCCCTCCCTGTCCTTGGAGCTCCCTGAGTGGTAGAGGCTGTGCTCGGACCCCTGGCTGTCCTCGGCCCGGTAGAGGTGGGCTTGGCTGTGGGCCTGCCGCAGCACCGGGCTGCATTCGGGGCTGGGGCTGCCGGCCGCCCACGCCGCGTCCGAGACACCCCCTCCGTGGTGGTAACAGTCGGCCCCCTCCTGGAAGCTGCTGTAGAGCGGGCCGAGTCGGATCTTGGAGGGCCGGACGGAGAAGTGCTGCTCCGAGAAGCTGTAAGGGGAGGCCCGGCCGGGGCTGCGGTAGGTGTGGGCGCTCAGGTCCTCCACGCTGAGCTGTCTCCATCGACCGATCAGCTCATCCTCCTCCGGGGCGAATGTGCTGCCCCGACGGCTGTCCCCGTAGGCGACGCTCGGGGACGAGGAGGGAGGCAGCGGCTCGTAGGGCTCGCTGAAACAGGACGACATGGTGCGGCTGTAGACGGGCGAGCTGCCGTTCTGGTGGTGGCTCGGCTCCGTCTGCTGGAAGGGGTGGGGGTTGGCGAAGCCTCTCGGACTGTCCCTCTCCCAGGACGAGTCGCTCTTTCTCTCATAGTCCCCTGCATCCCTCCACTCCATGTAGAGGGAGTGGTGGTGCGGGGAGGAAGCGGCGCTGCTGGGCGGACCGTTGCCTTTGTCTTCGGACCCGCCTGCGCTGAAGCTGGAGTAGGAGCTGGAGCCCGCGCGCAGTGTGGCAGGGAACTTGGCAAAGTGCTCCCGGGAAAAGCCGGCCCTCACGCCCACCGAGCCCTCCTCCGGGTTGCTGTCGGTAGAGATTTGGGGCCCGTACAGAAGCTTCCTCTGGCCGTGGAGATCCATGCTGGGCCTCCGCTCGCGATGGCGGTCGTCGGGGCAGTACAGCGCCGTGTCGCTGCTGTACAGGTCAGATTTGTAGGCCGCGCGGAGCCCCAGCCGCTGCCCCGGCCCCAAGCTCTCCAAGATGAAAGCGTGGTCCTGGGTTTGGGGGCTGGGCGAGCGGGAGGCCTGGCTGCTGCTGCAGGCCTCGTCTGGCTTCTCCAGCACTTTGCCGATGAGAGAGGCCGGGACAGAGTCGGAGTAGGTGTGGCAGATGGGAGACTCCTCCATGTGCATGGTCAGCCGCTCTTGAAAATCAGCCGGCAGCTACAAGTGTCAGAGAAAAGAGAAGAGCAGGAAAATACATGTGACATACATGTTGGTGTATCAACAGATGGAGCTGTCCTATAACACTACTCGCTCTACTCATTCTTTTGAGGGGGGGGGGGGTTGCGTACTCCAACATTTACAGGATTTTTCATTCTATTTAGTGGAAATGGTTTCTTGGACACTTTGAAACTGGCAATTTGCGGCAATCAGCCTGGTTTCTTTATTGATACCTTTGTTCAGTGTTTGTTCATTGAACATGCTGCTTAGAAAATGTCACGTTGGCCATCGTAGTGTCCTTCATTCTCGGATGTTGTTCTAATGGGCCGGTGAATTAATTGCCGTTTCCATCCCTGTGCACAGTAGTGTACATGTCAGCATCTACATCTCCTGTGCATTTACCTGACTGGTCAGAAATAATGTTTGTGTCTTTTGTCTCTTATCATTTCCCAGTGAAAAGAACCATGACATAGAAAAAAACACATCCAAAAATGAAGGTGGACTGAGTCTCTTTCCTTGAAAAGATAGATGATCATTTCTCAATGAATAAAAAGCCTCCATCTACTATATGTGCCTCTCTATAGCAACAAGCATTGAGCAAACAGCACACGATCAGTCTAGTCAGTTGTTCCTAATGAGAGGCAAGTTGATTTTAACTTTGTGGATATGGAGATAGAGGAAAGACTAACACAGGAAGAGATTTTACTCCAGCTTGGACCGAACTGACCGCCACTGATAGTGTCCACACATTCGTCACTTGGGCTTGTTTTGAGACGCACCACTAACTTGCTTTTATCCAGCGTTTCAGCGAGCCGAGGCTAATCGTTTCACATCCTCCCGTGGTTGTTTTGCAGCAAAACAAACGACCGGAGCACTTCAGTAGGCGTTGAAGAGCCACTGCACTCTTCAAAATGCTGCAGCACAATTCATCAATATGCTTTCCGATTAGCTCCCACCCACAGGAGAAAGGTGGACATAGAGAGCGCCTGTACGGCCTCTGACCTCTGCTCTGTTACTTAGTAGCCCTGATCAGCATTTCCCCACCAATCCTATACTCTGTACAGCAAGGACCCAAATGCAACCAAATGCAGTCTGCATTGATGTTTCCCTCCAGGCATATGGGCAGAAACGCGGGGAGGACTTTTGTCAACTGCATGGATGTTTGTCAGCTTTAAAAGCCCCCCCCTCGTCACACATAGGCACAAGGCCAGGGCTGATGCAGCGGAAAGTGGAACCAAGGCGGCCCGGCGTTAAAACACTCCCAGATATACACATGCATCTTTTCACAAGCCGCTGCAGCATCAGGGCAGCATGATGTGGCTGCAGTGCAGTGTGTGCTCTTTGACCGGTTCACCGTCCCTCACATCTGTGCCAAAGTCGCCTTATAGTTGTTGCTGTTGTGCTTCAGGCTTATTCTTAGTCGTAAAATGAGATGATTGCTAAACCCAGTGCAGTCTAATTACACTCTGACTTAGCTGCACGTTGAGTGACGGGAGGAGAATGACCTGGAAGGCTTCCTGTGCCCTTGATCGGCGCAAACACAAGACGTGTGCTTTTGTTGCTTTTCATACCAAAGCCTCCATGTATTATTGGTTCATTTCAAAAGGATTCATAATGTGAATGAAATGAGAAATGGAGGAGTGAAGAAATACCTTGTTGCAAGTAAAAGTTATTCATTTACACAGCAGCAAAGTATATTTAAGTACTATAAGTATATTTAATTACTGCAGAACTGACCAATTAAGAGGAATACATATTAGCAAATTGTCTTTGAATTATTGATGCATTCGGGTCTGAACACTGTTACAGCAGTTAAAGATTAACCAACCCACAGTGCTGGGTTGTTTAATCTATAATAATAAATAACTAAAAAGGTAATAATATTTTGTGTTGTTAACCATCTGATGTGTAAAGTAACAATAGCTTTTATATAACTAAAAAAAAGGAAGTGACAGATGAACTGTCCTTGGTTATATATTATAATCACTTGAATGTATTGATAACCAATTATATAATAATATTTCTATATAGAAATAATATTTTTAATAGTTTATGTCAACAGAAATCTGCAAAATCATTTTTACACTTTTTGTTTTCCAGCAGCAATTACACTTGAACCATAAATATATTACAATATCACTATATCATTTTTTCATTCATTCATGACCAAAACAATCATGGCTTTCGCTGAATAACTACTATTATCTAATCATTTAGCATGTAAATTATTATATATATGCCTATATATGCTAAAGGTTTAGCCGTGTTGAATTAGCCAACTTTTTCAAACCTCTTTTTCTTTGACAGCAAAGTTTATGTTAATGCTGCTCAAGAAACTCTCTCACCTCTCCTCTTTCTTCACAAATCACAGCTATGACTTTGCATTTTTCTTCCTTTTATGCGGCACATTGAATTCTAGCGATTTAATGTGACTAAATTCTTGATAATATTGATGAAATACAAACATATATTTAGAAGACTAAATTGAAAACCCCAAACAATGAATAAAATCCTGAATGAGTTGTAGGAGTCGGTGTGATTCTCACCTCGGAGAGCTGCGCCCTGTAAAGAGACTCGTTGCACTGGAGAAGCTGAGCAGCCAGGTTACAGTCCTTCCTGTACATTTCCTACGCAGACACAATAAGAAGACAATGAAAGCTTTTGTTGGCGACCCCAAAACCGGCTATGCTTCGAAAACCCTTTGTAGCTCAAAGCGTGGCTCCTACGTTGTCTTCTTGTAGCTTCTCAATGGTGAGCTTGGCCTCCATCAGGTGGTTGTTGAGGACAATGATCTCTCTGCTCAGCGCTCGCTTCTCATCATCGTGGTGCTGAGACTGATGACAAGAAAATGGTTTGTACAAATTACCAGCATAGAAATAAAAAAATATAGATTTTTAAACATTTATATCAAAGTATTCCGTTGAAACAACAGCCATCATTCACAGAACTGAGCACACGTGTCATTAATTGTCTAACTTTAGGTTTAAAATCAATATTCATCACTGAAAATGTTCCTTGTTCATTATGTTACTGTTTTACACGGTGACAAGCCAAAGAACTATAATATTAGCACCTTTACCTCTGAGAGTCTACACTAAAGACAACTTCACACCTCAAGTATATAAGTGGCTGCAAGAGAAATTGTAGTTTTTGGTTACTAGGGTAACCAAGAAAGCCTGACAATGGTACACTAAGCACTCTGCAGAAGTCTACTTTCTCTTCTTCTCTCCTCCAACTTTGTGTGTTTTTATTCATCATTTGCTAAGTGTTAGAGGTTAGTACAATATACGATAGGAGAGCTTCAAATGAAAAAACTGGCCTTGTTTGTCTCTCTCCAGGCTTTTTCTTTGCTTAACCGTGTAGGTGCACGGCGTTAAGCACACACAAAGTGTATCACTGTGTTTATCTCTCCTGTGATTACGTCCTCTAGTTGTGCAGGGCCACGGGGTCAGATGGGTTTGTGGCACCTCTGGAGAAAACAAGCCTCACGATTACAGAGAGACTTACTTGGCAGCTCCCCCGCCCTCACCGAGGGAATACGTGAGATAAACCGACGCTTCACGGAAATAGAACAAATCTTTTGTTTTTTTTATAAAATGACCATTGGTCTTTTTTCATAAAAACCCAGGTGACCCTCAGCTCCATCTGCAGCCGTTGCAAACATCAGGGCCGTGATGATCATTAACTTGTGCTGTAACAAACCCACTGGCGGAACATTTTCAGCTGCCTACTCAACAACAAGGACACCTGAGTGTCATTCAGTGTTCTCAGGCGGGCCGGTTCATTGTATCTCTCCACCGGGCAAAAGCGTCGCCTGACAAATGAAGTCAGGTGCGACGCGCTGAGGAACAATGCGTTTGCTATCGCGCTGCCATTTCAAGGGGGACAGGCAATTGTTATAGGCCCTAATTAACTTCAGCGGTACCAAAGGCAGAGCATATTCATATTCAAATTGCCCCCTCCCAATGTTCTTCCCCATGTCTGGCCTGGGAGCTTCTCTTAAGCGTTAGCGTGGGTACACACGCACACACGCACAGACGCACACACACAGAAGGTTGAACACACACTTACATTTCTTTGGATCTTCTCCTCCAGATCTTGGTTGATCCTCTGCAGTGCTGAGTAGCTGCTTTGTATTCTAGATACAATAAACAACAGTAAGTAGCAGTCGGAGACTTTTCCAAAGCGAATATCAACATTGCACAAGACAGTGTTATAAATGTTTAGAGCACTTGAAAGTCATTTTCAGACCTCACTGACTTAGTAAAGGTTTTCTTCTGTCATATGTCACCAGGGAAAAACTATTTAAGGCAATAATAATGTAAATGACTCACTCCTTATTCCCAACCTGGGGAGGGAGGCTTTTATGGTATACCACAAGAGGCAGATCATGGCCTATAATTATTTTTGATTCTTTAGAAGTGCTGTGTTTTGGGGGATTTTTTGCTTCACCAATTTCCATGCAGACAAATGTCCATGAATGCATTTGGCTCTGCTCCAATTCAAGCATTGTCATGATTACAATCTGCTTTTGACCTTTTTCAGAAACCACTCTTGAGCGTGTACGAAATGCTGATGAAGACACACATTTGTTTTTCTTCACAAAAACCCATATATTCAGGAAAAAACATTTATTTCCTACTTGTACTCAAACATATTAAATTATAGTTGACTAAGACCAATGTTACTTCTTTAAAATGTATTTTATTATTCCTATTTCCTTATAACGTACATGGTCTTCCCTGTACATTAGAATTAATTTCAGAATTTTGTACCAATAATGTAAATAGAGGCAAAAATGATCTCTGGGTTCTTTGTATTACATCATTCTCTTTAGATAATAGAAGGAAAAAAAAAAAGTCTGTTTGATTGTATCTCACATGAGAAAAGGCTAGCTGGTCATTCATAGCAGCAGGAGAAGAAATACATACTTTCTTATTTATTTAGGCTCAGATGGCCCTTCTTCTAAACATCCACAGTTCGTTACATCTCTCTTCTATTTGAAAGCTGCTGCTTACTGGACCAGAACATAACTCTTAGATGCCCGTGAGAAAATACTTAAAGTTCAGCACTTCGCATCACGGTGCACGTGCGCACGGCTGGAGTGGAAAAATAAAGAATTGATGGCTTGAATATGTCATCTCATTGGATCAATTCAACCCTTTTACCATTGGCCCTTTTTTCGGATAGAATCACATGTGCGACTGGGCTGTCTCTCGTCATTATGTTCCCTCTCCATCCCTATTTTTAAGTACCATTTGTAGGCACTTGTACATGCGTACGTTGTATCGTGGATCTGAACACTGCGTCGTCTACACGTAGACGCTTATACCTGCGCAGCTTGTCGGTAAACTTGTCCAGCTCTTCCTGCGCTCGCCGCAGTTCTGTCTCCAGGTACTGCCGCGTGGAGTCGAACTCGCTCTGCAGCAGCTCCAGCTTGTGCGTCGTGTAGGAAAGCCTTTTGCGTAAGTCCTCCTTCTGCTCCAGCAGAGAGCTACGCACGCACACACACACACACACACACACACACACACACACACACACACACACACACACACACACACACACACACACACACACACACACAGACAGACAGCAGATGACTGTGTTCAGGGCACATGTTGCAGGAAACAAGCTTGTAACTTGGGTATAAATTGACTTATAAGGGTCTACGCATCTTTTTAATGCACCCTTAAGCAGCCATGCAGCGGTGACGTGAGCATTAGGGTGATGAAAGCAAAACAAGTTGTATAGGGAAAGTGCAATGGGACTAAAAACGCAGAAGTCTAATCAAAAATCCTGGCGGGGGGTAAAGCGAGGGAAAAAGTGCTTTTACGCATTATATCTTCTTTTTTTTCCAGCCTTAAAGATCATCACAGAAACCCCGTCATCACTGAGAAAGAGAGAGAGGGTGTAATCTGTGATGAAATATGAGCCAATGAACTCTAATATATCACACAAATAGACTGTGAAGGGTGAGATTTAGGGAACAGCAATAACACCCCCCACCCACCACATGTTCTAATTCAGTCAGACAGCACAATGATGACTATTTTCAGAGCATGTGCATCACCTGGACTTCATCTCATAAAAGGGCAAGTGTGAGTGGGAAAACAGGAAATGTCTGTTGCCGTGATGGATACGAGTGTGCACGGCTGGGCTTAATGGACCCTGTATTGACGGACAGATGGAGGAAGGAGGGTAATGACTCTATCTGCAGCCGGATAACAGATAGCAGAGAATGGATGGAGATGTGAGGTGCTCTTTTCACTTCCTCTCTTTGTCTCTCTTTTAACAAGACCGTAGATGCTGCCGAGGAAAACCGGATTTAGCTGGATTATTTAATTTAGAAAGTCACATAAGTAATACACTTGAGGTGTTGTTGATACGAACTCATACAAACACACACTCTTCAGTGGTGTATAGTGTTGCATATATACTGTATGTTTATTGGCTTGCTTCCCTTTAGTTTTCTATGGCCGTTAGAGCCGATGTACATTGCGGGATGAAAGACCATACGAGCTGCTCGAGAAAAACTCAGAAGCTGTTTTAGATTTCCGTGTGTAGTCAGACTTTTTGGTGGCATGTCATCATGTCTAAAAAATAAATGGCATTTGTTATTTCTCAAAAAAAACAAAACTCAAATGAGCTTTTGAGTAACTTTGAGTCATTATGATTTTAAGTTTAAGTTAAGCTAATATTTCTTGAATAAAAGACTGATGTGTTCAGGCCAACTGTGTCTCAGTTACAGCCGCATTAGTCTTATTAGAGAGAGCCGCGGATAGGCCTTACGTTCCCTGTGAGATTAATCACTATTAACCGCATCCTTCATTTCTTGAAGAAAGACAGTCAAATGCAAACTGTAGTGCACTGCTGGTAGAAGAAGAAACATCAATATCAACGGATTTGAAGGCACTGCCTCCTTTCGGTCTTTCTGTACTATAAAGTTATTTTTAAGTAAGTAAGTACTTCTGCGTGCTGCACAGCTCTGCACAGCAATATTACAAATGAAACTCTCTAAAAATAAAATACAGTACTGTACTAGACTAAATAAAAGACGTTAATTAGACGTGATCATTTCGGTATCTGCAATCTGTCTAATTTTTTTTGATGGTTGCTATGATTTATACTGAAAAATGCTGCATCCACATTTAAGCCGTTGGGTAAAACAATACCTGCCCGGAAAGGTATTCAGTGACGGGATCTCAGCTGACTGGAAGGCATTTCACCCCCCGACCCACCCTGCCTCCTGCTTATTATTGATAGGCAGGCGTCAGCAGGGGAATACAGGTGTTTGTTGTTTGATAGAGGACGACTTTACGTGAAGTAGCTCCAGGGATGAAAAATCCCCCATTAGTAACCTCTTCTGTGAACAGGAGCTGAGTCAGACATAGTGAGTGCTTTCATTCCGGCGTGATGAGATGACGATGCAGCATGACTCCGGGGCTCGCAGAGGCCCCACGAAGGCCGCTTTTGCATTACCGGGGCGACCGGAGGAGACACCTTGTGGGCGGATGAACGGACAAACAGATAAAAAAAAAAACGAGGACGGATGGAAAGATGGCGTCTGAGTCACTCTCTTACCTCTTCTTCGGATGTTTGCTGCCATTGCGGGGAACTTTTAAGGCAGTCTTGCCAATGTATATCTTTTTCATGGTTTGTCTGTGTTCCTTCCCTCTCATGTGTTTATAGCGGTTGACCACAGGGAGCCGTCATATGTGTTAGTTTCCCAAAGGAGACGCACTAACTGAGTACTCTACCTGCGTTGATCCTGCCAAACAAAGTAAACACACAGATTTGCAAATATTAGTAACTACAGATTATCGAGGCACCTGTTTGAAGGACAGGGTTAATGTATATGTTGCATTGAGGCATTTCTAGCAAAATTACCCACAGTTTTGTTCCTCGAAGCGGTTGCTGGAACTTAACTAAATTTAGACTAACAGCTTTTAAAGATCTTAAAAGATTAAAATCCACCCAGGGATATTTTTTTACGGGGTCACGCTGTGTTGTGAAAATGAGAGTATCTAAGACATCAGTGATAAAAAAAAAGCTTTAGTCCCAGTCCTTGAGACGTAAAGAGCAAGGGCATCAATAAATGAGGAGAAAGCTACTGAGGAAGATGCAGGATATGTTCCACAGCTGGCACCTTTGTGGAATTCATGTCGATTCAAATGAAATACTGGAATTTATTTGTATTTTTTTCCTTCAATCCATGTTTCCCACTCCATGTGGCCTATTCAGGGGGGTGGTGGTTAATATTGAACTCTTCTATACTCAAGCTTTCTTTGCCAAAGAGTCCTTTTCTGTCTCTAAGGAAAAGTGGAAGACTGAAGACTAATTTCAAATGCAGCACTATGTGTCAAGTTTTTCTATTAAATCCGGAATAAACATTATTTGTTTATGCGGCAGTTCAAATGTTTAGAGTGTTAAGATGGAAGTATTTGATAGACATTCTCATTTCTCATTTTCTCATTTGGTTTCTGCATTCATTCTTTGGGTTGATACTATTTGTCACATAGATTTAATGGTTAAAATGAATAAATCAGTAGGTTATCGATCACATTTTAACAATGGCACTGTCAACATACAGAATCAACCCCCACACCAACGTGATCTCCAAAACCTGTTCGTAAAAATGTATACAAAAATCTTGAACATACAAATTCGTAACAATACATACTAACTGGCGGGGGTTAACCACGCCCCTTGAGTGAACAACATGGTGGACCATCTTGGATTCTTGAGTGAACGTCTCTCCGCCATGTTGTATTTTTTGAGGGGGTTAGGGTTAGTATTCTATTCTTACAAGTTAACATTGATTTCTCGTTAAAAATGCAAGTTAGACTTCACAAAGTGTGTTTACGGGGTGCAGGTCCCCATTCACTTTGAACAGGGTGACGTCATCAGTTGCAGTCCGTATTTATTTTGTATGTATTACTACGAATTTGTATGTTCAAGATTTTCGTATACATTTTTTTGAACAGGTTTTGGAGATGATCAACAAAGACGTGTTTTTTCTTTAAACCACCCTAATAGCTCATCTGAAAAGAATGATCTAAATATAGCAACATTATTTTGCTTTAAAGCAGTATCTCATTTCTCATGGTAAGAAGGTTTTCAGAGCCCTTAAAAGAGAGAAGGAAGTGTATTTGCATATTATTGGTGCTGAATGATAGAACGAACAAACATCCCTCTATTCCCATTTTGCAGACTTCATCTCTTACATGTCCAAACAAAGGGGACACAAACTCACACATCCATCCTGCCTGGAATGAAAAGAGTTCACAAAGAAGGCCGCGAAGCATCTCCTCCGAACATTCCCCACTGTCCCCTCTGTCCCGTTTGTCCCCATGTGGCTCCCACAGCACAGATGGACGAGTACTGCGAATCATTAGATGAGACGGCGCGTCAACAAAACGCGATCAAAGCTGCTCTGAGCCGAGTGCTCCGCCGTCCTCTTTGAGCGGAGACGGCGGCAGACTGAACGGTGGCGGTGCAGGCCCGAGGGAAGCCTCGCGTTGGGGATGTGGCGTCCGTGGATGGCGCGCATGCCAACGAGTAAAAACCTCGATGGCGTACAGCAGAGAAGCATGTTGATCCACGGACACGCAGTGTTTGGGAGGTGATTTACTCGGCCTGCCGAGGAGGCGCCCAGAGACACGTGCAGATGGTGACGGCTCACCACCGCCGCTGGAGCCTTCACTCCAGCTGCTCCCCTCTGAGTCATAGCACACCAGCTCTGGATATATGTGTGTGTGTGTGTGTGTGTGTATCTGCGTGTAAGATGTGGTGGGTGTGAGCGTGTTGTTGTGCACGTATGAGGCTGTTGGTTTGTGTCCACGTAGGCGCATACTGGCAGTACGCATGAACACTTCCCCGACTATGCATCTGCGTGTGTTTTTCCTGTACTGGTGCGTTTGTGCGCTTCAAGAGAAAGGAAAAAACAACAACAACAACAGTCGAAGGACGGCTGTCATGGCGACACGTCTCAGGCCATGTCAGGTGTCCGCTGTCGAAACTGCCGGCGCACAAAAAACTCTCCCTCGCTCGCTGGCTTTTTCCTCCTCCAGCCCGACCCTCACACTGCAGCAAAAGCAGAGACGGGGCTCGCTCAGACGCCGCTGCCTGCCACCCACTCGCGCCACGCTGACATTTGAGAGGAACTCGGAGCATTGAAAGGAAGAGGAAGGGGAGGTTGTGGAGGAGGAGGAGGAGGACATTCAAGTTGAGGAATTGGGAAAAGGGAGAAGCTTGAAGCCCTTTGGAGAAGGAGGGTTGCTAGTCACAATTTAGTGAAAGACAGGAAAGAGAGAGAAGCCATCACTAAATCAGAGAGGAAACGCAAGCAGAGCTGGTATAAAGTCTCATAACTTGTCTTTCTTCTTCCTCTCCTCCCCGCCGCCTGCTCCGTTTCTTCCTTCCTGCCTCGCGGATCGCATCTGTGCTGCAGATAGAAAAGGCTCTCAGGAAAAGCCCTTCATGAGCGGGCCCCCGGACCTCAGCATTAGTAGAGCTGGGGGGGAACCCGTGAGGCTGACTCATCCACCAGCACCGGTGGAAGAAGGCAAAAATGGTGCTCTCTCTATCTCTCTCTCTCTCTCTGCTCTGCATCCCTGCAGATTAACAAAGGCGGCTAACCTGCAGGCGTCGCTCAGCACGACGACGTGCACTGTGTGACTGCACCGCCTGATAAAAAACAACACAAATCAACCCTCACCCGAGGGTCTGCTGCTGTTCTGTGAGGATGTGCGGCATTGTTGTCTCTGCCGTTTCTCTGCCCGGCGTCGATTCACTAACTAAGTAGTTACACACCAACTACCAACATCATTAGCAGCAGAGGGGGGGTGGAACGGATTTCACGTGCTGCTGATGGCACGTGGCAAAGGGGAGAGCGTTATCACAACAACCATCCCGGGAGGATTTTAGGATGAGCAGGAGAGGTGACGGAGGCTAGCTGAGCTCCAAACGCAAACGCATGGATGTACACAGCTCGGTCGCTCCTCTGGAACCCCTAAAGTCAACACAGAAGCACTGATTGAGTCCAGTATCAACACCAGAGTGGATGTTTAGGCAGAAAACGGCTCGGAATTAAAAAGCTAAGTGAGTTTAGCCGCAAAATCAACTAAAGAAATTTTGTTGTGGTGAATTCTTTTAGTTCTAAATTTCAAAGTTTGAGTGTAGATTCAGTTCTCATGATATAATAATTGACTTTGCATCCAAACATTGGTATTAAAAATAATGTAAAATCCTATCACAATAAATGTCTCTCAAAAGTGTTTGTCATTTATAATTAAAGTCAAAATTTCGGGCCAGAAAAGCCCCCAGCTATACAAGCACAAATGCACAAACACACACACACACACACACACACAAACACCAGCACATGCTGTTCTACACGAAAGAGCGTCTGCCTCTAGACAAGAAAACCATGTTATGGTGGCAGTAAATCCTGTCGAGAGCTGTCCCACAAAGCCACTGAGACCCGGTCTACTTCCGATCTGAAACATCATACGGAACCTTTCACACACTTTGAAACTGGCTTTTCAAACCTGTGAGGCCGAATTGCGCTAATTGTTCCATATAATAAATAGTAGAGAAATCTCAATTCCGTCCGCTCCGTTTCATTCAATCCCATTTACTTTCGGTTGAACGGGAGTTTATGTAATAAAAAAACTGTGCTGAAATATTTTGGCATGCACACAAATAAGGCCAGCGTTTGCCATCCTTTCAACTGCAACAAAAACAGGAGAAGGGACGAAGAAGCACAAGCAGCTTTTAAAAAGGGTTCAGCTCATTAAAAATAGAACAGACACAAACACACATATCTGTACACACACACACACACACATACATACAAGACACACCGCCCACAATCACAATATATTGTTTACGAGCGGCGCTGAAACGGACAGGTAGTGATTAGACTCCACAAAGGAACCACCTCAGTGAAACAAGCCTGCAGTGTGCAGCCCTGTGTGTGTGTGTGTGTGTGTGTGTATGTGTGTACAGGAATATTTGCCTCGTATACATCAAAACTGTATAGCAGGAGGCTCAAACGCTCTCACAGGTTCATCCACGACTCTCCAGAGGCGGCCTGAAAGCTTCATCTCAGGGATGCATGAATGAAGCTTTCGCAGCAAACGAAAAAAGGAGACTATAGTGAGGGGACGTAGAAAGCAATAAGATGCTGACAGCTTTCCAGCACAGCAGCAGTAAGAAAATGGCGTATGAAAAAAATATATGAAATCTGTGACCTCCAGTTTGGGCTCATAACAGGCAAAAAAGCAGAAGAATAGAAAGAGATCACGTTTATTTATGTGTTTCATTTCTTTTCTCCGCCACAATTTCTCTACAGAGAGTGAGATGATTGTTACCAGATTCAAATGATTGTCATGGTTATGAGGCAACAGCTAGCAGCTTGTTAGCTTCGGAATCCCTCGTTCATTGTGTTTGTTTATCCTGTAATAAAACTGAGGTGTAAAAAACAAGTCGTGATTTTACAAGGTTGATGTGATAGCTTTATATTTGCTGACACGCAAGTTACCTCCCTGCAAGAAGACAGTATTTAGTTCATCAACTGACACAAAAAACTGCTAGTATTTTATGTTTTATACTATGTAAAGTAACCATCGATGTTGGCAGTTTTTGTCTGGATTAAACACACACGTTAGTGACAATTGATGAGCTTTCATATTCTATTTGTAATAATAAGCAACAAAACCAAATACACAAGACTTTTCTTATCCACTATTGCTCAGCAGCCGTCTCACCTCTGATTTCATTCAATTAGTCTCATGTTCTCATGTTCTCAGGAAGGAGTGGACTTGTCACACGCTGCAGATATGCACATTTCAAATTCAAGTCCAAGACTTGTGTGATGGCAGCCGGTTTATGCAGTGAAGACGTTAACGAGGCCGACTGCTTCACGGCCGCGAGCAATAAATCTGACCCGTACGATCCGACCGCCGGGGATGAAGAGGGCAAAGGGGAGGAAGAATAATGGGGTTGAGATGATAAGATGCACTTAATAACAGCAGATGAGCTGTCAGTGCTCCACCACAGAGGGAGCGAGAGAGAGAGAGAGACGTAGACACAGAGTGGGAGAGCGAGGCGGACCGTTCAGAAAACAGGGCAACGGAGGAGAGTTTTAGTCTGTTGGACCACCAATGTCCACTTAGGCAGATCAAAAGTGAGCTCTCTTCAGACCAGCGTCTCCCCCACAAAGCAGTCATCGCTGTCATCGCTTCCTCCACAATAAAAAGGATTCAACGGATGCTTAATTCATCTGGGATGAGTTGCTTAGGTCTATAATATTGTCAGATAACTTAGCTTAGCACGATGACTGACAGAGACACGGCGAGCCTTGCTCCATTTTGCACAAAGCACACTAATTAACACGGATCTTGTTTGTGTGATTCATTCAAAAACACAGTGTTAACATGGCTTTATTTTGATTTGATGTATTTATTTTTCAGTGAATTCCTCATTGTCCGGACAACAAAACGAAAGGAAGTCAACGAAACATGTTTTTACACCCATCTTTGTGACGGATGATCAAACCAGATGTAACTTATAGCAAATGTCATTATTTTCGTTTATTCACCTTTCACCCTTCATGCTTCGTCCTGCTGTAGCTTCATGAGTGAGTGCCGTGAGGTTGTCAAATTCAGTGAGTGATTTTTCCCACATGCAAATCTTTTCTCAATACTGTAGTGATATTCAACACGTTGAACTCGTATTAGTATTTACTGGCGAAGCCTAAACAAACTATTTGTTTTAAACGATGCTATTTTCTCAAATAAAACCCTTCAGCGGAAGATTGCTTCGTGACATTTGCGTGAACATTAACACTCTCACAGACTTTTAATCTGTTTATCCAACTGACGTCTATACTCTGCTCTGGAGCTCCCTGCTCTGCTGTGTCTCCGTGTAGAATGCACACGTCTGTCTCCCCCACGGGGGCCGGACGCAGGAGCCCCACCACGAAGCAGAGAGAGAGAGAGAGAGAGAGCAGGAGAGGGATGAGAGATTTCAGGAGGTTTCATCACTTGGAGAGGAAGGGGTTTGGAGATGAGACGTATGAGCCGGAGATGGAGGTGGGTGGTGTGTGTGTGTGTGTGTGTGTGGGGGGGATGGGTGGGGGGTAGATTTAGGGTCAGACTCTCTGGGACATCCTGCAACCTGTTAAAACCTGTCAAGGCGTCTTCAGAGGCCACAGAGGGACCTCGTTTCCTAATCAGCAGAGGGGGAGTAAAAAAAAGAACCAAAAGAACCAGAGACACAGTGCTGCCTCGTCTCTGCTCAGCAGAGCTGCTTTAATTCAATTATCGCTGTGACACAGCGGTGAGGACAATTGATGCCTGATATTAAGGAAACTCCCTCGTCGGCTGCGTAGACGGCTTTTAAACTGTAATCTGCCTGAATACCATTTGTATTCGAACACAAAAGGTAAAGCTCGGGATCTATTTCCATCTGTGCCGGATTAATAAGGGTTCATTAGTGATATTATATCAATTACAACGTGTCTGCCGTAGGACGGCGAGGTGAAAAGGAGAGAGGAGGAGAGGAGAGGGGAATAAAAAGATACAGATTCTTTTTTTTTAACTGCACGTCGTCATGTTTGCTTTGCTGCCTTAATTCCCGTGTAGTGCAACTTCAATCAGAAAATGGGTGAGCACTTGTAATTTAGTAATGAGCTCATTAAAATCTGTTTATGCAGGCATGTGTAGGCATTAGTTGAGCTATTACCTGCGCCTTGGCGGACATTTGTGACGGCTGAAGTTAATTTAAAAACATGAAAAAAAAACATTGATTAGGGCTTCTGTTGCTCAGTTCTTCATGTAGTGGTGAAGCAGCGCTGCCATGCAGAGCAATTAATCAGTGGCTATAGGTGCATTCCGACAGGTGACTGACTGAAATCATGCAGAAGCGGACTTATAGAGTCGAGGATTCACATTTTTACAACCATTGCTCATTTAAGATTAACTAAAAAACACACACACGAGAGTGATTGATTCCTTAGAGCTTTAACAGTAACGTCACACACGCTGCAGTGGATTTTCAAGCCAAGAGATTCCCTGCACACAACCACCAGCATAGTTCTGCAAAAACAACACCCTGTTATCTTTGACAAACTCTCATAAAGCAGATAATACCTAACAGCACTGCATCAATACACAGAGCACAAACTGACACTGAGTGCAGCCACATCTCACGCAAATGAGCACGTACATGTGTATATAAACACACATCTAAACACACTCACACACAACCAAGCCAGCAGTAATACAAATCAAAGATGCAAACAGTGAAGCAGTACCTTCCGCTCACGCAGAGCTTCATCCTGGAGACCGGGAGATAAAAATCCAGCCGCCTGAGCCTCGCCGGGGAAACAGAGAAACCCCCCTTGTGTGCTCTCTGGATTGGTTTACCCAGCTCTCCCTTAAAGCTCAGAGAAACCCCAGCAAATGCACACCAACCTCCCCACCACCACCAGCACCACCACCACTGCTGCCACCACGCCAATCCAACGGCAGCAGCAGCTGAGCCAGGACACAGGGCGGGAGGGAGGGAGGGAGACTGTGCGAGAGTGGAAAGACAGAGAGGAAGAGTGGGAGGGAAGGAGCTTAAAGGAAGACGACAGGGAGAACGCGGGGGCGTGATGGTGGAGCGCTGAAAGATATGTGCAGAGAGAGAGAGAGAGAGAGAGATGGAAAGGGAGAAGCTTACCTCACAGTGTATATGTTGTTCATCTCTTCGCCAGGCGCCTAAAGGAAATGACAGCATGTTAGTGGAGGGGGACCCACACAACCGGCCACGGTGCAGCCAAGTAGAGCATTGCAAACTGAAACAAATACATATATATATACATATATATATATATATATATATATATATATATATATATATATATATATATATATATATATATATATATTTCAGCAGGCGCGCTCTCTGTCCCCCCCTCTGTTTGTGTTTTTCTTTTCCCCTCTCTCTCTCTCTTTCCCTTATCCTTTCCTCCCTCTACCACAGCTCTGCGGGCGAGGAATCCCTCTTCAGGGAGTCAACATCTGCGCTTACTCGAGGTGAAAAGAGAACGATCGTATCATAGCGGGAGTGTGAGAGGAGGGTGCATGGAAAACATGGGGAGGGGGAGGAAGGAAGGAGGGGGGGAGGAGGAGAGGGAGTCCGTACGGGTACCCCGGTACTCTCCTCCAGTCTGAGATAGTGCGCCCCCCCCCCCCCCCCCAACACCAGGGATACTGGCAGCAACTCAATATCCTCGTCTAGAGCGGAGACAGAAAGGGAGAGAGAAGCAGAGGAGGTGTTGAGAGAGATGGAGAGCGTATAGGAGGCAAGGTGAGGGAGAACAGGTGGTCCAATCTGTTGAATCTCACGTTCCATGTCCCACGCTGTTGGGGAGAATACCTTTTTCATACAAGTCTGCTGCTGGCCCCTTTTTGTGAAGGCGATGAATTATGCATCGTTCCCAAGTATTCTCATCTTCATTCAAGGTTTAGGGAGGGAGTCATGCATGTCCAACTGGGTCGTGAATGAAGGAAGCAAGCGTTTGCAAGGACGTTGTTTTAATCTCCGGGGGCTGGATGGAAACATAACCGAGTCGGAATACTAACAGGAAAGGCGCTTTTAAGGCCCGGGTGGGGGCGCTTAACAAATCAGAGTTTGCATCTTCGGCGAGAGCACAGCTGAAGGTCGTGTGCCTGTGAAGAATGTTTCGTTACCGCGCTCACACTTGTACGGGGACTCGTGCGAGGAGAGGAAACTTTGAAGCGACACACACACACACACACACACTACACAGAGATGAACACCAACGGGCTCACATGCCTTCCTCTCTCAGCCCCCACGCCACCCACCTTTTTTTTCAAGCAGTTGCTAAGGTGACGGCAAAGGCTGAATTTTAATCAGACAATAAATTAAGGCAATGTGATCTCCTTCTCCTTTATTATTGAATGGCAGCGGCGCTACTTTCGAAAGATCTGTCAAGTGTGTTTTGGGTCGAGAGAGAAATGCTTACAGTGTAAATTAAAGGTCTTTGTGGGAAGTGCAATCACTTGCTGAGAGATTGTCCAGGGGTTACAAAGCATAGTGATGTTTGCTTAATAGTGAAATAAGAGGAGGATAGCAGGATGAATTACCATCTACCACTCTGATGAATGTCACGCTGAGACTGGAAATTCAAACACTTTTGTTGCAGTAGTTGCTAACCGAGCCTCCAGGCCCGTCTTCCTGCACACCACTGCTGTAAATTAGTGGAAACCACCAGTTGCTCATCCTAAAGACAAACGGGTTGCTTGCATCCACAGCCACTGAAGCAATGTCATATCTCAAGCTGAGAAAATGACGGATGTCACACAATAAACGTTGGTGAGGGGGCGGAGTCACTAAATGACTGCATTGTCAGCATGGAGCACATCGTCCTGTGCACACGCACATGACCATCATCCATCGTCATCATAATGGCTGATATGAGTGCTGGGCTTGTTTGTGTGGATCAGCAGGTTAATGCACTCACCGAGTTTTTAGGCTTTTTGTTGTTAAAACAAAACAATTAGAACTGTGATGCCGACAGTTGTTGTTATTTAAGGGGGGGGGGTCTAAAATCGTAAAAAAAAATATTGGTGAAATCTCACTTAAAATGTATTTAAAAAGAATAGGCTGCTACGTTCTGCAGTATTTATTATTCCGACTGAATAGATTTATCCACAGACATGAATAATGAGTGCTGAGTTTGCAAATCAAGACAAATTTGATCAGTAGCATTCGTGAGAACCTGGATTAAAGCGTTGTTGTCTCTTTTCCTTGGATGCCGGGACAGAGACGCGAGTGCGCTGTGTGCATTCAGGGCGCCGTTGGCGTGCGAGGGCCCTGATTGTCAACACTGTTAGCCTTGGCGATGTGTGTAGGCTAAAGCCGAGTTAATGGCCTTGGATTGCATGTATGAAAATCTTGTACATTGGGTTTTAGTCAGCCCTAACCATAACACAAGAGGGAGGGGGGGAGCCCCCAAATGCCGTTTAGCAGCAGGACAAACAAGCTGTAAACAGATGAAGTCATTAGCCAACAGTTGCCTGTTTACACATAAAGCAGATTCGGAGCAACAATAGGATTCATTCAGAGTGTTTTTTTCCAGCCACTTGTCAAAAACAAGTCCAATATTCTCTCTCGTTTTAGCTCTGCTTTAGAGAACATGCATCACCAGCAGAAAGTGTTGGTTTTGTAGTGCTTTGGCGACAGAGTACAGCGAGTAAACTAAATCAGTAAATCTTTTAGTCTTTTCTTTCACTGTGTATATGTACACGAGAGCCTGCGCGTGGGTTTAAGAGCTCGAGTGTGACCCCGTGTTTACTGTCTTTGTTTTCTTGACATGAACATAAACAGATGCCAAGACAAATTGACAAGAGCTTCTTTCCTATTTTTTTCTATGAACGTGTTTTTCTCTTTTTTTCAAATGGGATATCTTATTGTGTGCTTTCTTGTTAGAATCTTGATTGACATAAAAAAACATAAACGGGATTAGACGAATGATTAGTAACGTTATGACGCCCATTTCTTTCTCGGCAGAAAAGCGCCAGAAAAATCGACAACAATTTCATCCAAATCATCCAAAAACTTGATTTATTCAAATTCTGTGAGAAACAGTTTTGACTCCAATCATAACATATGGCCCGGCTTTGATTAAAAACTGGGATGACTTTATTCACTCACCATGTTGATGCCCTTGGGCAGAGAGACGGATCTGTAGGGGTATGGGGGGGGGTCTGGATGAAACTCCGGAACGGGACTCGTCATCTGAAACCCTTCGCAGAACTGTGGAGGAGGTGGAATCACGTCCTCCTCATCCGTCTCCAGCGTCAGCGGCGCCCCAGCTCGAACGTCCGGGTCCACCGTGTCAACGTCCGTCTCCGCAATGGTTCTCTCGGGCGCATCAAGGAGAGTCTGCTCTTCTTGGCTCGCCCAGCGCGCGAGCAAAGAGCCCTGCCGTCGGGCCCTTGAGCGAGGCAGCCGCGGGCTCCACTGCGTTGCCTCTTGAATCTCGTCTTCGGGCGGCGGTGGACTTATGGTGGGGAAGCCGGAGGGGGAGACTGGTCTCCCAAATACTCGCAGGCTGTTTGGATGGAGAACGTTGGACGTCACCTCATTCAGGAACTGGGAAAATTTCACTTTGGCTTCGATCTTTTCCTCCAGCAGACATTGTAGTTTTACACTTTTAGCGCCGGCGTGGGTCCGCGGAGAGCCCCTCCCCTGACACGGTCCGACCCCGTCTGGCGATGCGTGGGTTTTGGCGCGGTTGCGGCCCCTGTCCTGCTGCGCCAGTGGATGAGCTCTCCAACGAGGCCCTCTGAAAGGACATCCTGTGAGTCTCCCCCACCTTCTCTCCGAGCCGAGCCGAGTTTGAAACGCCGTCCGGCCCGTGACCCCTGAGCTGACGCTGTACAGGCTGCCGGTGCCCTCGCTGCTGCATCCTGGGCTGCTGCTGCTGGGGGCACTGGGACAGGAGAGCTGGCTGAGGGAGGACTGGTTCTGAAACGGGCCCATCACCTCCTCCAGCCAGACCTGATCACCGAGCGCCTCGAAGGGCTTTGCTCTGCCTCCCTGGGACTGGAGGCAGGCTGTGTTGCTTCTCCGGTCCATCGGCATGAGTCCCGTCCACCTAGATGTGTTGATTCTCTGTTGGCAGATGATCGATGGTCCAGTGGACAGGCCCAAATTCAAAGAGTTTCGCCCCAGTCTCGTTGTTGTGCAAGCCTGACCTAGAAGAGATCCAATACATTTCACTCTAGGCTGAACAGATGGCCTCCTTTAGTGCCAGAATTACCCCCTGTTATGTCAGGCAAGGACATCCTTGACTTAAAGTTGAATGCACAGCATTATGGAGACATCCTATAATGAACTCACTTTTTTTTATTAGATTTTCTTTCAATAGTCACCAATAAACATTTCTATTTCCACTTCATTCTGAGGCCGGAAGTCAAAGACTGAGCTTTTCACAGCTTCTCTGCTGTTACTCTGCAGAGGCTTCAGGTTTGTAGTTAATGAGAGTGAGTTTTAGCAGAATCGTAGCAAGTGTCTTTGCTAGGTGAGTAGAGCTTACTCCAAGGGTGCAGTTCTTAATTGGAATGTCTATTGAGAGCAGCCGAGCTTTTGCAGCTTTTTACGGGTCAGTAGTCGTAGGAAGGGATTGATCCAACAGAGCACGTCAGCTGACACACCGACACCCAGACTAATGGACGGGCTTGTTGAGTAATGGAATAAGCTATTTGTATCAATACTTCCAATTAACAGAACAGTGGTGCTCATGCAAGCATTAACAGACACGGCGTATCACTGAAATGGAAATGTCTACTAGCACTTTACACTAAGCTCACGGTCCTCGTGCTCGATACTATCATCAAGTGTAAAAACATTAGTTTTTATTCTCTTGATCCCACACAATATTGAAAAGTTTTGAACGACATACTGACAATGCTTTTATACATAATCATAGCAATATTTTAAACCCTTTTCCTATTACACCCGATTGGTGGAGAACATGCATTTGTCCATAAACACACACGGTCATGCATGTACTTTTTAATCGGGGACTACAAAATAGTTGTAGTTTGCCAACTGAACCTACTTGGCCATAGGTTGTATTGTATATGCCGTATTATGGAGACACACACTGAGGCATGTATTCATATGGGCACGCTGTAGCTCTAATGTCACTCAGTATTCAGGCGGTTACATAACTGCATCCATAACACCTCTTTTAGTCTTTGCAAGGGAGGAGTGAAAGAGATTGGGATTGGCAAGTGAGTGGCAGCAGTATGACAGAAATAAAATGCCACATATTAAGCCGGGCGCAGCAGAGACTCCCTGGTGTAAGCCCCTAAACTAAAGCCCAAGTTCAAAGTGAATGCTTTACGAAATCTGAACTGAAAACAAAGGCTCATTGGTCTTCTAGAATATGCAACGGGAGAGAAACCACCAAGTGCAGCGGGCAGCGTTTCAGTTCATGCTGTGTGTAACGGTCTTTGCTGTATTATTGCTCTCCACAGATACCATTACCATAATAATGTTGAATATTCCAAGCGGTTATGATCTAATCTGATCTCTGACCACATGATCACAGGGGAGACCTTCAACTCGTTAAGCCACACAGTCTTTTCCCGAGTCTTCGCTTGGATCAGACCGGGATAAAACACTGTACAGCGTGTCTTGTCATGCAGGAGCCAGCCTGTTTCGGTCTCCAGTGGTATCATTAGCGCCGCATCCGATATGTGTAGGGTTTGAGCCACGACCGGATGGCAAGCTATGCGCACGCGCACCTACAGACTTGGGCCCCGCATCCTCCCTCCTGCGACAGCCCAGCCGGCCCACAGGACCCCCCCAAGGGACCACCCCGTCTGGTACCAGGGAAAAGCACCGAGCCCTCAGCTCACAGACATATCGCCTTATCCTTTTCCGTCCTTCTCCATTGTGTTGCCTTTTTTCACCGTTTTCCAGACAGGCTCGGGCCCCTCATGTGATGTATGCCTTTAATAATCTCTTTTCAATCTCAGGAGGAGGAGAGGGGTGGGAGCCAATTTATAACTATCGCCCTGACGAGAGAGACAGTCAGCCCATGGCGGCCGGAAGGTAATGGTCCTAAAATGGATTCTTGCTACAAGTGCAGAGGTGGAGATAATTGTGATGTTCGCTCGCTTGCACGGCGGTTGCACCGGGCTCTCCCTTGATGGCCAGCTGTGTCCCTGCCTCGCTTGCCTATTCCTCTGCAGGGGGGACGGTTTCCACGTCTCTGGCTAAGCCTGCAGAACAGACTAAATGCCACATCTGATCAGCTGTGGGCATGAAGAAGAATGGCCTCGCGCCACCGTTTCTATGTGTGTTGTGTCCTCCCTGTTCTTCTCATTAGATCAGCTCTATCATCTGTCCACACAGCCTCATGCTCAACAGATGCTACACCGTTTCATGTTTTTAGCCTAAAATCTGCTAAATATGTGTCGGCGAATTAAGAAAAGACCAGAAAGCCCGACTTAAAACTGAAAGCAATGTGCACCGAAAGACCACCGCTCATCCTTCAAAGCAACACGCGACGCAGCGTTTGATTCATTAGCAAAGAATCACTTAACTTGTCTCCGTCTTCAGGTCTGGCATGTTGGATGTTTGTTTGCCAAGCTTTCTAACTGTGTCTTGTACCTTAGCCGAGCATGTCGATAATGGCTTACAGGGGCACTCAGGAAAAAGGCAAGACGAGGAAACAAAGTGTCGTCGGATGCTGCACGAGTAATCCATCTCACGCAGAGACACTTGTCGATGCCTCCGGACCTGTGGGGTCGCTTTCAGAGAGCGGCGCTGTGCAATCAAATGAGAACGGGCTAAATTGAATAAGGGCCAGCTCGTTCAGGAGGTGTGGAGATTTCCTGGGAATCGCTGCAGAACACACGTTAAGGTCTGCATTCAAATCCGTCAGGCCGCCATCACAATCGCACGTAATGCACACCACGAGGGTGATGAGCATCTGTTACAAACAGGAGCCCTGTTGGCATAGAATCATCAGGTTCTATTGTATTAAAGCATTAATCAACCACTCATAGCTAGAACAGGGACTTTATGTAGCTTTACTTCTTCTGGGTTCAGAGTGGATGTGCTCTGGATAATATTTCTACATGACAGTCTAGAGGGGGACCAGCTGACCTCAATACATATCATTACGGTACCACAGTTTTCTGTCAACACAGCCCGTCATATCCCTGTGTGTGTGTGTGTGTGTGTGTGTGTGTGTGTGTGTGTGTGTGTGTGTGTGTGTGTGTGTGTGTGTCTGTGCTCCATCAACTTAGTCACACAACAAATGGTCACTGTGGCATCGTGCTGCAGATTCACTGAGTTGTTATCACGAGCGTGTTGACAGACTTCATGGCCGAACAGATAAAGAAATCAACGCCATCTGCAGAGAACAGTAGTAGAAATCAATAATGGTGGCAGATCTGCTCAACAAAAAAGATATAACCCAAAAATCCCTTATTATGTCGACCTGGCTAAAGGTAATGCAGTCTACAACTGTCTTGAACTGCTACGCTCAGTTTGCCGATATACTGAGAATCAGGTATGTTTACAATGTTCACCATCGAATTAGATTGTTTCAGCACAAAATGTCCTAGCTGTGCATTAATTGTTGACAAAATATCAACCTTATGGTCACCAGGTTTCGGCTCTGTTGTCTTTCAGTTCTTGAGACAAACGTTTATGTCAACGAGGCTTGTGTATCACTGTAAAAAGCCACAGTGCATTAAACACATACCAATCATCAAATTATGTTGGATTACTATTCCCAGGGTATATTATAAGCAGGCATCAAGGCGCCCAACCAAGACAACGTCAGCCCTAATAAATCACTTTCAAAAAAACATCTACCTACAAGTTTTTGGCCACAAACCAAGAGAACATATTTAGCTCAAATTGCTTGTCAAGAAGATGAATTCCGCAGCAGAGTTTGAGAGGACTGTTTCCACACAGTTATTCTGCGGTAACTTTTATTGTGGTGTCCTCACACACAAACGTACCTAAACACACACACACACACACACACAAGGAAAAGGTGCTAATTATAGTAACCGTGTGATGAGGTTTCTCATAGTGAGGCCCATGTTACCTTTGCTTCTAATCCTTTGTTATTAATTATATCTTCAACAAGCCTACACAGTTCTTGTGGTGTCAGCACCGAGTATCCATGGCAACAGCCAGTTGGTCCCGGCTCTCAGGGATGCATACACACTTTGTTGCCTGACAAAACAATGCCTCGCTGCAAAGATACTCGGCTGGCAAGATTAATAGCTCAACTGGTGTGAAATATAATTCAAATAAAATGAATCCTCACCCCCTGGAGTTTTTCCTCCTTACAGTCTTTAAGCAGGAAACAATAATCTGCCTTTACAACAGTGACCGAATCAATAAAAGCCCTTGTTGCCCAATCAAAACATTACAACGGGTAAGTGAAATAAAGAAAGCAACCTCTCCTCCCTGTATTTTCACAATGCAGTGATTGGTTTGGAGGTATTTTATTATTTTATGTTTGTAATCCACCACACGCATGCATTACTGACACCATTGCATTTATAACAACATGATGTAATTTGCGGTTTCTTTGGTCCAAGAAGGATAAACATCAGATGTTATTAATACATGGACCACACTCATGATAGCTCATTAACTCCCAATCAGGCCTAATGTTAGTACAGAGAGAGCAGAGCAATTTGCACTTTATTCTTGTAACACTTTGCAGTAAATTTGTTGGTACCTGGAAAAAAGGTGGGAGCTCAGTTATGTTTAACAACAGGGGAAATATTCCTCAAAGCGTTGTTCATTGTGCAAGTTGTAAAACTGTTTTTGTCTGTTGAAATATATCAACGCTGTCACTGTTGTGTTTGCAGTGATCTGTGCAGGTAATGTTTTACTTTTTGTACAGGAACTCTTTATTTGTGGTTTCATTGATCAATTGCATGTAGCTGGACCTCGTCGGCTGAGAGCGGACAACCAAAGCGGAATATTAGAAATTGGTGACAAGAGGGGAAATGAATGAAGAAAATCCGTACCCAACAGGCTTTTGGACAAATGCATGAAGGTGGACAATTACAGCTTAACAGCCCCATCTACTGCTGAGATGTGCAAAGACCAGCGGCTTTATAAGTTATAAAGTATCAAAACAACAACATAAAGGTTTAGTGTATCCTATAATCAGCTCAAATGTATTGTGTATCAAAATAAATAGATCCTTTCCACAATAAAGGCCTCCTGTTGCTGATGTAGTATTTACTGATGCCTCAAAATGTATCTAGCATGTTATTGGTGTAGCTGGTTGAGGTGGTTTAAAATACTTACTAATAATGGAGTGAATACTAATCTTTGCTTTTTTAGGCCTTAAACATTTGTATAAATTAAACCGTTCCAGAAGGGAGAATTATGAATTGGAGGAACTTCTAGTTCGGACATCTAAAATATAATAAGTAGCCCCCAACAAGACACCTTTTTGTGAGGGGGCTTATATCCTAAAATGACCGTAGTTAAGTACAATATTTCCCCTTCAATATGTAAAGTATCTTAAAATGGACGCAATCGCAGTAGAAACCGCTTTAAGTTGTAGCAGAATGCTTCCATATTCCTCCACATTCTTTTACTCCTCTGCAGCCTGGATGGAAAACGCAGTATAGAAAAGTGAAATTGTGCAAACAAGTTGTAATTGTGTAAACGATTCAATCAATTCAAAACACCACATGATACAAAGACTTTCAAACAAGTGTAACTGTAGAACTCCACAATGATGTATAGTTATGAAAACATTTTTCTTAACTTCTTATCTTTATGCAGTAAGAAAATAAATCTAATTCAAAATGCAAAAATGTTTACAATATGCACTCGTTCCTATATAAAAGCACCATGACGTGACAGAAAAGTGTAGTTATAGTGCGCTGCCTGATAAAGAGGTACAGTGTACAGGTGTATCAAGGTTTAACGAGAAATATGAAGTCTCTTAATAACAGTCGAGCATCCACAACAAAGGCCGTAAGGAAAAACAGCATCAGTGTTCATAATTAGCCAACAGAAATACATGTAAGTGAGCATTTATTACTATCAGCAGATACCAATATGCCCAAACAAATGAGAAACGTTATACCAGACTACAAAAAAAAGGCGTAATTTAACCAGTTCACGATCTTTACGTTTAAAAGCAATTAAAGAGCCAATGCAGCAAAAATAAGATCTACTCCAGCATATTATTCAGATATATTCTAAAAAAGGCACGGATACAAATGATATGATAAACGAATCTCTCTCAAAAGGAGAAAGTGTGTACAGATAAAAGGCCTCGTCTTAATCCCGTGTTTATACCTATAGAACAGTATTCAGTGAAATAGTGAAACAGGAATTGCTGCAATCCTTTAAAAAAACTTGCTGGTAATCTTTTAACAGATCATTTTAAATGCACGGTGATGTTTTGCAGCGTTGTGGCCGTTTCAACCGGTTCTTGGTCATTTCTTTTTCGCAGGCGACTCGATGAGCTTCCCCTTGTTGTACTTCTGACCGATCCCGTAGGGGACGTGCGCAGATATGGTTCCCAGCTCCCGGGCCCCCTCAATGTGGAACATCTGGTCGTCAAAGAAGATGTGCGGTTTGATTTTCTGCAGCAGGGGCCCTTTGGGAGCCCCGGCCAGGAAGAGGGCCTCGTCGATCTCCAGGCCCCAGCTGCGGAGGGTCTTCAGGACGCGAGCCCCCGAGCTGGCCGCGCTGCGGGCCGTCACCAGGAAGGTCCGGATGGGACAGTTCAAGCGCTCGTTCTTGGCGTAAAATTTTCTCTGCAGCTTCCCAAGAGCCTCCAGGAAACACTTTAAGGGACCCTAAAAAAAAAAAAAAGAGCCAAATAATCAAGTTTGTTTATAATAACGAGCCTGTGTCTGTCTGTATATTCTGGATATAAATATCTGAATTTAAAGCATGTAGAAACAGGTATCACGGGTTACCTGCGCGAGGGGCGTGTTCTCAAACTTCTTCTCGTGCGCAAAGAAGGTGTCCAGTCCGCCTTCCTTCACGATGATCTCTGACTCGTCCGAGAAGAGGACGGCATCGCCGTCAAACGCCACTCTCAGCTGGGTGTCGCTCAGCTCGTTCTCCTTCACCGCCATGAACATCGTGGCCGCGGCGATGCCTGAAGGAGAGGAGGCTCGGTTAGAAATGTGCGTTTTGTGGAGATTTTCGAAAATGCTTCGGCTCCGTCTGAACTGTCGCTGTTCGCCATCAGTTTGTTTCCCGCGCGCGTCCGAACAGCAGGGAGCCGCGAATCTCCAACCGGCTGCGCAGCGTCGGGTCGAGGTTTCCCTCAGCGCCGTGAATGAGTCACTCACACACACACACACACACACACACACGTGTCGAGTCGACATGCGAGTGCGTAACGATCAGTGAAGAAACAAACACATCTGGGAGGCGCTGAGAGAAATCCGTGCATGGTTTCTGCAATCCAACCCTTGGCAGCATTCACCTTCCTCTATGGCCTCCGAGACTTTCTCCGAGTCCTTGGAGAGGTAGAGGTTCGTCATGTAGGCCTCCAGGTAGCCCGTGGGACTTTCCCCCCCGGTCATACAGAATCGCTCTATGGTCAAATCTGAGAGTGGAAAAGGAAGTTGGAGAGACATAGTGTGTAAATTAGGGTAAAGAGGGCTGCCTTTGAATGTGTGAGCCGCCGCCGCCGTCCGGCGCGCCAACCGACTGATGTCTGGTTGAAGGTGGAGCGTACCGTAGTGATTAATGCTGTTTATGAGGCGTACTCCAACCTGGGCATGGTTGTTGGTCATTAAGACGATATCGAACAGCTCCTCGCTGTCCGGGTAGAGCTGCCTCAGTCGGGCGTTGACGGTCATCAGCGCCTGCGCGAGAGGAAGGACGCGTTGCGTCAAAAAAGGACGTTCAGCGGGAGATTGTGACACAAACGCGAATGAAATCAACGCTGCAACAGAGGAATATGGAACATGTGGAAACAGTGACAAACCACGGAGAGCTCTGAAACTGAAGCCTTAACATGAGTCATACAGGTGCGGCCAGATGTGTAACGTGGCTTTGAGGCCCCTCGATGTGTGACGTGGTGACCTCCATGCGACTCATCTGGTCCATTATCAGACAACATTGGTGCGGACTGGGACAGTAACGCTGAACTCCAGACACCGCGCCCTGCAGCCTACGCAGCGGGTGAACACCACCTGGGCGTGGGCGTGGAGAGGGTGGGCGTGGGCGGGGTTCGGGCCTACCTTGACGAAGGGGAACGCGGGTCCCGGCATTAGCGGCTCGTTCTCATGATCCCGCTGATAAGCCACGTACTCCTCGAGCCCTTGGTCCTCGTAGATCTTCCTCTCCGTCACCATGTTGAAGAGGGTGCGAGACGAGACGGCGATGGTGACCGCGTACTGGGGCTTCGGCTGCGGGCGGATGACGGGGGGGGCGGGGTTAGATAAGAGTTACATAACAGTCTTGTCTTACTTATTAAAAAAAGTGTGAGCAGGAAAGTATTTGTCGCGAACACATATTGTGCTCGCGGTAACACTTACAGGTCTCGGCTTGTTGGTTTTGAGGTTGTCAAAGTGCGCTTTGGCCGCGTCCTTTTCCTCTCCGGCGTCGCCAGTCGGAGCGAAATCCTTTGCTTTGATTTCACTCATCTTTATCCGCTCTGAGGTCAGACGCTGAATAACAACTCGGTTAAGTGCGAGGCATCTGATGCTTGTAAACTTTGCGGAAATGTGTTAAATGAGGGGGGGAAAGGGGTGGTGTGTCGATGAGTGGTGACGTAGGCAGAGCTCTTGTATCTGATTGGCTGGTGGCGGTGAGACACAGAAACTAGACCCGCCCTCTCGACACACTTTAGTTTTGATGCTGATGTTGTTGTTTGTGTCCTGGGCCCCTTATTTATAATTAAGAAAAAGACATTATACAGCATGTTATTTTTTTTGCTAAATTATGGGCTTCCTTTATTTATACTTTTATTAATTCCATCATTATAAAAAGAAAATATCACTCTTTATTCCGGAAAAGGTAACAAACCGAGCTGGTGGAACAAGCGGCAGGTTCCATATGTGTTCAACATAAGGCAGAAGTAAGCCCATACATTTTTTATTTATTTATTTTTTCTTTTTGAAATGAAAGCATCAAATTTCCAGGGAGGGAGAAACATACATATATTTTATATCAGAAGAAGATATATGCTATAAATGTGCTCATAACTCGACTTGATTGTCAATGGAAAGAAAGAGATTGACATCTAGTGGCTGAATGTCATCAATGGCAAATTGAAATACAATTCTGAGCTACTATTTACGCCACGTTTCAGAGAAAAGCTTGTTTACTTACTGCATTTATCTGGCTGCCATACTTCTAAGATTAAGAGTTTGTACGGAAAAGCACGTATAACAATTCAGTGTCATGTTGTTGAAGTTAGGGCGGCACGGTGGCGTGGTGGTTAGCACTGTCGCCTCACAGCAAGAAGGTCCTGGGTTCGATTCCGCCCAGTGGCCTTTCTGTGTGGAGTCTGCATGTTCTCCCCGTGTCTGCGTGGGTTCTCTCCGGGTTCTCCGGCTTCCTCCCACAGTCCAAAGACATGCTCTGGGGATCAGGTTAATTGGGGACTTTAAATTGCCCGTAGATGTGTGAATGTGAGTGTGAATGGTTGTATGTCTCTGTGTTAGCCCTGCGATTGGCTGGCGACCAATCCAGGATGTACCCTGTCTATCGCCCGAAGTTGGCTGGGATGGACTCCAGCCCCCCCGCGACCCTGTGTGCAGGATAAGCGGTTTGACAATGGATGGATGGTTGTTGAAGTTCATGGATTGTTTTGTTTAGATAAGTGTTCAAATTATTAAAGATTTCATAAACATCTAAAAGAATCCGAAAAACAACTCCACAGTATATCAAATAAACTGTCTAATTCTGACCTATAAATTATCTCACAACCTTTTATTATTCATTGAATATTAAGGTCATCTGTTATAGTGCCTTACTAACATTATGTAACACACATGCTGCACCTGTGTATGGGTTCTAATTTATAGCATGCTTGTTTTTCTATGTTTATGTTGAGCCTTTTACTTTTTTTGTCTCCAATATTCATCTACAATCATTTTAAGTAGAGGTGATGCTCATTCCATCCTTTGCATCACAGTATTTGTGATACGGAACAGCAGGCGGAACAGTTTATTTTGCCCCTGATAATTATATAGCTAATTATGCCCATGCACGCACACGCGCACACACACACACACCGTCCACTGGCACATGAATGATCTCCCTCCTCTTCCTCCTCCTCCCTCCTCCATCACCCCCCCCCCCCCCCTAACAGTTGGGAGAGTCCGGGACGGAGCATCATGGCGATTGACGGTGAGTCCTCGGTCTCAGGTGTCCGGCGGGACTCGTGGGAAACTTTGCACGGGACGGAATGAGAATTACGCTTGTGAAAAAATACGATAACAGTATCTCTTTTCAATTGAGAAGTGTGTTGCGCTGAGAGCAGTTTGCGTGTAGAATGACGCCGTGCCGCAGTGTGCTCCGGGACGGCGCGGCTCACGCGTGACGCGCAGGTGGACACGGACACATTCCCCGCAGCTTCGCGTGACCCCGCTCACGCGTGTGCGCAATATTCGTCAGAGAAACGCCTGAGACTGAGATTAAAAAAAAAAAAAATCAAATGAATACGAACATTTATTTAGGGGGCTTATGCCGAGAATCACAGCGGGCTGCTACTTCGCGTCACATGACAACTTTGTCCTGCCAGTGCGAGATATCGAACGTCACCTGGTGGACGAGCGCGGCGCATGTTTAGAAAGAACAACAACCGCCGTTGTCCAATAACCCGCGTTGTGTCCGTGGACAGACGTGTGGTGGACCTTCACGCTAAGCTCCACGGGTAATGTGCAGGCTGCGACCTCCTCGAGTCGTTAGAGAAAGTGACCGGGACACACACGATGCTCGCCCCGTCCCGTCACGGGCAACCTGTTCTCTATTACGACACGTTGTGACGTGATTACGTCATGGCGTGACATAATACGTGCCGCCCTGTTTGCGGATACTAGTCACCTGCAGTTTTTCTTTGGCTTTATGCAAAAAACCAAACCGGTATTCATAGACCAAGAGTTTATTCTTAAAATTTGGAATTTAAATTATTATTCAAAATATTCCAAGCAGAGGGCAATATGTCTTCAAACACATTCGATCATCAATCAATCAATTTGAACTATAAAGAGTGTGTTGGGTTCTGGGGTGACCCCTTAAAGCACCAGTTTAAAGAGAGATAATCCTAATCCTAATCTAAAGTATCAGAAAGGGACAAGGTTTCCTCGTTGGCTTTTCATACTCTCCTTTACAGCAATATGCAAAATGCATGTAATTGGGATGGAATGACAGTTAAATTTGAATCTTGTTGACCTCTAAGGCACGTTGGTGTTCAACTTTACTTTATGTGATGTTGCCGTTTTCAGACATCTAAAAGTGTCCGAAATATTTTTTGGGAAGAATCACTTTAGAAAAGATTTGTTTGATGGCTTCATAAAATAGGCCAAGCTATTTGTGCAGCGTGAAGCCTGCGGTTTTACTGTTAAGAGCTAGAATTGGCCAGAAAAAATGGCTTTACTGTATATGAATGAAGAGGTAACACTTAAGATTGTATTCTTTCCCAAAGACTCTTAAAAGCTCTGTGATTTTAGAGATAGCCATGTTTTTGTCTCTGTAAAAACCGCAGATGGAGATTCTCTAACATCAAGCGGGTCGGTCTGCCGTGTGACATAACACAAGTCGGCCTGAGAGCTTTCTCTCTTTCGCTGCCTCTGCAGGCACCTGAATCATTAAATACTCAGAGAGATAATGTGTGAATCAAGTGACGCAGGTCTCAGTATCTTTCATTAAGTTGAGCCCCAGCGGGATTGTGAAGGTAATAATGGAGTAATGTGTTTCCAGATAGTGTAGTGTGATAATTAGATTTTATTTTATGCTGACAATTCAGCACCCAATCCCAAACATTTGGGTTTCGAAGAATTGTATATTTATCTGAGAATTTGATGGCCCATATTGAGTGTATTTAAAATTATTTTTCGACTTTTTTTACATTCAATTTGAACGGAGACGGTAGAAAGATACATAAAGAATTCAGCATCTAGAGAACAAACATTCATGTTAGGAAACACAAATTTTCTCCTAAAATAGACGTTGGTGTAATAATCACTGCATTTCATATAAATAACGTATAACATGAAATGGCTTAATCACTGTATTGACCTATTTCAGGTGATTTATTCCATTGAAACATGAGCTCTGACTTTATGACGGTTACAGATATCTTCTCACAGGGTACTTTTATACGTTTGTATGCGAGCTGTTTCCCCGCGTTTCTGTTTTAACTTGATGTACAGAACGACCATTTGATTTAACTGACCCTTTTTTTTCCCTCTTTTGGTTCCAGCTGATTCGTTTTTTCTGGCATAACCATCTGCCAGCCTCCTAACCTGAGGCATGGACATATGTTCTAGCCATGGAAGGATATTTATAACTACTGACTGCCAGCATTCTCTCTCCCTCTTTATCTCTCTCTCTGTCTCTCTCCCAGGAGGGGGGAGGAACTGTGGTGTTCATGAGCTCATCTGTGCCAGAAGAGGTGAGACCAGGTTTCACTCTGCAAATTGCCCAAATATCTTATTCTTCTCTCAGCCTTCTCTGAAGTTTGGTGCACAAAAAGTGTCTCAAATAGTGCATCGCGTAAAGTTAAGTCTGCGTGTGAATTATGCAAAAGAAGCCAGCTGTTTGCTCATGATTTATTCAGCACGGAGGTTTTGTTTCGCATCAGAAGTCCACGTGTAAGCAACAACAAGCATGCCCTACAAACCAGCCGTTCAGTGTATTACGTTATTGCATTTACGAATTAGTGAAGGTTCATTTCCACAACCAGAATATTCCGCACGCTTGTTGTCACAGCGATGTAGAAACACTTGTTTTCGTGCCACAAAAACATTTGATCTAAATGAGCTCACGTTTCCTCCGAGGGTATCATTAATCCGCTGTTTGCACGTTCGATGGTTCGGCGGCTGTGTTTTCGTGTTTATTAGTCAGCTCACTGGAGTCGTTACCTAAAAAAGATTGAACTCGGAAGCTCGTAAAAAAAAAAAAAAACAAGATTAATTTTCTTGTGCGTTCATTTCAGACACACAACCTGTACGTGCGCACACTGAGACAGGATGGCGTAGGGTGCAAGTGGAGCAGAGAACGAGAAAGGAGAGCGCTTTAACCCGTCCAGAGAGAGACACCAGGCCTTTCCCCGGCACGACGCGCGTTGTATTAAAAAATAACTGACGGCGGGGCGACTTGTGTCAAAGGCCGCTCCACTTTCCAGTGTACATTGACAGAGGCCTCGGGTTACCTCAGGTGCGTCTAAATTATTCAGCTGTTGTTGACATTCGCAGAGCGGGGGCCATGTATGAGGTGTTATCACACCCGGCGGGGCCCACGAGCTGTGTACATTTCGACGGGTGGACTCAATCGACGCGGCCGGCGGACGCGAGAGGGACCGGGGTCGGTTGCATGTCGGATCACTTCAGAGGAGGGCGGCTGCGTTTCCCTCTCTTCTCGGATCGTTTGCTATCTGTGGCGTCAGAAATAGCGATAGTGCTCATTGGGAGCGGCCGGCTTTAACGAGGGGAATCCGCTTGGCGAAAGGTAAGCCTCTGCCGCCGCGTCGGAGCTCTTATCTCTCTTCCGCCTCTCCTGCCGTTCTTGGGAATTTCGCATTCATCACTCTGGCAGTCGGCAGCAAGCAGCAGCAGCAGCAGCACCAGTCGTCAGGCTGCAGTGGTCTCTGCCTGTTGCCATGGTGAAACAAGTCCCTCCATAAGTTAGGTCTGCAGTCAGCAGGGTCGACAAACCTCTCTCTCTCTCCTCTTCTCTCATTCGTGCTCTCAGCACCAATACGCTTTATGAACAATTGAATCAGTCACTAGTGTTTAGATGAGCAGATGACACGACATGATGCAACATTTGGGTTATCGTCGCATTCATCGGGGTCGTTTTTCAGACACGGCAGACGGCCAAAACAAAGGCCTGCGCCTGCACGGAGCGGCGGAGCGTTCAAGAGCCAGATATTTCCCAGAAGAGCTGGGGCGGAGGCCAAAAGAGACCTGGACGGAGAATTGATATTGGATGAAGATTTGTTTGGTGTGCCAGGTTATGATGAGTTTTGCAGCACACGGGAGGCAAACACGCACGCTTTAATTTATTTCTTGCAATTAGTATTTTGTGGTTTTGATTGGTCTTTAAATACCAGGTGATTGGACCTTTGCTGCTCAGGGGAGGTGTTAAGAAAAACGCTGAAAATAAAATGTACGTCAGGGTCGCCCATGAAACGGAGCCAGTGTTGAATACGTTCATTCAGATTGTCGCATCAGAAAACGGTCTTACGTGGTTCAAGAAGTACTTAAACTTGTGTGCTTTATTTCACAAGCTGCCCTTCACACTGAGCCGACGGCTCTTTAGAAATGGGCCTCAAGCTAATTACCGCAGTTTTCTTCAGCTAAACTGCGTCGTGGCGTATTAAGTGCAGGCCCAGTGCGGTTTGGTGGGTTTACCGAGTCAGTTAGATTCGGGCCCCTTTGAGGCTCTCATAAAAATAGCACATCAGCGGCGCAGGGCTGGTTGCATGAAGCATGGTTGGCCTACATAGACGGCTGTAGATTGTATCTGCTACGCCTCTGAAGTGGAACGAGCGCCGGCGGTTTGAAAGCACAATGCGGACCCCAAACAGCCGAGTATGATTACATAATAAAATCAGATTTTTTTTTGTCCTATCAAACAGTTATTAAAGTTATTTACAGCATTGAAAGCATTTTATTTAAGCTTGCCGGCATCCGTGTTTGCTTTTATTTATATTATTTTTTTTCTTCTTAATAATAAAAGACTCGGTTTGGAAATGTCTTGGCTACATTTCCACAATCACGATTCTGTTTGTCTAAATATTTTTGCTTTGTCTTTTTTTTTTCTGTCCGTCTTTCCTTTTCCTGCCCCGACTCTCTTCTTCCCTCCCTCTTTATTTATGTTCTTCTCCTCCTCAGTCTCTCCTGAGCTTCTGGGTGTCCTGTCTTCCATTGCAGCCTTCATGGCGTTGATGGCTCTGTTTTTTCTTTACCTCAGCAACAAGCGGTCAGTGGAGAGTCCGGCAGATCTGTCACATCTCAGTGGTTATAAGAACACCGAGCCAGGTACTCGACACACATATCCATCCACACAAAGGATTATTCACTCATTCCGTGCAAAACACACATTTCCTTTGAGTGAAGTGGTTGCGCTTATGCAGATTGTGAACTGGGAAGGAAGTTCCCGCACAGCGGAAAACTCTCAATACCTGTAAATCAATAATATGCATTAGACACTTTGTGGTAAGGACACAAAAAAATGGGAGTAGAGGTAATGTTACCTCGCAAACACAATTTGTTCCACCATAAGTGGGTTCATTGTATGTTTGATCATATTTTAGATTCAGATAATCACATAATTCAGAAGTAATAATAACTTTGCAGCCACCATTCCCACAGATGGTTTGCCTATTTACAGTCTACCATAAGTCATGCAATATTTATAAGATGCTTCCAGGACAGGACAGTTCCTTCTTTTACTATCCCATCCGATTAGCTCACCAATTAATGAACATTACATTAAGTTACATTTAAACTGAGGAAGCCTGATCAAACCACCCAGAGTCAGAAATGTGAGAACATGATGTGAGCGTCGGCTTCACTTCTGAACCAAAAAGAGAATCTAAGTTTTCTTCAGTGCAGCATTATTATCATAATTGTTACACAGTCTGAGACGTTAGAGGACGGACAGTTGAATACAAAAGCTTAAGAAGAGAAAGCTCTTCTTACCAATATGTGACCTTTAGGAATCACCGTATTGGTCCGTATGCACGTGTTGATCTCAGCGCACGCTGCGAAGCCGGCGCCGCACTCCTCTAACGGCCACGTGTCCGTGTCAGTGTCTCAGCGCGGTGACGGGATCCCCAGCTGTGAGATGGCCTTCTTCAAAAGCTTCCAGCAGAACCTCCCATCTGTCAACATCTCCTCCCTCCTGGACTCGGTCACCAGCCGCGTGGACGACCTGGCCAACGCCGTCAGCGACGCCACGTACGCCGTCAGCGACCAGCTGACGGAACAGGTCACCACGATCATCGGCAAGGTCCAAGACGAGGACGATGGGGAAAACGGCAGCCGGGAGCCCGGTCATATTCCCCCGGCGCAGGAAGGAGGAAGCTCCTCCAAGGCCAACCCGTCCGGCGACGCCAACGAGGCTGAGAGCAACGCGAGCCAGCTGGAGTGGGAATGGAGGGACGGATGCTGGCGCGTGAAAAAGACAGAAGCCGAGATGGCCGAGGACGAGAGGAGGAGGCAGGAGGAGAGGGAGCTGCAGGAGAAGAAAGAGCAAAGGAGACAAGAGAGGAGAAAAAAGCAGCGAGAGAAGGAAGCCACGGCGCGGAAAAACAGAGAGGGGTCCCGAGACGGAGAGCAAGACCCGGAAGCCGGCGCTTTAGATGAAAAGGACGACAGCAGTGGACAAGACAGAAAGCTGAGTGTCAGTGGAGACAGCTGCACCGCTCCACCTCCTCCATCGCCTGCTCCTGAGACTGGAAGCGAGTTATCGGAGCAGAAGAAGCCGGAGGAGGATAGAAAAGAAGACGTGGAGGTGGCGGACAGCCTGGAGAGAGAGGGAGATGACGAGGAAGAGGCCGAGCCTCCTAGATCCTGCTCCACGATGAAGAAGAAAAAGTCTGAGAAGAAAAAGAGGAAAGGAGCCAAGGAGAGTCCGAAGAACTCGGAAGAGGCCTCGGATGTGGAGAAGAAGAAGAAGAAGGGGAAGAAAAGCAAGAGGAAAAAGAAAGGAAAACAAGGTTAGATGGTGTGCTGCTAAAACTTCTTCTCCTCTCGTTGGAATCATAACCTGAAGTTCTCACCCTTTCAGCTCTCCAGAGGGCCCCGTGCCCTTCTTTTGCATCTTCGCTCCCGTCTCCCTGCACACAACATGCTCTGTGAGATAAATGCAATGTTTGAACAAAGGTCCCTGTGCGTTCTATCCAGAGGGAGTTTTGTCCGACAGCGAGGAGGACAAAGGCCCCGAGGCTGTGGCCCAGCAGAGCCCAACGTCTGCGTGGAGCCACCAATGCAAACAGTCCAGCCAGCAGGGGGGCTGCAGCAGCGAGGCCTCCAGCGAACGGGGTATTTAATGAGGCAACGCATGCGCCGTACAACGTGGAGGTCACAGTGACACAAGACACGCGTGTGAATGAATGAGAGGAAATATGACGAATAGTAAAAGGCACCTAACATACAATGATGGGGTTGGATTCATCAAATAACGTAAATAGTCAGGTATTCTACTTCAGCAGCAGCATTAATGCAGCAGCAAAGATAGACTTTGTCGTGAGTAAAAGTATTAGCATCAAAATAAAAAAACAATTGCTGGGATGAAGGTGGTTGAAGTAGGGCTACTCTCTTTTACTGTATACTCTGCTGAGATGCAGTTGAGTCTTTATCTATAATATTCATCATTTATTTGTTGGTCATATTTTGGATATTTTAATGTAAATTTACCGAATCCATCACATAAATGAATTGGAGAAAAACAAGTAGTGAATAGCAGTAATTCTCTATATATGTCTATATAATCTATATACAACGAATCTCTCTATTTATATTACATATACAGTATATATATGTAAAATGTTTAAGTTCATGAGTTGTGATCTTATCTCCAAACCCTCATCCACAAAGCCATCAAGCATATTTCCCAAAATGTTGGCGTATTCCTTTAATAGTCTTTACATTATTACTTTGTATAATACTAACACAAAGTAACCTACGTATTCCTCTTTTTACTTCATTTTTATTATTTACTCTACAGTAAGTAATGGTTACACAGTTTAAACACCTCCAGGCTCTTTCAGTTTAACCGGTTCGGCCTCACCTGTGCCGGAAGCCGGCAGGTCAAGAGGTCAACCTGTATGTCGCATACTTAATGAATATAATATGAATGAATACAGTACGTGTCCAGTAACACGGCCCTCGTATCGCCTTCCTCCCCTCTGTGTCACGCTCTGTCGCTGTCGTGAAAGCGGCCAACGGGACCCGGAGAATAAAGAAGAAAGGCCCCGGCGGCGACCCCCGGCCTCCTCCCTACCAGGACGAGGGCGCGTCCTCGCGTTCCGCAGGGGTCCGGAGGGGGTCGTCCCCGCAGCGCAGTGAGGCCAGCGAGGCCAGTGTGGACCAGGACACAGAGAGCTACCTCAACAAAGGCTGTGAGGAGGACATTCCCAGTGACAGCACCGCTGTGCTGGGACCTGAGGTGAGGACAAAGCTGCTCCAACCAACTCTTTACAGTTTATAGTAGAAATGTATTTATAGTTACTTTTTACCTGCACGCTGGTTCACCTTAACCAGAGTATAAAAAGTATTTTTAATAAGATATACATGTTACGGCTATGTCAGTGTCAGTTGTCATCCTAACATAAGGCGTGGCACGGGCGGCTGGAGGCGGGAACCACGGCAACATGATTGAGAACATACATAAACAATGTACATATTTATTTGATCCACGTGCCTTTAGAGGAAGTGACCTTAACTACGGACTTCCGACTGCCTCCGATTTCATACTCTGATCCTATCCTTTTCCATCCAGGACGGCTCCGGCCCTCAGCTGCCTTCTGCCTACGAGCCGGAGCCCCTGGCCAAATACGGCACGCTGGACGTCGCCTTCGAGTACGACTCGGGCGAGCAGTGGTTGGCGGTCACGGTCACCGCGGCGACGGACATCCCCGCCCTCAAGCAGACGGGCAACATCGCATGGCAAGTCCACCTGGTCCTGCTGCCCACCAAGAAGCAACGGGCCAAGACCGGAGTGCAGAAGGGCCCGTGTCCCGTCTTCACGGAGACATTTAAGTTCTCCAGAGTGGAACAGGAGGCCCTGGCGGACTACGCCGTCCGCTTCCGCCTGTACAGCATCCGGCGGATGAAGAAGGAGAAGGTCCTGGGGGAGAAGGTGTTCTACTTGACTAAGCTCAACCTGCAGGGCAAGATCGCTCTGCCCGTCACCCTGGAGCCGGGCTCCGAGCTCACAGTGAGGGGCCTTTGTGAATTTCTATGAAGTGCGCTTATATGTGCAGCTATAAGTTAGTCTTTGGCCTCAACCAAGGACACTTTTGATCATTTATAAGTCTTTTCTCAATTTAATTTTAGAGGTCTTTTGTTCAAAGCATATTCAATTTAATGTTACTTAAGTCAAGTAATGCAGAAATTAAATTTAAGGGGATTCATTTTTAAATTAGCTGTTTCACCACATGATCAGCACTTTTTCACACAAATTGATCAGTAGATGGACTGAATAAATTATAAAACTGATCCAGGAATTCTAATGCGGACATCTAAGAAATTGACCAAACGTCGGTACTAGATGTTGTCTGGCTGACTCCCCGTGTGCTTCACCTCGCCAGGGTTGCGGCTCCGTGGTGAGCGTCTCTCGCAGCGCCGGAGCTCTGTCCCACCGCTCTACTGAAGACTCTTCCATGCCAGAGATCCTCCTGGGTCTCATCTACAACTCTGCCACGGGACAGTTGTCTGCTGAGGTCATCCAGGGAAGCCACTTCAAAACCACAGCGTCCGATAAGCCCGTCAGTACGTACAGTGGCGCCCTTGTCACGTGGTTTCATTCTTCGGGTCTGCGCCTGCTTTATTTGAGGCGCCGACGTATGTTTCTCTTCTCAGTAAATTGCTCCTTTAAGTGTGCTGATACAAAGCAATTGTTTTGGCAAAACTCGGCTAACATAAGCATTACGTTTAGATATCAGCTTTTTGATTGACCAATTGAAGCCAACATGCTGAAGCAATTGCTGCTAATCAGAGTTCCCGCGAACGCTGACCTTCTGCAGTGTTTCACAATCTTTAAACTTGCTTCTTATTTTTCTTCTTTCCACCTTTGCGTGCCGCGTCGTGTGCCACAGACGGTCTGTTCTGTTGCGTAAAACACTTCGTAGGGGGGCAGCTTTATATCATGAGAGGTAAGTCGGCCGTGGGTTACTGATCGTCAAATCAGTGTCAGGGAATTTTTAAATCACGTGTAGATGGAAAAGGTTTTCAGAGCTGGTTTTCAAGTAGTGGAATATCCACAATTCTTTTTATAAATTTATTTTATAAATGTTTTTAATTTTGGGCTTTGCTGCCTTATTACATAGTTTGAAATATATTTGGCATGTTTGCCTACTTAACAGAACCTAAAAATTGAACATTCTGGCCACCAACGGGTATAAGGATCGCTAAAATGCAATAATTAGTTATGCAAACACAAGATCTCAACCATGTCAAAAATATTTCAAAATATACGCAAACACACCACGCAGTGCACAGCACCGGTCTGAAATCCGGGTCTTGGCTTAGTTTTGGGTACTTCATCGCACTGACCCGGCTTCCCAGGTTCCACCTGTTCTCAGATTAGTGCACGTGAATAAAATAAAGTGTAAAAGGTGCGCCTGCATCAAACAGTTTCTTGCAGCGCTCCTATCCCGCCACTTGACGGCGCTCTCTCACCGCACTCTCCCCTTTCAGACACCTACGTGAAGCTCACCATGCTGGACTCAAAGGGGAAAGAGATGTCCAAGTACAAGACGGCCGTGTGCCGCGGCCAGCCCAACCCCACCTACAAGGAGACCTTCTTGTTCCAGGTGGCGCTCTTCCAGCTGTCCGAGGTGTCTCTGGTGCTGTCGGTGTTCTGCCGCCGGAGCAGCATGAGGCCCAGGGAGCGGCTGGGCTGGGTCTCGCTGGGCCTCAGCAGCACCTGCGAGGAGCAGCAGAGCCACTGGACGGAGATGAAGGAGGCGGAGGGACGGCAGGTCTGCCACTGGCACACCCTCACCGACACATAGGGACGCGATTTACCGAGACTTGACATTGACAACGTCCCCCAGGAAGGTCAGAGTTCGTGGGGAGCAGGACGCCCTCTGTGTGTGCGTGTGTGTGTGTGTGTGTGTGTGCTGCATACAGATGTGAGGGCACGCGGTCTTCACTGCCAGAGCCAATCTGCAGACCGACTTTATTGGTGGAGCGGGTGAGCTCCCACGACACAAAGAGCCTGAAAACAAATGACCTTATAATAACTGCACATACCGAGAAGCGAGGGAGGTCCTCCAGCAATTCTGCCGACTGTTTACAGGACGATGCGACAAAAACTTCCACTTCGGTCTGTCTGCAGATACCAGGACCAAAGAGCTCGGTCCGTGACAAGCAGACGCCTCCCACGTTTGTTCTTCTCTGGACTTCAGCTGCCACCAGCACACCAGACATTTCTCTATCAGTCACAGCCATTTGACAGAAGAGAAGGCAATGAAAAAGACTGTTACAAAAAGGGCCCAGAACATGCTGCAACTACGCTTACAAGCAATGATTTGTACGGTTTGTTTACATGCACATGACATTATGCAAGATCCATTCATCAGTTTCCCCTTTCATGGTTTTTTTGAATACCAGTCAAATGGTTTACCGGATTGCGGAGTGGGATTTTGGGGTATGCGCTCCGCAAAAACAGCTTTTCCTTTTTAAAAACGTTTTTATTGTGTTTTATTGCATAACGCGGTACACTATGCATCCGACGCCACTTTAAACGGGAGCAATGTAACTCGTGTCGTGCACTCGCAGTATGTGACGCGGCTCCAGTGGCATCAAAGAGCCGCTTCCTTTCCTGTGCAACACCGATTGAGCCGGTTTCACCATTCAGCCTTCCGACAGCTCAGCCATGTTCATTCATGCAGAAACACGGTGCTTCCCGCCGAGGAGGAATATGGGAAAGCAAATTCCTCCTCCAAATCTCTCTGAGGACTGAGGCTTTTTTTTTCTTAATAACTGCAGCATTGGCCTTGAATTGAACTGAAGCGGCAAAATGAAATTATTGCAAAAAGGGGGAAATGTTTTCTGGTTTCAAGTGAATAGAAGACGAATTATTGAATAAAGGGAAAGAAATTTAAACGTTGTCTAGAAGTGTGAGAAGAAGGTTTTTACTTGGGCTGTTCTCACCTGGAACACAGGTATTTAACCCTCATCAGAAAAAGGGTGTGTCAGAAAATACTCCCAACGGCTACACCGCCACGCCCCGTGTCTCAGTGAGAAGTCAATACCTCGCTCCTCGCTCTGCTGGCTGAAGCTTCAGGGTGGGGGAGGCATATTTCCTCTCCTCGTCTCGCGACGTCACATCTGAACCCCGTCTTCTCGGTTTGGGGGGGGGGGGAGTTTGTGCAACCACACCTCACCCCGTCAAGTTTCCCAGCAGGGACAAATTACTTGAAAATCCCAATGTAATATCAGAAGAACACAATCCAGATGTCTCGTATTTCTGCCAGATAAGCTATTGCCTTTTGTGGTTTGGAGACGCGGAACCCTGGAAACCATTGCTGACCTCATGTGACCAAGCAAACTATTGAGAAAAATAAAAACCACACCTAGCAATGGGAAATCTTGCACGTAGACTTGAACCGAAGCATAATTGACGTTACACCATTGTCTATGCAGAGTGCGAATACACGGATACTGATGTCTTGTCTTTGCATACTGTAATATTTCACAGGAAATAGTATGCAATTCCCGTACTACGGTTTCGGTATCTAAAGACTCACATTGGACTAGTTTTGGCATTCTTAACAGTATGTCAGTGTGTCAGAAATACCAGGATGTCCCATGCATTTGGTCACATTGCGCATTGGCCCTTTCTGCTAGTCTGACCTAATGTGGGTGGAGCAACATAGAACATGCTCGACATTTCAATTCTTCATGCGATGCTCCAGCAGCCAACTGCGGCTCAACGATTAAGCAGACTGACGTCAACTCGGTCGCACAAAATTCAAATAATCAAAAGTACAGGAATTGATTTTTTTTTTTTTACAAAATAAGAAGAATGAGGCCATAACTCAAATGATGTTTTAACCATGTTGAAAGTTTTTATTTCCATTAATCTGGTCATCAGTCGGGCACGGCGCTAGCAGCATTGCAGGTGGCTGGAGCCTCGGCCGCAAACCCACAGAGACCCCCAGAGACCCAGAGACACACAGCAGGGGGACTGTGGGCCTCCAGGGAATGTTATCCTGCTGCAGGCCACGGAAAAACCAGCTGTGCCACAGATTCTAGCTTGAAGGAGGGGGGTGGGGGGGGAATCAAGGGAGGAGCAAGGACTGGAGGAATGGGAGGCTTTGACTTCCAATGTACCTGCTGACCCCATTAGGACAGGTTTAGTCAGCCAGGTAATTATGAGGCCCCCGGTGCTTCAGTCAAGGTTATCAGGTGTGACCAGGAGTTGTTTTTTCATCTCTTGATTGCCAGAAGTACAAGTTAGGTTTTGCTTTAGCCACACGACCATTTCACATCAGCGTAATTAGACATTAGGCTTCAGACACTCCTGAAAGAACACGTTCCAGGTCGACCTTCCTGACTGTGAGGTCATCTTGATGTGGATGAAACACATCTGTCTGGGGGAGCGCTGCTCTCGGGTCAGGTACTTTCCTCCTCAAGCATCCGGTGGCACAAGCGATTCCTCACATGACCTCCCGGCTCAATTAAGTCGTAGCCTCTTTGCAATAAGGAATAATAAACTACAAAGTTTTGACATTTTATTGAATGGGTTGTTATCTTTTTTTTTTTAATAATATATCAATAAATATACAGGAACCATGGATTAATGGAAGTTGTTTCATAAAGGCATCCTCATAGTTAGAACCTTTTTGGAGGGTAAAAGAATATAAATACTATTGAACTCATCCAAATATATTGTTTTAAAGGGATCTCTTTCGGTTGGTCTTTAGTTCAAATTACAGGAATTTAGTCAGGTCAAATTACGGGTTACCAATTTTTAAAGACATGATAGCAAAGGTTCTGAGAGGATGGACCACTAAGGAGTACCATGCAGAGTGGAAGAGGGTGTACCACACTGGGCCCCCCCCCCGCCAACTATGCTGTGAAGCAGCAGACGTCGTACCTGTTTGGCGAAGAAAACATTCATCAAGCAATGGTTTAAAAAAAAGAAGAAGTGAAACCAACATGGCGGCACTGTAAAGTGACGTGTCTGTCTGAGCTGGGAAGAAGGTCTTTACAGGAGGGGGGACGTCCACGGCGGGACGTATCCAATACTAGTGTCTCAAAGCCAGAACTGGCAATATATTAAGACAGTAGTTCAATAGTTAATGCTTATTTGGTCTCGGGTGGAGAGTTAGATGAGAGGATCTGGAAATACCGTATGTATTTGATATTTTCATTTTGGTACCTTTGGACAAAGCTGTCAGTCCACGTTTTCTGGTTGCACGCTAAGCTAAGCTTACTCGACAGATAGGAGAAGACGGTCTCATCCAACTCTTTGCCTGAAAGCAACTAGTTATTTTCTATGATGTTGAGCGATTTCCTTTCCTTTTTTTTTTTTTTAAACCCTGATCCTAAAACTACATTTAATCTTCATTGTAGTTACAACACATTTTGGCAGCTGTGATTCTTTGTTGCACTTCCGTCAGGGACATCGTAACTATTAATTGGTTAATATTATTACATTTAAACAACTTAAACCTCAGACCAATTTTACAAACATTAGTGACCGTCCTATAGCATAAAAAAACAGGCCAGCTCCTCAAAGAGTGCAGATCCTGTGAGCAGAACAAAATAACAAAATGGTGGCTGGTTTTCATGACAAATTCGAGGCATTATGGTGACCGCTGAGGAGAATTGCTTCCTGTAAGCGTAACAGTACTAAACATGGTTGGGCCCACTCTTCAGTTGAGGTCCTGTCTGGACCAGCGAGCCTGTGTCGGATCCCTCGCAGGCAGAGGTTGGGGAACGACAGATTTAGACATTTAGACATTATTAAAAAACAAAACAAGAGATTGTTCAATAAAATACTTCTGACCATCAGTGCTTCCATCACGTCCATGTACAAGAAGTACAGTTTGTAACTGTAAAATGGAGAGAAAGAGAAACAAAAAAGGAAAACGAACTGCTGCCACTTCAGCTGACCTCACTGACACGAGCTGCCGGTTCCGAACACGGCCTGCCGTCAGCCTGCCAGTGGGTCAGCCTCCGGTCGCTCCAGCCGGCTAGAGTCTGTCCTGGGAGAACTTCTGTACACAAACCGTCGTCTTTCCTCAGCGGGACCGTTGAGAGGTGCAAATGGCATCTGTAGTGGTTGGTGATTGAGCATGATTGAAGAACGTGAAAAATGGAGGAGTGGCGTCCAGTGAAAAGGCTCGTTTTATTGGCAGTGGTTCCCTTCAGGTTCCACTCCTCAAATTTTCGGTCGGAGTTGCAGATTAGACCACCGAGCCAACAGCTTTAAAAAAAAAAAAAAAAAAAAAAAGTCTTAACTAGTTCCTCTTCCCGGGCAAAATCCTAACCACAAACCTTCCTCCTGTGCATTTATCTGGCGGTCCATCCGTCCTCACCGATGCCCGCGGTGGGGGGGCTGCTGGTCTCCCGCATAATCCCAGTCCTTCCATCCTCTCTGCTTCCGGCTCTCCGCTGCCCGACGCTAGATGAACTTGAAGCACTTGGTCTTGTCGTGGGGCAAGCGAGTCTTAAACAGCACAGAGTCCACGCGGAACTGCGTGTACAGCAGGGGCATGTAGCCGTACACCTTGACAAAGAAGTTGATGCACTTGTGGCGCTCGTGGAAATGCGAGTCGTCGTGCGACAGCGCCTGAGGGCAGCCGGGGCAGCGGAACGTCCAACGCGATGTCACCTGGTAGGGAGAGAGAAAGAGACGGGTGCGTGAGTCCTCCGTGCACGTGGTCGCACAACGCCGAACCATCCCCGCGGGGGTTTTCGGAGAGACCTTTTCAGAACTTGTACGGGTGCCACTCAGAGAGGAATGCTGTCTGTGGGCGGGGCCTCTTTGTTGCAACGCTTTTCTTTTTAAACCAACTGGCAAAGACGATTGAAATAAGAAGGCTGCTTTTGTCTACCGCTTTCTAAAATAAAAGGACACATTACTTTCAGTATTTCAAGTTGTTATTGTACTGTACTTTTCTATTTTATTTGGGGAAAAAAATGCTCCTCTCCTTTTAAGGGCTCCACATTTAAACTTGCCCCAAATTCATTATTCACAAGGCTTCGCCCCAAACCGCAAATTGCTGTCATGCAACACACTCCTTCAAAGCATTCCTTAATTCCCCTGTGAAACACCCGCCAACATTAACACACCGCTAAATCAAAAAGAACTTCAAGTGAGGGCGGCAATAACAGTTTTTTGCTTCAACAACTTCCACGGCCGGATTGCTGTAATTATTTGTCAGCCAATACGCTCAGCTGAACGAATGTCCTTCCGATAAAAATCCAGCGGACGAATCGGGCGTAACGCACAAATTCAATCCTGTGTTCTTGATTTATCATTTGTGTGGAATATTGGATTGTCAGTTTGAGTAATGGCACGACTAAGTGGGAAAAAAATATGAATACGCGGGGCCCCTGCGGCTGCAGAGCCCAGCGTGGCTGGACGGCACGCCGCGCCACTGACCTTGATGGGAGGCTTGCGGGTGATGTGAGAGACCAGGAAGTTCATGGCAATGTCCTCGCAGTTTATGTAGTCGTCCACCATGTCCCTGATGGCTTGGGGCATCACGTAGGAGTACAGGTAGGCGTAGTACTACACAAACACCAACACGCAGGGCAACAAGTGAATGAAATGGCCACGAGGAGGCAAAAATAACAATTTAGTTAATTTAGTTAAACGCTGTACGTCTATTTTTTGGGGAGTGCGGGTGGGTGAAGTATAAGATCTGACCTTATGGAAAAAAGCAGCTCCTGTCAGGACCATGGAGAGCTCACAGGAGTAGTTGGAGTTGTAGAGCCAGGACTGGTGGTTGACGTCCCATGCGTGATACCGCCCGGGGAAACCCACCACGCGATCTCTGGCCTCACGCCACACTCTGAGAGACACAAGCCAGCAGAAGTCCTTCCTTTTAGCCACAGACTGGACAGAATGAATTACTTTACATTATTTGCAGACAACTTGGTATTACGGTTTGTCAATTCCATCTTTTTAAATGGTCATTAGTGTCCGTATGTTCATTTGCCATCCTTTTACATCCATCTGTTTAAATGTGTCATCTACTCCAATCTATTTGCCTCTTGGAGCATAGAAAACATTCTGTGATATCCTGCTTGTATATTTAAAGCCAGACTGTCTCTCTTGGCTCATATTTTGCCTTCTAATTTACTGCAAAAGTCACAACAAAGTCTACAGGGTATTTCCCTTCAATACGTGCATCCTCCATCTAAGCCGTTCGGTCACCACCGCTGACCTGAACCCGAACATGATCTCGTCGTGGCGGAGGTGGGCGTCGTCATCGATCGACAGGATGGCCTCGGTTTCCACGGCGTCCCAGGGAAGGAAGCGGTTGTTGAGGCTGTTCTTCTCCGTGCGCACGACCTGCAGGCGTAGAAGATTCTGCTCAGCGGCAACATTTCGGAGAGCAGCGATGCGTTACGAAACGGAACTCCAGAGAGAGAGAGTTTGCCGTCAGCATAGCGGAGTACACTCCGATTAATGCTACACGCAAGTTGCACTTCTACATGATCCATGTAACTGCAACAGATCTCTACTTCAAAAAAAATCGTTTTGCTTGTTCAAAACTGCAGTAAGACTCATCTTAGCACAGTTGCTGGCAAATATACTGCTCAGTGCCGGTAAGGAATCCGTTCCTTCAGCCCCTCTTTCATGGCGCACCACATGTCCCTGTCACAAACTAATGGTGTGGATGTGAACCACATGCATATTTGATTTTTCAGGCTTAATTCAAAAGCACGAATTGTATTATTCATGGGTGTCAGACTTCTTCACATCCTTTTCGTAAAGCTGCTAGTAATTGGTGTGGACGCCTTCAGAGTTTCAAAAACGCGCTGATCCAAACAGCTCAATGCGATGTGCTTCACAGAGACAGGAGACAGTACAAGGTGTGAAAAAAAAGGAACAAAAAGGAACTAACACCATTTAAAAGAATACGTGTACGTCGGAACACTCACCACAATCGGCAGGCCGATGTCTGGCCACAGCAGGTCGTCCGAAGGAGGCTTCGGCGAGTTCCACACCACCACCACCTTGTTGAGGTACGGAAGTCCATTCAGTCTCTCCAGGGAGTTCATCAGCACCTCCTCCCGCTCATAAGTCAGCATCACCACGGTGAACTGTTCTCGGGGCACATTTCCTCCTAGAGCTGCCTGGAACTCCTTCCCCGAGCCCCCCGTACCTCCACCAATGGGCCTAAAACCGGTACCTGAACCAAGGAACTTGGCTTCGGAGGGCAACACGGGGTCCATGGGAGTGTGAGGGAACAGATGGAAAGGCCCCGGAGCCTGGTTCCACGTCCTGTAAGTCTCCGCGGCTGTGTATGTGAAGTTGCGGAGGAAGCGCGGAGAGGCGTAGGGGGGCTCCGTTTCGACCGGACCCAGATCCAGATCGCCGTTGTCAGCCAGGTTGGCGTCAGTTCCCGCCATCTTCCCGGCTTTGTGGGGGATCTCGTGGGCGGGCTCTTCCTTGATGGGCGCAGCAGGAACCTGGATGCTGGTTCTGATGCTGGCCAGGAGGGTGTTGAGAACATTCTCCGTGGTGGAGAAGTAAGTCTCCCACAGAAAGCGGCCCTGGCGCCTCATCGCCAACATGTCGTTGTCCGACAGGCTGCGTAGCAGGAAGTGGAGCTCTGTGACACGAGGCTTCGGAACTATGATGGCCGCTTCGCTCCAGCGAATGAACTGGTGGTACGGTAGTCTGGAGTGGTCCCCCAGCACGACGGGGATGGTCCCTACCTCCAGGGCCTCGAAGAGCCTCATCCCACAGCCCGCCGAGGCCACCAGCTGTCCGTCCCCTGGAGCAATCACCAAGCCAAAGGTTGAGGCCTTGAGGACCTCCAGCCTGTCCTCCCGCTCTCCACAAAGGGCCCACTCGGTCGGCAAGCTTGGCTGTGGGTTCTTGCAGGTGAACTCCACCAGCACCTGATCCAAGTGGCTGTCCTGCACCGCCTTTAAGGTGCCGACGATGCGATCGTCGTAGTCGGCTGGCGGGTCTCCTTCCATTTCCTCCTCGAAGGACTGGGGGGCCGCTTCCTGCAAGCTGCTCCTCAGGGACTCCACCCGCTCCCCCTGGAAGGTGAACAGGTATTTCCTCTTCACGGGAACTTGAGGGGGCACTTCTAAAAAATTGGGTTCTGAGAGGGCGTGGACCAGCGGGGAGACCACCAGGTCAAAGCCCTCACGGTACTGCTGCTCCAAGAAGGTGGACTGAGCCACCGCCGCCCGTCCTGTGCTCACATTATACAGAAAGTTCTGCGTCATGGACTTCCTAGAGAAATGTACCAGTACGTGGTTGTGTCCATCGGACCTCCAGTAAGGGAGAGCTTTCAGTTGCTTCTCCAGCTCTGAGGGAGATGGCGCGGGGGAAGAGGACTCCTGCAGCTCTCCTACCAGCACCAAGTACAGACAAGCGATGCCGGGGTTATCCGTTACATAAATGTTGCTCTTAACCGATGCTGCGAAGGCCTGCTTCACCAGTGGGTCAAGATAATCCCCCCACGGATACGAGCCAGCGTCGTAGACGTACACGGGGAACCCAGAGGTCAGAGGGCAGCGGGCGTAGTCGAAGCAGGAGCGCAGGCGGCAGGAGCGGGCCGACTTGGGCGGCGGCAGTCCCGGGTCCTCCTTGTCCGGCAGCAGCCTGACGGGAAGCGACAGCTTGGGCTGGTTCTGGGCCATCAGCTCTTTGTAGGAGTGCTCCGTCTGGCTGATGACGTTCTTCAGCTGCAGCAGATCCTGCTTGGCGCTGTCGATGCTGCGCTTGCAGGCCTCGATGCGCAGGTTGAGCCGGGCGATCTCGCCGTTGAGCTCCTGCCTCTTGGCCTCCAGCTGCAGCAGCTCCTCGCTGACAGACTCGCGAATACGGCACAGGTCCTGCACGTGTTTGGCCTCGCACAGCTCGCCGCCGGGCCGCGGCCCGAAGATGCGCTTGTCGGGACCCCCGGCTTCGTCGATGGTGGTGAGGTAGTAGTGGGCGATAAGCGGGAAGAAAACCAGGATGAAGAAGAGCATGAAACTGAGCCAGGTGAGGCGCACGCGCCGCAGCACCCACGGCTGGCCGCCGCCCCCCCCGCCGCCACCGTTACGCTGCATCGTGGACTCTCTCAGTCGGCCCCTCGCCCAGCCAAGGAACTGTTGCTATGGGGACCTACAGCAGCCATGACACGCCCTTGTCAGCAAGGCGGTGGGGTGGACACTAAATCATCAAAGCTGGCGCCGTCCTTGTGCGAAGGTCGACCGAGGCCGTTTGTCTCCTCTTAAAGAGTCCCGTGTTTTGTAGGCTAGAGGCTCAGCATCGCCGGTTTTCAAATATGGACTCTGACGCGTTATCGCCCACACAAACCGAGGCCATTTCTATCGCGAGGTTTCCAGAGCTATGTCAGAAAGCAGAGCCGCAGCTCGAGAGGGCGGGTTCCCCTCGACGGTGGACAAAGGGCGAGCATGGCCGCTCGCAGCTCGGCGAGGTCGTTCGGGGCCGTTGTAATGAATTCGTCCACAGGAGGGGCTTCTGGAATCTTTTCTTCTCAAAGCGGGAAGCTGGGAGAGAATAAACAGAAGGGAAAAGCCATCATTGACTAAATCATCACACGTACGTCAAAGAGAACACTGAAGAACTATAAGAAGGCATGAGCTGCATTAAACGGGTGCAACCACTAAGCAGCAATATTTGTGTCTTAACATGTGTAATATTTCATGCATCTCTCAAACGTTTTGGATTTTGCATTAATAAGGACTGTCTTCTCAAATCCTAAAGGTGCAAAGGGGAATTTTTGAATAGTCCTTGCAAGTTTTTCCCGTACTGAGCTAGTGTAAATGTTTCTTAGTCAAAGTAACTCTGCAGTGCAGCCTCTCTTTCCCACGGCATTTTTGGCCCAATTGCGTAGTCCAGGGGGTAAAGAAATAAATAATCAGTGTTCTGCAGAATACCGGAGGGTGTATCTTTTACTTTCAATCGCTTCTCTTTCCAAGTCACTGAGAAAGAGAAGAAAACTGGGGAGCTGATCACAGCAGGCGAGCCATCACCACCGTCACCTCGGGCGAATCTCATCAAACGCCTCTTCTGATTCTCCACCTCATCGCAGACTCACATTACTGAGCTTTCCTGAAAACAGCCCGTCTGAGAAAAAGATGTGTGATTCTTCTTCACGGGCTTAAAAACCAAAAGGAAACGAGTAGCACCGGGGCTCTTTACTCTCGCCAGAGCCACCGTTTTCAAGAGGCTCCTAAAGGTTAAAGGAGGGAAGCTTTCAGGAGATAAATCCATGTGATTAGTCATAAGATCACTGCAAGAATAACACAACAAGATTAGGACGTTTTAGTCTTCAGAGGTTTTTGGGAAAAATAGCTCTCGGCTGAAAATACACATAAAAAACTGGAATTCATAACAAATCCACTTACACGGGCGTCAGCGTCACCTAAAGATTCTCGCATCGTGAGCATGATTTAAATCTCAGTACTGATCTCTTTGCAGGAGCAGCAGGCAGTCTCCACACAGAGCCGTATAGCTTTATCACAGCACCATAGGGCCAGACAGCCCTGATCAGACACAGAGCTGCTCCCACAATGCCGAGCGTGCGCCTTGATAAAAGCAGTTCAGTGACACAGAGGCGAGGAGGGACACAGGGGGTGTTTACCTCTGGCCCGACACAACAGCTCCCGTTTGATTGGGATATTCAAACCTCCGTGGTTGCGACGTATAGAGACGGATGCCATCTTCAAAGAAAAAAACCGCACCTAGGAAGAAAAAGGCCATCTCGCAATCTCGTCTCAGTCGAGTAACCATTCCTCCACGCCGCCTCCACGGGACGGACCTATCTGATGTTCGGAGATTACTTTCTCTCCAGACTCCTGGAAAACAGCAGCTTGCAGCACAGCTGGCGAGTGTGTGTGTGTGTGTGTGTATGGGGAGGGAGGGGAGAGGGGGGGGTACGTGCGCACGTCTGTCAAGCAAAGGAATGTGGACAGGTAGCAGCCAATCACATGGCAGGCACGGGATTTCGACTTGCCTGACGGTCTGCTGCTGCTACTCGTCTCGTGTAGCTGCACGTCTGAACACACGTTGAACCTCACACACTCTCAGGCCCGCGGTGTGAAGACTGAAACGCTTCTCAGCAGACACATACATAGATACATACATGTCTTCATGACACGCCACTGTCTAGATTTAGTCCTACTTATGAAATGATAATTGATTATTTTCATCATCCGCTGCCTGTTTGATCAGTTGAGCAGTTTGTTATTTTGAGGGTTAATGGTTGGCAATTTATGGGACCCGAAGGTCGGAACCTTCTTCATTCTGTTTTTTCATTTCTAAAAAAATTCATGTCTAGATTATATGAAAAGGGCTCATCACTATTTCTAAAAGCTCAAAGTCCCGCCCCGAAAAGGTGCCGCCGCAGTCCAATAAGTCCAACACGGTGATGCAGAAAGGTGGAGAGGCCAGAGGAGTTAGCGACCAGTGTTCAGTCAACGCTCCGGGGACATATGACCCTCCTCCCGCCGCTTTGCGATGTGACCGAGTGGCGACTATTGCAGAGGTCTAATAAACCGCTGCACAGCTGTCAGTGTCACCCGGGGGTAATGGCAGACAGATGTTGGCGAACGGCGCCGCTGAGCCGGTTTAAAAGTTCTGCACCGCGGCTGCTTCAGAGAAACACACAAACAGAGAAAAAAAATCATAATCTCAATCTCCTCGGTTGTGGCTTTCTGATCTGCAGCATATCTCCTCTCGGCTGCAGGCAGCTTAATCCAAATGCAGTCTGCGTGTAAAACACACAGGAAGGCATCGATCGCTCTGGGTCTACTTTGTGCGGATCAATGATAATGCCGTCATCGCCTACCGCCGAGCTGTGAGGCCCTTCGGTGCCGAGTGAGTAAGTGAGTAACTTCCCCCCCCTCAGAACCAAACTCGCACACCTACATGTAGCGGCAACATCTATTGTTGTTGTTGTTTGCGTTAAGTGTAAGTTCATAAATATGATAAATCGGTGGGCGGGCTCAGTTTGATGCCTTTTTCATGAACGGTATCATAGCAACTCTATTTATGGATGCAGGGACCCCATAAGAGATCTTATTATAATTCTCATTGGTAAGATGTTCATCTGTCGACTGACTTACTTCAATGCATACAACTAATCTCCGATTATCACAGTAGAAATATTGCGTTACTCATTAAGCGTCCTGGAGCCTCGTGCGGGGACAGGAGGAGCTAAAGCACAGCCGCACCACCGATGACCCAGATAAAAAATACTTTTTGCTCCACACGGCGAGCAGCACTGAGCGGGCAATGACTTAAGTCAGCGAAACCCTGTCCAGGTCCATGAATAACGCAGCCCGTATCGGTCCAGCAGTCTGTTTATTTGCTTATGGGGGTGAATGCAGTCAACACAGGTTTTCAGCGTCAATAATTATCAAGTCATTGAATCAAGGCAGAGATGCCGGGGAGGAGGGGGGGGTTCTCAGGCATTCACAGACGCAGCGTGTCGTGATTAACGCAGAGGAAGATACTGGAAGAATATCTTCAAAGAATTCAAAGAGAATAACGCGTCGCAGGTGCCGAGTCATTGGAGGGCAAAGCGCTTGTATAAATGTTTGAACAGTCTCTGCGCATACCGGCCTTCTGAGACGGTCCTGAAATTCCTCTCTGAGGAAACGTGGAGAAAAGAAAGGACATCCGACCACAACAGAGCTTTAGCTTTACGACAATCAGCACAACTCAAGGGGGTTGCATCTCATGCGAGGAGGAAGCGGGAAGAGGCAGCTGCTGCAGCTCGTGACGAGTGACATAACTCGCCACCAAACGGAGCGATGGCGTTTGTTCTTTGTGTGTCTGTGAGGCACCCGAGCGAGCGAGGCTCAAAGAGGAAGGCAACGCAGGGCCGGGACCAATAAGGAAAACAGATCTTTGAAATTTTCTCTTAATGTCTCACAGACAAAAGAAATATCTTGACTGACTTTGAGAGTGATTTGACCCCACGTGCTCTCTTCCACTTCCACCACTGTTAACCTGAAAAGTAGAGTATAATAAAAAAAAACTGTCATAAAGCAATCTGTAATTTGTCAGACAGCGACCTTCATAACCAATTAGGCTGGTTGGGCTTTTCATCCTAAGTGATAACACTGAATCTTCAACACTTTAATTTTTTGAAATGGTCTTTTGAAACACGACTCTGCGGTGCTTTTGGCTGAATACTCACATCCTCGTGCTAACTGGCTCCCAAAGACAATGATAACATTTTCATCTGGCATTTGCTGACTAATACTGACTACAAACTGTAGCTGAGGCAAAGGGGAATTGCAATACTGTTATTGGGTATTTCGTCATGAATCAAAAGCAATGGACAAACTGATGATGGTCTACTTCCCAAAGTCACACAAATCTGCAACGTTTTGAGCCCAAAGTGTCTCTTTATCCAAGTTTTTGGGAAGAAGAAATCAGAAACTAAATCTTTGGAAAGCAAATGGATGAGAAATATTTGGGGGTTGAACTTTGCCGCGATGCAGCCAGAGGAAAAGTCAGGGACACATCAAACTCTGCCGGATTCCTGCTCTGGGGACCACGAATGTATATTATAGCGATCTTCTGAGCCGTTGAGATACGTCAGCCTGGAGACGGTTGGTAGACTGACCAGCTGACAGATTCTGCGAGCCCAGAAACAATCCTCCCTCCACTTAAAACCATTTCAACATCTACGAAAAGAAGCACGCCAAAGACAAAATGTCTCTTTCTGCAGCGTCACAATGTCACAAAGGGCCGATAAAAGTATTTCTTACAGTCAGCCACGCATCACTTCCACAGCAGCTGCAGGAAGGTTAAATACACCGTAGGGCACCGTGAATGCAGAGAAATCAATACCAAAGAAGTGTTATCTATAAATAAGTCTCCTTCACTGTATTATGCTACAATACATTCTGAGACCAGTGAGTGTTTATGGCGTTTTGTTTTTTTAAATAGGTTGTCTTCGCTGGTCAAGGTTGTGAATCACTACGAGTGGTTTCACTAATCATTCCAGTCAGTCGCTGACACAGCGCCGTCACCGAGATGTCTGGCAAAACAAAAATGTATTCCTGTAATTGTAGCCTAGACATAAAATCCATTGCCATTTGGTTAAAGAATAATGCCCAAGATTTGCTGCTTCGTTCCGTTCTGTTTTAATTGAATAACTTTAGGGCCTCCCAAGAAACGTGTGGCGCCGTTAACAAATAGACATTTGGTTTTCACAGATCCATTTGTTGCAGCGCTGAGTGGAAAAGAGATACGAGTACAAACTGATGGAATGTTTGGAATCCCAAACAAAACCCCTTCTAGGTCACTGCAGCAGTGGGCACACACACACACACACGCACACACACACACGCACACACACGCACACACACGCACGCACACGCACGCACACGCACACGCACGCACACGCACGCACACGCACGCACACGCACGCACACGCACGCACGCACACCTCGGGAGACGGCGCGCGATGAGGAGAAGCTCATCCCGGCTTCTGGGACTCCAGGTTGCGCTGATGCATTTCTCCCCTTAA